TATGAAATTATAGAAAATTATTAATAAATTATTATAAATAATAATAATAAAACATAAAGAAATAAAATTTATTATTAGATATACATAAAATTTGAATAATTAATATACAAAAACTGAACTTTAAATTTAAGCTTGCAGACAAAAACAGAATTTACTAAAAATTTGTTTGTTTTAACTATTTTTGAAGTAATAAAGATTTATGAGAAAAAAATAATTTCCTAGATTTTATACACAATTTTTTTTTGTACTTTTGGATAAATTTATTTACAAAATTCAATATCGTGTTTTACAAAGCAATTATGAAATGTTTTATAAAATTTCAAAACAAACTATACATAAAGCTGTTTTAAAGTTATTTTCGAATAATTTTGCAAAGTACGTAATTTAAAGTTATTTTCGAATAATTTTGCAAACTACTTAACTGTTTTAAAGTTATTTTTGAATAATTTTCCATAATATTTTGAAACATGTTATCAAAACTGCTTTGCAAATCACACGCGAACTTATATAAATATCCAAGAGTACAAAAAAAATGGATAAAATTTACAAAATTATTTTTTTCCACCTATGCACTGAAAAAAAAAATTTATTTGATTCAAAAAAATCGTTACTCGACTATTATGAACTAAATTATTTATTTGTATAAAATAATTACTATAAATAAATAATTAAAATAAATTTTTCACTTGAACCAAATAATGTTTATTTGAATTAAATAAAATGTATTTGAACCAATAATTTCTGTATGAAACAAATATTATTTAATTGACTAAAATAATTTATTTATTTATTTGTAATAATATTTGTAATAATTATTTAATACAAATAAATATTTATTTCATAATTTTCAAGTAAACGATTATTAGAATCAAATAAATTTTTTTTACTGTAATACTTTAAATAATAAATCTTTTAAATATATTACAATATCTAATATTTAATACGCAAAGATTTCTATTGATTTCGCGAATAATAGATTTTATTTGGGTTGCACGCAAATATTTTGTGAAATGTAGGTTGCTTAGAAAAAAAAAATTATATTAGAGAGAGAAGAGTGGGTCATGACTTTCAAAAGTTATATTAGAGTTTCTAATAAAATACGCATAGAAATCGTAAACAATGATAAAGAATTCCGTAAAAGCACATGGGCGCCATGCCGTCTATAAAAGCTTCACAGTTCGATAAACCATGTCACGCTCTAACATAACGCCTTTAATAATATTCATTTGCCTTCTAATTTTCTTCAAACAAATTTTTTTTCATTTTCAATGTTTTAAATTATTTTTTGAATTTTTTAATTTAAAAAAAAATTTTTAAACTATTTTTTAAAACTATTTTTTAAAACTATTTTCTAAAATTATTTTCCAACAAAAGTTAGACATTCTCATGTTAAAACAATAAATATCACGACGGTCAATGTGTCAGATTTATAATTAATACAGCTTGCATAAATATAAAAACTTTCCCGACATGATCATAATTCAAAGGATGAGCTTCAGTCTCAAAAAGAGCTTGCAAAAAAGTTTCTAAAAGAAATTTTCATTAAAATGAGATTTATTTGAGAAAAAAAAAATAAAAGAAACGAGAGACGCGCAGAGAAGAAATCTGAGTAAAGAAACTTGCGAGAAAAAATTTACATGTACTTGCTAAAAATACAAGAGAGCAAGAAAATTAAATCATCCTCGAGGGGTGAATTATTTTTGGTATACAAAGAATATTTAATAAAGGTGAAGAAATTAAAATTAACTTTTGAGAGACTCGGTCACGATAAAATGACCTGATTTTAATATAGAAAAAAAGATTATTTTTTCAATTATTTATATATATATAATTTTAGCGAGTTTATTCTCGTAGAGAATTTAATTGAATAAGTAAATGGAATTTTCTTTTTTTTTGCTATTTGTGGGAGGATTGACCTGTGATAGATGTTAAAAAAGATGTATATAATGATTAGCTAATAATAATTGTATTTGCTAATAATGGTGTATTATAAGAGCGCTTTGAGCACACCTTCTGACCCAGTTGCCCCTTTTCGTCCTTGCAATAAAACAACGTATTGGTAAAACATCACGCGACAATAACACTATGCAATTTATATAACTTTTGAGAAAACAGCAATTTCATTTTCTAAAAACGAAAAAACTTGTCTTGTAAAAACAATTTATTTTTTTTTTAAAAGACAGTTTTCAAATAACCTGAATAACTTTTGTATTTTTTTCAACTATAAATTTCATTTCGCCGAAAAAATATTAAAAAAAAGAAATTTGATTTACGAAAAAAATTCGAACTTTTTAAATTTATTTTTTTTTTGTTTTAATAATAATTAAAAATTATTTTTAAAAATAACTCTTGAGATAGAAACATTTATTTCAGACAGATTATTAAAGAAAGAAAAAAATCCACTTTAATTATTCCATAAATATTGGAAAATTGACCTGATTATATTAACTCCCATTTCACAATTGTGAAATTATTTTCAGATCTTCAATATAAGAAAAGAAATAATCGAGCACTCTGTGAATTATTCAAAAATTTAAACTCTGACCTTTTGCTATATGAATTAATATAAATCAGTTAAATTTGAGAATAATGAATCATTTTTTAATTAATTAATTAGCCAATTTTATCTCAGCTCACAAATAACAAAGAAAAAAAAAAAATTAGTAAAAAAATTTTATTTTGAATTTACTAAAGTATTTTAAATTCAGTAAATGAATTTACTGAACAAAATAATTAAATTTTCATTATTCAAAATTTATATATAGAAATCATTCCTTTAACAAATCTGATGAATAATTGAAAAATTAATTTACACACAATTAAATAAATAATTAATTTGAAAAGATGTTATTTATCCGAAAAAGTATGTTTTGGAGATTTATAATTAAGGGCATGTTCAAGAGAAAGCAGCGGCACCATGATCTACTGAATTAGTCAAATCTGTTTTATCTACAAACGATAAAACAGATTTTATATCGGCTCAATTTGCAAAATTTACCAATCACGAATTTCTTATTTCTAATTGGTTCTTTTTAAAAATTTCGCCAAAATATTGCTGTCGATTCTATATTCGGACATTTGTAATTTTGAACCAATGAAAATTCGGCGTCTTAAAAATCAGTACAATTAAAAATTCGGACAAATGAAAATTCAGCGTCTTAAAAATCCGTACAATTCAAAATTCGGACAAATGAAAATTCAGCGTCTTAAAAATTCGTACAATTAAAAATTCGGACAAATGAAAATTCAGCGTCTTAAAAATTCGTACAATTAAAAATTTGGACAAATGAAAATTCAGCGTTTTAAAAATTCGGACAAATTAAAATTCGATGAATTGAAATTTCTGTCAATAAAAATTAGAATCACATAAAATTCGATTGAATGAGAATTCAGTTAAATTAAAATTGGCTCAAATTAAAATTCTGTTAAATAAAAAATCATGTAAATTAAAAGACAGTTAAATAAAAATTCTTCCAAACAAAAATTCGGTAGCTAAAAATTTTCTTCAGTAAAACTTCATAGAAAAGAAAAATCTCAAATTTTAATTTGAAAATTCGTCTAAAAAATAATAATTTCTAATAAAATACTTTAAAATAAAAATCTAATTAATGATTTTCATGGGAAACTTATGCACCCTGAAAAAAAGGAGACGCAGCATAATGTTCTAAAAATCATTAGTTAGAATTTTCATTTAATGGAATTTCATTTGTCATAATTATTTTTAAGCCGAATTTTTATTTGTTCGAATTAGTATTTTGCAGAATTTTCATCAAAACGATTTTCAAATTTCATTTTAAATGAAAATTCTATCAATTAGAAATTCTATTAAATGATTTTTCGGTTAAGTAAAACTTCTGTAGTATGAAAAATCGGTCATATGGAAATTATTATATCAAAATAAGAATTCGAACAAATGAAAATTCATCTGAAAAAAAAAATGAAAATTCTATGCAATGAAATTCTACCCAATAAAAATTCTTTAAAATGCGTATTATGTTAAATGAAAATTCGAACAAATAAAAATTCTGTGAAGTGAATTTTCGATTATATAAAAATTCTGTAATATAGAAAATCCTTTTGATGAAAATTCTGCAAAATACTAATTCGGACAAACAAAAATTCGGCTCAAAAATAATTATGACAAATGAAATTCCATAAAATGAAAATTCTAACTAATGATTTTTAGTTGTAATGTTAGACTCTATTTTGCGACCCAAAAGATATTAATTGCTGAATGGAATGTTTTGTGCTTTTTTAGGGTCCTTAGGGTCGAAACGTCAAAGAAAAAACATCTAGTTTTATTTTTATTATATTAAGGACCCTAAAAAACCACAAAACATTCCATTCAGTAATGATTTTTAGAACACAATCATGCGTCCCGAAAAAAATTGAAGAATGTGATATTGAATAGAATATTTATCTTCAGAAATTTTTGAATCTTAAAATTAAAAACCGATCAACTTCACTATAAATTCATTCGAAAAAAACGATAAAATTCCATTTAGATTCCAATCAGCAATAAAACATCATTAACGGAAAATTTCCTATCTCAAAATTCGACAATATTTAAAACTAATGAGCCCTACATTTTGTCGATTCACTAAAGAATCTTTTATCTCACTACAAGTTTCAAATAGATTTCAAAAGAAATGCTCCAGTAACATTAAGGGAGCAATTACCTCAAGTGAACCTAGATTTACAAAAGCTAATTTACTATATATATACTTGTACAGTAGACAGCATAAACTTTTTGTCAAAGTATGCCATAAGCTTAAGAATTTGGAGGAAGGTCATATCGATAGTAGGTGTTTAACACCAGGGAGAAACCACCCCAGAAATGACCTACCATAGGTTGGTAGTGAGATCACCACTGACGTCATTGCACCACTATTCCAAAAGCATATATAAGAGACGAGAATATTGCGGGGTCTAAATTGCGCAAGCTTCACTATCGATTTGTGCGCGAATTTCACAATTCGTAAGGGCCGTTGGCGCACAAGGATCGCAGGTCGAGGGAAACCGTACCTCACGCTGGTGGACTCGTCCTGGGATCAAAAATTCCAAGGACTGAGTCCTAAAAATTGTTTTTCTAAACTACACAAATCAAAAAAAAAAAAAAAAGAAAGAAAATAAATAGTGATGTGAAATAATCGGATCAAAATTTTGCCAAATTGTTTGGTGATATGGGAAAACAAATACCAGTTGAGGATTTGGTGATACCGCCTCAGGATGGTAGAATATGCGGTACCATCTGTATTTGTCAGATGACTGCCGTTTTATCGTCAGTTGCCTTGGTTTATTTGACAGTTGCCATTTATATGCCATTTACAAGAGCATTTGTCTCGGGTATTAGTGACGTACCTGTCATGTGTACCACCACGAGGGCTGTTAATGCTGACAATTGTGATTGGGGCAGTTGTGGTGAATGGTGTCTATCAAAAACATCAGGTCCATGTGTCCAAATTCATGTGAATTTACGACAAAATGGCACAACAATATTATTGGCAAATTGTACAAATACAACAAATAAAACATGCTATGGTATCGATCAGGAGGCGGCTAAAAAATCAAAATGCATCGCTGATGAATGTCGAAATTTAACTGGTACATTTAATTGTACATTGGGTGTTTGTATCAATATTACTGATGCATTTGAGTGTATGTTTCGCGATACTGATCCACCACTAAAGTGTTCAGGTAGACGTGGAAAGATAACATGCATAGACATAGATGGTTTATTCACGTGTAATCGTGGGACTTGTGAAAAAATTCGGACACCATATAATTGTGATCGTAGATGTGTAGATATACCAACGAGAAATAAAAATATGATTTTATTGAGTGGCGATAAAGTTTATTTAAGTCAATGTGAAAGTGTATTTGAAGAAGAGACAGGAAAAGAAATTTGGAATGAAAATCGTGGTGATGTGATGATGGCAAGTTGTTATGGGGTTTTTAATAGTAGTCAAGGTGTTCAGGCTGTTGATTGTATTAATGGTTCGGTACTTGAAAAGGATCTATTAACAGATTTGACAAATTTTACTTATTTATCGTATTTAAATATATTTGCCACTAAACCATTGGATGAGACGAGAAAAGTATTACCACCTGAACAGGATTTAATTATTGCCAATGAGAGTAGATTGTTAATTAATTTGGAGGGTTGTGTTAATACATTGAGGGATGAGTGTAAAGCATTTTTAATGGATTATGGTAAAGATGGATCGGATCATAATGCAAGGGCAAGATTTCCTTGTTATTATGCGGAAAATAAAAAGGAGGTTGTTGTTTCGAGATTTGATTTAGAAACAACACAAAAGGAATTTGTTGTTGCCTTAGTGCTGCCAAGCGTTTTATTTGTTGTCAGTTGTCTCACATTAATTCTTTGTCAACGCACTGTCATTGTTGGTGATGATGCGAAAATGAGGTTCAAGGGCACCACCGGTGCATTGACAGCAATGGCCATTGAGAAAAGTATCTCCGGTAATATTGGAGATGCTGGGGGAGGAGATTCAGTCATGGCACTCTGAGATCCGTCACGTAAGAAGAGCCCTCTTTCTCTCTCTACTAAATTCTACCGAATTTTTAGATTTCTATTAATTTCAAATCATTTTAAACTGAATTTTTTTCTTATATATATTCTTTTACATTGAGAAAAATCTGCTATTGAATCAACAGAATTTCTGCCAAAGGTATAAAAATTATTAATTCAAAAGCATATGCTATAGAATCTGTATAATATTTTACAAATTCTATAGCATATGCTTCAGAATCAATAATTTTTATACCTTTGGCAAAAATGCTGTTGATTCAATAGCAGATTTTTCTCAGTGTACGATTTTTTTTTTAGCAAAACAAAACTTTTCAAACATTGAAAAAGATATTCTGAATAATTACTTAAGATACAATTCATATTGCACTGTTAAAAATCGTGCTTCAACTTTACACTAAAAAGATTGAAATTATATATTTTCAATCTCGACAAGTGCGAATGTTTTTATTTCATTGGCTTAAAGTTTTTTGTCCAACCAATGACATGCAAACATTTACCCTTTTCGGATTGAAAATATATTATTTCAATCTTTTTAGTGTAAAGTTGAAGCCCGATTTTTAACAGTGTGTATTACCAAAAAATTAGTAAAATTTTATAATTTTCAGAGATTTAACAGCTAATTTTTTTTTTATTTTTCAGGCATTCCCCTCCTGGAGGAGAGTCCGGCAAGACCGCCGGTTTTCTCTCTGCGCGGCCATTATTAAAGTGTAAGGAAGGGAGGGGAACGCGTGGTTCAAATTCTTAATTAATGACACGATTAGATTAAAAACGCAAGCAAATCTTAAATAAGATTTTCCTACTCGCACTGCCCGCACATTTAAAGCTGAAGAATTATATATAAAAGAACGACAAGAAACAATAAAGGACCAGAAAATACCAACATCGGAAAGAAATAAGACAGAAAAAAAATGAAGTAAACCCAAAAAAAAGAGAGAAACAGATTTTTCAAATCTGTAAATTTCACAAGCTTTAAGACTTATTAACAGAATCGTTTGCGACCAAAAAAAAAAACGTACGAAGCATAGCTCAAAAAACAATACTTATCCTCTTTTTTTGATTAAAGAGGAAAAAATCAAATTTGTGCGCACTTTTTTTGTTTTGGCTAAAACATTTGTAGATGGTAGAATACATCTTTATCGCAGTGATAATTAGGATAAATTTCTATAATCAATAATATTGGAATGAAAAATAAAATCTAATAATAATTATTAATAATTAAAATAACTATAATAATGGATAACAACAAATAGAAAATTAGTTGTATGCTTTAGGCCTAACTGACAGATGATTGAACGTCTCGACAAAAAAAAAAATTCATTCAAAAACAAAAAATTATCAAACACATAAATAAATTTTGTTTTTTAAAAACTACTTTTTGGGAAAGTTGTTTGTTGGATTTTGCAAGTCTAGAATTGTAAGGAAGCAAAAATATATTTGTGTCAACAGTTGGTGTGTGGACCATTCTCAGTTTTTGGAAGTATAATCCGGTGACAGACAGTATGCCTTGTTCATTGCATCAAAAAAATCAAATATTGTGAAAGGTAAATTGTACTCTGATATTTTGTGTTCATAAAGGAATTTTGTTCTCTTGAAAATTCATTGTTTCGTGAAATTTGCAAAATATCGTGAAGAGCAGCATCTGTAAAGGATTGATTAAAAAGAAGAAGAGGAAATTTTCGATAATTTTTCCCTAAGGTGACTCTTGAACTGGCTTCATCATTGATTCGGACGAGTCAACGGTGATAATGGGTGCTCAGGAGGAGGAAGAGGAGGAGGACCTCAAATCAAATAGATCAAGTGTCTTGAATGCAGGAAGTACAGGAGTTCTTCCAGCGGTTGAAATTCAATCATTGGTTGAAAAGGCCAAATTTTATACATCATTATGTCTAGGCACCACTGCCTGTTTATCTGTTTTTGCATTTCTCTTTCTCGTTCCATTTGTCATTGAACCGGCAATAACGACAATTCTTGCCGATTATACACCAGATCCTGTTGCCTGTATGGTCACTCATCACACTTATGCAGAGGGACTTAAAAATTGTTCCTGGTCCAGTTGTAGAGAAGGTAGTAGTAATAATAGCAAATATTTGCAAAATTCTAAATTTTTAAAAATTATTTTTATCATTAGGTTGTACGAGTGCTGCTCTTCGTTGTCATCAAATAAAAGTAAATTATTCAAAATTAAATTTTGATGATTTTATGGCAATACCAGTATCAGAAAGAGAATGGAGCATTGCGGATACTAAATTTTTTGTCAATACGGAAGGATGTGGATATCCTCCAAGAGTCAATTGTTCGGAATTTGCCAAAAAGTATGGATATAAGAATAGAGGGAAAATTTTTCCTTGTTACTTTAGCAGGACCAATCCACAAACTGTTGTAGCAAGGTAATTAATTAATTTAAATATATCATTTTTTTTTTATTCTTAATTAATTGTATTGTTTCAGATATTCTTGGGATGATAATTTAAAGCATCTTGTATTGGCTTTAACAGTGCCTGTAATTTTATTTGGTGTTTCATTGGGTGTTTTGTGCTTTTGGTATTGTCCACCAATCAGAAAAAGTTGCGGAAGTCCAGGAAGAAATCTTCTCGAAAAATACGACAGGAAGGAAGAGTAAGTAACGTGTATGTATACAGTGTGCCCTATGTGGCTAGATTATTTTTTTATATTAAAAAATTACTTCGTTTCCAAATCGACAAAATTCGTTATTTTTTTTCACTTCTTTTTTTTATCTTTATATTTTTTCCATTAATCTTTTATTTTCTCATCACTTTTATTAGTTATTTTAAATTTTTTCGAGTAAATAAAAAAGAAATTGAAGTAATTTTCCAAATTTTTTTGATGTGGTTTTTTTATCATTTGTTTAACGAAAATTTTTTTTTCTGTCTCTGTCTTTGTCATAGCATTTTGGAAGAGGACGAATTCGAAGAAGATGAGGAAGAATACTGACTGTTACCTCGGGCTCACTCCTTATCGAGAGAGTGACCCCGAAAGAAGTTCCACTAATTTCGAAAGTATTAACAACAAATTTTTTTGGATTTTCCCTTTTTATCTAAATAATAATTGGCTCGCAAATAGCGACAGCTTCCTGTAGTCTGACTCATATTTAAAAAAAAAGATCGTATGGCTTCCTCGTGGCTTTTTCGTACACTGCTGACAATCAGTATTTATTTTTATCTAATTTTTAAAAATCCGTTACAAAAGAACCAGGAAATTTACGCAATTTTTGAAATACAATTAAATAATATACTTTTTCTAATATTTGCATAAAAAAATACGATCAATTTTTGCTGATAATAAAGAAGTTTTGAATAATGTTAATTATTAATAATTTAAATTCAATAATGAAATATTGAAATTAATTAAAATTATTTCATCTAATTGAATAAATTTTTTTTTTTAATCAATCTTAAATAATTAAATTTAATAGAATTTTTGCACATCTCAATAAAAAAAAAATTTTGAATTACCATAGAAACTTTTTCTCAGTACTGCATGAATTATAGAAAATAATAATTCAATCTAATTAGCAGAATAGAATCTTTTTTCTTTGCATGCTCAATTAGTTCGATACTTCCCAATTTCTCTAGACATTTTTTCAAACTCTCGAAATTTAATTAATATTTTAAATTAAAAAAGAAAAGGCTAGAAACTTCTCTCTTATCAGACTCGAATATAATATATAAACACGCCTACAAATTTCAAAGAAAGTGTAAGATTTAAGATAATTTTTTCCAACATTTCCATTACATAGTTTTTTTTAAACTTAAATAAAATATACTTTTCGCGAATTTCGAAGAAAAAAATTTATTATTTCGAAATTAAAAAAAAAAAAATAGTAATGGAAAATATTTGGAAAAGAAAAACTTAATCAAATCGATTGTACATAAAAAAAACACATTTTGTACGATATGGAAAATTCATTAACGGATTAAAATAATATGACTCGAGTCTTTGTACTAACAGACTCAATCATCTATCAGTATTTCGAAAAAAGTACCCGTAATTTGTAAATTTACAATACAATAATTTTTTTGTGCACTTTTCTATGAAAAGTCGAATGTAATATTAAGAGAAAAAAAAAATTCAATAATTTTACGCTACAGCATCCGTTGTTATAATAATTACCAAAACAAAAAAACTACTAGGATTAATTATATAGAATTAAGTCGTAATTTTCGATTCGTAAAAATTTATATAGTAAAAATATTTGCATCTTTCATCGCAAGTTTTTTTTTTCTATATTTTCTCTCATTACAAGCATCGTTTTTGCTTTAATGAATTTTTCGAAATCAAGTGCCCTGATTATCATAATAATAATAATAATAATAATAATAATAAATACTTTTCCTCGTCGAGCCTGAGAGAGACGAGGGTTTTTTTTTTTATAACTTAAGAAAATATTATTATAGGATATAATTATAATGTAGGCATAAACTCTGCCTGTGAATATTATAAGCATTATTGAGATTGATATATTATATATAATATACATATGTATATGAAATTGTTACGATTTTTGTACTTGGGTGCTGTGGCACCGTGGTTATCTACAGTACATTTATTATAGAGAATACCACGATAAATAGGTAATTAAATTTAAGTTCATTCTTCGATGGGTTTTATCGCGTGATTTTCCTTTTTTCAAAACTACCAATGATTTAGAAAATTATTATATTTTTGTTATAAGAAAAAAAATAACAAAAATTAAATAAAAATTAAATAAAATTCTAAAAACGATTTTTTAAACAAGATAGAAACAAAAATTGTTTTTTCAAATAAGAAAAATATGAAAAAAAAAATATATTTTGTCATCAGCTTTATTATAATTAGAATTTAAAAAATTAAATCTGAAATGGAAATAAAAATATGAAATTAAAAATATAAAACAAAATCAAGATCAATTTGGTCGTTTTGAGAGTCGGAAATATTACGTCGCAGCCCAATACATCTAGAATGGTTGTGAATCCTTACTCGGCCTTACTCTAGGAGTCTGCGATCGAAGGAGAAAAGGATTCTCAAAAAAGAAAAAAAAAACGAGATACTTTTCTGATTTTCAGACTCCGCGTTTTGGCACTCATTCCCTTTAAAGGCTTGCTAAATAACAGTTTCTTTAAGAAAAAAAAACGCCTTAACAAATAGTGTTTTTATCGCATTTTCATATTCCTGTTTAGAATTTTCTTTTCTTTTTTCCACAATAACCGAAAATGGCCGCTATCTTGTTTTTCGTTCCAAAAACACATTTTTGCTCAAAAAAAAAATTTTTTTTTGCTTAATATTAATTTTTTTCCACAAAAATCGTGATTTTAATTAATTAATTTTTATGTTTTTTTTTTAAATTAAAATTGTAAATTTTGTCAACAATGCAAAATCAGAGTTCAAAGACACAATCATAAATGATTTCAGTGCCAAGATAAAATATTTTTTTCCATTATAAATTTTTCTGATGAAAAAAAAAATATAGCAGGCCAATTTCGTGAGCGCAAATTTTATAAATATATACATAATGCGCGATAAAAAAAAATGTAGAATTTTAATTTCCGTTATAATTAAAATGCTTTGTTCATGCGGACAACACACACACAAACACAATTTTTGGAATGAACTGTGAATCAAGCGAACAATATGTGAATGATTATAAGCTATACTTATATAATTATAAAACAAAAATTTGATAGACGCAGACAATTAATATTTCAAGTCGAAGATATAATACTATAATATAAATATTAAAAAAAAAAATACAAAAACAATTTTCAAATTTTTCGATTCTCTCAAGACTCTTGCAAGGTTTTGCAAAACGCGTTAATAAAAATAACGAAAAAGAAAAAAAATTAACGATAAAATTAAGCAAAAAAAAAAAAAAAAATTAAATCCACGCGAGCGCTTTCGTTTTATTTATTGTACAGTTCAGCAAACAATTTAAATCGAATATTGAAGAGAAAAAAGAAAAATGTTCATCACACTGCTTCGTACGTACAATTTAAACCCATCTCTCGATAATGAAAAAAAAAACCGTATGTACGAAAACTTTAAATGTCTTTTATCAACGTCCTTATAATAATATATTGTAAATAAACGCATTGTCGATATTATTTAAAAAAATATAACAAATTTTTTCTGTTAAATCGTAAATTAATAATGGAAAAATCTTAATTTTTTAAAACTCATCCAAATCCAATATTTTTAAATATTGAAAAAAATTATAGAATTTTTATTTTCAAATATTAATTAATTATTATTTATTTATTTAAATTATTTATAATTATAATTGTTATAATTATTTATTTATTAATTAAATTGTGAATTAAAAATTAAATTTAAAAATATTAATTAATTAATAAAAATCTTAATTTAAGAAAAATATAAATGTTAATTTTTTCGAATTTTTGAAAAATAAGATTTTGACATTTCTATTTTTTGACCTTTTACTATTTTTTTATCCTACTACTAAATTCCCTGACTTTTCTCTTAAGTTTCTACTTTTCCTAACTGAAAAATTTTTTAATTTTTGACAAACAAATTTCCCTTATTTTTCCCTAATTTTCAGCGATGGAGAAAAATATCTGAGATTTGAAAAAAAATTTAGTAAGAGCTTTATCGACCACCTCCTAAACCTTCTATCCTTCATTTAACCTTCAAATGGATACAGACACAATGAATTTTGCGCTTTTTTATATCACAATAATTTTTTCTAAATAATTAAAGTACATTTATTAATAATTTTTTTGTTAAATAATTAAAGTACTTTTACTAATTTTTAAAAAATAATTAAAGTACTTTTATTTAAAAAAAAAATTTAATAATAAAAATAATTTTATTCAAAAATTTTTTTTTAATTAATAAAAGTACCTACTTTATTTTTTAAAAAAATTTTTAAATAAAAATATTTTTATTGAAAAATTTTTTTAAAAAAGGACAAATTTGTCTATACCTATAAAATTTATTTGGAAATATATCATTCTCAATAGCAAGTCGTACGTTATTAGTACGTCTGACTTAAAACTATTTGTACTACTTAAAATATTCGGTATTCGTATCCCTGAACGACAGTTTTATAAAAAATTTCAATTTTCTTTAATCATAATTTTTTTCCAAGTTATATTATTTCAAATAATTATTTATAACAATTTTGATTGATATTTAATTTAAAAAACAAATTTCTCTAATTGAGAAAAAATTTCTTTTAAATTCAAAACTTCCTTTCAAGTAAAAACAAAATATGTTTCATTTGAAACGCGTATCGTAAGCTTTTTTAATAAAAAATTAAACCACAAAAAACAATAATATAAAGTATTTAAAAAAAAATTTTAACAAATATTTTAAGAAAATTAATTAATTTAAAAAAATTTAACAAATATTTTAAGAAAATCTATTGATTTAAAAAAATTTAACAAAATATTTCAAGAAAATTAATTAATTTAAAAAGTATTTTAAAAAACTAATTATTGCATATTATTCTTAAAGTTAGAATACAGTGTTGTTAAAAATAAACAAAAAATTAAAAATTAGGAAACAAACGAGTGCAAAGAAAATCTTATTTTATTTATTTATTAAAAAATAGAATAAAAAATACTAAAATTAGTTTTTTCTCAATAATGATTTTACTAATTAATTTAATTTTAAAAAAACTAAAAATAAAATAAAAATTCAACTTGAAAAATTATGTTTAAAGAAAATAAAAAAAATGAAGTCCTTTAAGGATTCTGATATAATTTTTTGAGCGCCACTCCTGTAACACTGGTGATAAACCGAAGCTGAAAATATGTGACCTTTACAGACAAGAGTATAGAACCTACACAATGAAAATTTTATGGTTATAATGCGTATCAGAACCCCCATGATTTGGGGAAAAACATTCAAGGCGCAAACTCAAACTAGCAGGGGCTTTCACCTATACAATATATCGCGGCTTATATAGAAAGCGAACACCCTTGTTTTCAAACAGTTGACAGTCGCGTTGAAGCGGTGTTGTTACTTTGACCAATATATAGGTGACCAAAAAAAAAATATTTTTTTTTCACTCCAAAAATAAGAAAATCTTTCATACAATGGCAAAAATATTATAATAAAAGTCTCATTGAAAAATGGACGGAAACGAAAATAATTCTCATCTCTAAGTTCAAAGTGCAAGAGCTTGCAAGAAAAAAAAAATTCGATCTAAAGAACATCATCGCGCACCACTTGTGGATATGTAACTTTTTTCCCTCGAAAAGTACCGGTTGCTTATATATATATACATGAGCAACGATAGTATAATTTTCCAACTGAAATACTAAAACTCAAAAATAGACGATAAAAAAAATATTTGGGAAAATTTTCAAATTTAATATTTTTAGAATTTGTTTTTACAAATTAAAAAAATATCAATTATTACTGAAATTTCTCCTGCAGTGTAATCAAGTCAGTGACAAAAAAATAATATTGTAAATTAAATATTTTTACAAAATTTAAATCCAATATACATGAAATTTATAATGTAGAGAAACATTTAAGTAATTGGTATGGAAGCAACAAAAACGAAAACGACAAGTGATAGTAAAAATAGTAAGGAAATCAAATCAAATGTCCAGAAATATTTAAAGAGAAATTAGGTAAAAAAAAATAATTAATTAAATAAATGAAACGAGTAAGAAAATTAAAGTGCGACATCAGATAAAAAAGAGTAAGTAATAAAAACAAGAAAAAACAATATAATTATATCTAAAAAAAAAAAGTTTAGTTCAATAAACCAAAAAGTATTTATGTCACTCATTTATATATAATAAATAAAAAAATTTAATTGTTATTTATAAAACCCTAGACTGAATTAAGAGAAAAATTTACATAACTAAATTAAATTATAACTTTTTCAAATTAAGAAAATTCTCTCTAAATCTGAATTATAGTAAAAATTTGGACAAATTTGAATTTATTCTTAATTTTTTTCTATACAAATTGGTTAAATTTTACCAATTTGTAAAATAAAATTTCTAACTGACTGATTAATAATTTAATTAATTAATTAATTAATTAGTAATTAAACTAATTCATAACAAAAAGCCAAATCACTAATTATTTTCATAACATAAAACTAACAAAAAAAAAAATCGGAAAAAAATTTTGTTATTATCAGACAATGAATTACTTTACTATAATAAAAAATAAATAAATATATTATTTATTAGTAAAGTTGTAAAACTTAATAAGTGAAACACAACTTTCTGAACTAAATATAAAGAAAATTGATAACAAAGAAAAAAAGTTTTTAAAAGACCCATTAAAAAATAAAATGAAATAACTAAAATGATAAAAATACTAAAACTACTAAAAATACTAAAAATAATAAAAATAATACTAATAATATCATTATATAAGTATCATTAGAATAATATAAATCATTACCGAAAAAAATTGATTCAAATAATCGGTTACTTGACTATTATTAAATAAATATTTGTTTTCAATAATTTTTATTTGTATCGAATAATTTTTATTTGAATCTAATAATTTGTATTTGTATCTAATAATTTTTGATATATTTTTCCTATCCTAAAAAATTGCCAAATTTAAAAAGAAATTATAATTTATTATTAATTATGGGATAAAACATCAATGAAGATTCAAATAATTTTAATTTGAATCAAATAATTTTAATTTGAATGATATAATTTGTATTTGAATCAAATAATTTGTATTTATATCAAATATTTTTCATTTCCATCAGATAATTCTTATTAGTATCAAATAATTTCTATTTCAATCAAATAAACTGTATTAAAACCAATAATTTCTCTATTTGAAACAAATAAAATTTAATTGACTCAAATAAAAATTATTCGGTTCAGGAAAATATTTATTTGATAATAGTAATCCATTATTTGAATCAATTAAATATTTTTTCAGTGCATTATATCGAAAAATACAAAATGTAAAGTAATTCATAATTTGCAAAAACAAAATTTTTATTATGTTAAAAAATAAAAAAAAAATAAAATTCGAAATTTTAATTATTATTCGTCTAGACATTATGATAGAATATTTTCAATTAATTATATTGAGGAATAACGTCAATTTCTTTTCTCAAGGTCAATTCTCAATTGTCTTTTATAGAAGCATAAAGAATCTCGGATTAATGCGATGGTAATAGAAATTCACTGGTATTAGAGAGAAAAAAAAATAAGAAAAAGAAAAAAAAAAGAGTAAAAGGTGATGTAATACTTGTTTCATTAATGAAATTAAAGGATAATTATTCTCGGGGTATATAGTGTAATTGAGAGCATTCAGGCGCGTCTTAGTAGAGCATTCCGAAGACGAAGGTTGCTAACAAATACACAAGACTTCAACCATATACATATATACTGTGCTAGATAAAAATAAGGGGATAAAAATATATACATATATATATATATATATACACTATAGACTTTGATAGGAATCGCTAAATGTCTCTGGCGCGTCGTATTATTAAAACCTAACGAAAGCACCCTTATTTTTTTCCAGATATTGATTTTTTCTCACATTTAGTACTACAAACATTTCCTTCAAAACATTTTCTACTTCGATTTTATCGATCACTATATTCTGTTAAGTCAACTAATTTTGCAATACAAACACACACATTCATTTAAGGAGTTTAGTTGTTAATTTAAAATTACGTTTTCCTTCGATATACAATAAAAAAAAAATTTATTTCATTCAAATAATCCGTTACTTGATATCATAAAATAAATATTTACCAAATATTTTTTTTCAATTAAATAAACTGTAGTTGAATCAATAATATCTGTTTTTTAAACAAATATCATTTAATTGATTGAAACAAAAATTATAATTTATTTATTTATTATTTAGTAAATAATTATGATAATATCAAGTAACCGATTATTTGAATCAAATAAATTTTTTTCACCAAGTAAAATATTTATTTATTTATTTAAATAATTGACAAATTTAATTCTATAAAATTATATAAAAAAAATCGAATAACGACTGAAAGAAATTTTTTTTTTTGCAAAATTTCGAGTTAATATTGAATTTCTTTAGAAAAATATGAAAAAAAACAATGCAATATAATTTACTCATTTACAGATAATTTGAAACTTGTCCCATGGATCGAAATCGATGTCCGACATAAAGTTCCGTGAACTCCCGACTACTTAATCGATGAATTTTTACTTAATATTTCGATGGAACTAGAGAGCGTTAATGCTGACCGATTTGATAAGATCGTATGGCACGAATAAAAAAAAGAAAATATATAGTCGACTTGTTTATATTTGCTAAAACAGTGTTTATTTCAACAAACAGTATATTAACTGTTACAACAAAGAAAAACTCAAATTAACCAAATTTATCTCAAATTTCGGATTATTATTTTAGAAAGAGAATTATTTGCAGTATGAAAAAAATGCAATTTCAGGAGGTTTCAATTTTATTGAAACAAAAGAAGAAATTTTATTCGAAACGATGGTACAATTTTCTAGAAACGAAATTTTATCGATAGAAAAAAATGTGATTTTACTAAAAATGTAGTTTTTTAATGAAAAAATGCAATTTTACGAAAAAATATCAAATTTTACAAAATCGAGATTTTGAACAAGAAAAATCAAATTCCACTAAGAGCCAAGTTGATGTCTTGACAAGAGTTAAAAAAAAATTCATCGAAGAAAAAAAAATTCATTCTAAAATCGCAGCAATATGGGACGCAAGTATAAACATCGTTTGATTCCTGAACAGGATCGTAGAATATGCGGTAGCATTTGTTTATGTCAGTTCACAATAGTGATTAGTTGCGTTGCTTTGGTTTATCTAAGCGTCGCCATCTATATACCATCTCATCGGTAAGTCACGAGATTGTCGTGATTGTTTGTCCTACACTACATATATACAATATTAACCCTAATGGATCGAATGTGTTATATAGCCCCATATTTCCATCTATATATATACCTAGAATATAATCTAGTACACCACTTTTAGTTACTCACTCTGAGTCGATCAATCTTTTCTTGTCAGTCCTTAATTTTATCTATAGAACAATCTTTACGCATAAATATAGAATTGTCATCATATACATATACAACCAAAAAAAATAATTTAATCGATAACTCAATTCTAAATGTTAAAAAAAAATGTTAATATTTGAAAAATTTTTAAATATTTAAAATATTTTACCAAATTATTATTTTACTTTTTAATTAATTATCTTATATGTGAAGAAAATTAGGTCTCATGGTTTCAATTGCAGAGCAAACTTTCATTAAAGTAATTAAAAACTAACCTTTTTCCTCATATCAATTAAATTTTAAAATTATATATCAAATTTTTTTTTGCAATAAAGTTAATTAAAAATTTTATAACAATTTTAGCAATAAAAATGTCATAAACTCTCAATATTAAAAAAAAAAATTACTTTGAAAAAAATTAATTTATTATTTTAAAAATGCTTTTGTGTTTCTTTCGACTTTTATATAATAAATAAATTTTTGCGAACTTGTAAATTGCTTGTCAAATAAAACTCCTGAACTTTTTACCTCATTTTCATTTTATAGAATAGAACAAAAGTTAATGAATATTTAATGTAAATTGATTTTATAAATAATAAATGAATTGTCACAGTCATGAGACAATGTTAATTAGATAAGGATTACGTTATTTAATAAAGAAAAACAAAAAAAAAAAAATTGAAAGGAAAATTTCGATTCGGTTTTTTTCCACTTTAATAATTGAAATAAAATGATAATGAAAAAATCGTTTTTCAGTGCTTTCAATGCTGGTATCGAACCACATCCGGTGATGTGCCAAACGGTAAATGCAACTCTCGTTAATTCTTGCACTTGGGCAAGCTGCGGTGAATGGTGTTTGACAAAAACAACAGGTTTTTGTCCCCAAATTCATGCAACAGTTAGACGAAATGGCACTGACATTATTTTTGAAAATTGCACAAATAGTGCCAGCGTTTTTTGTCCCCAGGTAAGAATAATCTTTTGAATTAACGAAAAAAAGGGAAATTTGATCGAATTCTTATTGATCCACAATAAGAAATTTTTTTAAATCTTTGATTAATTAATGAAAACTAAATTTTTTCCTATTACTCGTATTGCGATTCATAAATTTTTCGAAATTAAATAATGAACCTATTTTAGAATAGGGACTTGCCAATCGCGAATTCCCACGTTGATGGCAGCATTTTCTGAACTCCTTTTCGAAGATTCTTCTCCTTTTTTTTCCTTTTCGAATCTGAAAATTTTAAAAAAATTAAAATATTTGTTTAAATCAAATTTAGATTTTAATAAATCTTAAGAATAGAAAAATTATTTATTATAGAATAAAAAATTACATTGTTCAGCATCCGTCTGTGCCTGATCTCCATTCTGGAGCTGCCATAAAAATCACTCGAGATTTCCAAACACTCCCGAAATCACTTCCTATTCGAAAAAAATACATTTTACAAAAATACTAAATTCGAACACTCCCGAAAAAAGTTTAGAACCGTAAATTGAAATACACTTTATTGAATAAATAAAAAATCGCGATTTAAAGAAATTCGATCATTTTCGAAAAAAATATTTCAACTCAAAATTTAAATACTTTACTGAATAATTAATAAACGATCGCGGTTTAAAGAAATTCGAACACTCCCGAAAAATAAAAATTCAACTTAATATTTAAATACTTTACTGAATAATTAATCGCGGTTTTAAAAAAATTCGAACAATCCCGGAAAAAATTTTAAGAATTACAAATTGAAATACTGTATTAAAAATCGATCGCGGTTTTAAAAAAATTCGAACACTCTCGGAAAAAAAATTTTGAGAATTAAAAATTGAATAAAAAAAAAACGATCGCGGTTTTAGGAAACTCGAGCACTCCCGAAAAAATATTAAAAATCACAAAAAATTTAAATATTTTACTATTATAAAGGATTATAATTTTCAAAATCGCGAACTAATTCCAATAGGCAACTGTTTGATACTCAGTTGCAACTTTAAGGCGTATCTGTATTTCAGAAGGTAAACAAAATTTCCAGTCTCGAAATCTGACCCTCAATAACACGGGTCCTATTATTGTGTTTATCTCTATCTGACTACTCTTCCAGGTAGTTAATTTTTATTGCAGACTGAGATTTTAATCCAAAAACCGAAATTATTTCCAAAGAGAAATTATTACAATTCTCTAATTCGTGTCTCGCTCCATCAAAAAAAAAAATTAGGGTCTTTCATTTCCAAAAACCGAAATTATTTCCAAAGAGAAATTATTACAATTCTCCAATTCGTGTCTCGCTCCATCCAAAAAAAAATTAGGGTCTTTCGTGGCAATTAGAGGTCATTCAAAATTAGCCCCTCTTTCACTCTCTCGTTTTCTTTCCTTAAAAATAAAAAAAAATAAAATTACAATAAAGAAAAAATATTTTTGTTTAATCCTAAAGCAGAATCCGTTTTCAAAATTAGTAACTAAAATATTTTCAAAATAATAATTATAAAACTAAAATAATTCCAGGTAAACTTGGGCGCTGTAAGAAAATATAATTGCAACAACGGTAGCGAATGCAGTGTATTAACGGGAGTTTTTAATTGTAGTTTAGGTCATTGCGCGAATATTAGTGAATTAATGTTATGTCACTATGTTGCCGATGGAATAACAGTTGACGCTGAAAAGGACAATATGAAATTAAATGGCTACTTTAGCTGCCAAAATTCACGATGCACAAGAATACGTAAAGCATTCTCATGTGATCGTTACTGCCCAAAAATAAGTACATCAAATATCAATGTATTTCTAATGCAAAATGACAACATTATAACAGCATCATGTTCACGTGCTCTAGCCTTAAATAGTGCCAATGGTAATTTACCAGGTGAAAGGCTATCGACTCCAAAACAAATTTGGGATCACTATAGTGATCCAATAATTACAAGTTGTTTTCTTGTATCTCGAGAAGGAAGTCGAATTAGGTATTATTTCGAAAATTAAATTTTTTTATTTTTTTTAAATAAAAAATGATTCTATCATTTTTCAGAGTTGAAGATTGCGTAAATGGAACATATTTAAATAAGGCATTAATTCCACAGCCATCGACAAATTTCACGACATTTTTAAATCTTTATGAAAAAAGTCTAACACGTCCAGTGGATCCAACAAATGTTTTTGTACCAGCCCAACGTACATTAACAATTTACAATTCTTCCAGACTTTATATAAATCTTGAAGGTTGTGTAAATACTTTACGAGGTGAATGTCGTGAATTTTTACAAACTCATGGAAGAGATGGAGATAATCAAACTGCACAGAGTAGATATCCCTGCTATTATAACAAAGTGAGAAAAACAATTTTATTTCTAGTATTTATTATTAAATTATTTATTAAAATATTCCCGTTAAAATTCTCATAACCAAAAAAGTATTTTTTCCCCCCTATATTTCTCTCCGAATAATGTTTATTCATATTTTATTTATATTCATGAGATTAAAAAAAAAAAAAAATTTTCAGAACAACTCGTTTATGGTAATAGCTCGATTTGATTTGAATAAAACTCGAACGGAGCTATTGATTGCTATAATAGTGCCATCAACTTTATTTGTCATAAGTCTCACAACACTGGTCATCATAACGCGATCAGTACAAGTTGGAGATGACGCAAAAATGAGATGTCGATATTGTTCGGATAAACAAGAGAATGAGGGAGAAGATGAAGGACTTGTAGCTGGATCATCAGCACCATACCGTGATCATGTCAACGAAAATGAGGTCAGAACAATTCTCTAAGACAACATTTTTGTTTTTTTTTTCTCTTGATTTTTGATTTAAAAAATCTTCAATTGAATGACCAAATTTAAAAACTATTTCATCGAAACTAAATAAAAATGAACATTAATTAAGCCTAAATAATACTCTTTATATTCAATTTACTATTGAACTGAAAATAATTTTTTAATTTTTCAAATATTTTCGAGAAATTTTTTTTTAAATATATTTAAAAAATTAGTATCATAATTTTTACAAGTCAATCAATTTTTATGGTTAAAAAAATTAACCATTGGAAAAATTTAAAGAATTTTTCAAAAAATATTTCACCCAATCGTAATTTTTACGATCGATTATCGTAATATAAAATTGATTTTATATTATTTAAAATTAGAAAAAATATTTATTAATTTGTATTTCAAAAAAACAAATTTTTTCGCATTTCAGATTGATCTTTAGTTAAAAAAAACAATCATCCACATATTATTTTTTTTGGAAACATTTTGCAAACCACGTGATAAATTTTTTATCGGACACTCCGAAAATTGCGCACAACATGTGGTTTCATATTTTCAACATTTTTTTTTTCATCTTTTTTTGAAAATCATAATCGTAATTGCATGTATTTTCTCTATTATAATCATCAATGAATTCATTTCTGGGTAAGTGGTTCTCTATTTTAACTTTAATATTATATATGTCTTTACAATGCTGGTCATTTAAATTTAAATATAGGTTTCTCCAGTAGTTCAAGAAATATCGACAATAAATGTAAAGTTTTCTTTAAGCGTTTTTTTTTTTCATAACATTCACATGATTAATTTTATCATTTTTCTCATTAATTATTTTCAAAACAAATATTTACGTACAAATGACAATTTAATGAAAATTAAAAAAAAAAATTTATTAATTGTGTTTAATCACTGCCCTGAGCGAATATTGCTAATAATTTTTAAAATGCAATATTGATTTGAATATTACTATATAAATATATTTGAATATTATTAAATTAAAATCAATTATTAATTTAAATTAAAGCTGATGTACTCGTTAAAGTAGATGTAAAAAATAATCTTTAACCCTACTTCTAGTGATAATTCTATTAATTTAAGTCTCATATAAAAATAAAACTATTTAATTACTGAAAAGCAAAAAAAAAATCATACCGAAAAAAAGAAATGAATTTTTTTTTGATATGCAATAAAAAAATACTATTTTCGATCCTTATTGTAAGCCTAAGGATGAGGAAAAGGAAAATGTGCGAATATTAAAAAAATCTAAATACTAATTTAGTCATTAATTTAAATTAGTTAAATTTTTTACTAAATCAGATTTAGAGATTAAATTAATAATAATTATTCATAAAAGAAGTTTCATTTAAAGAATAAATTATTTTTTGTCAAGTCTTTTCGTCTTCCTCATTCATTATTTGAAAACTGAAGTATATGTAAATGAGACCATTTAGAAAGTTACCCTCGTTGGGGCCAAACTGTGCATCGTAAATGTATTTCTGCAACTGTTGCCTTGAACCATTTTATATATAATATATCTAATGAAAGTGAAGCAAATTATATAATCAAAATATTTGTATGTAATTTTACGAAAATTAGTTTTGCATTTGCAAAATAGGTACTTAATATTGAATCTCTCTAATTTTAATACAAAGTTATATTCAAAAAATTCCATTTTTATTTTTTATTGAAATTAGAGATCTGTAATAAAATTAAAAACTCTTAATCGTTCATATATTATAAAAAAAATGTGTCTAAAATAAATTATTTAATCGAATCGCTTTCGATGTTGGCACTCATTAAAAAAAAAATACGTGAAATCATTCATCGAATTTTACGTCTTGAAATTCACGTCTTTATAAATATAGTACCTATGTAAATTAAGTATTTTTAATTCGGTAATCCTATTCTATAATCAACTTTTAATATTTTCTATAAATTAAAAAATATTCTTTCTTAAAAGAAAAAAATAATTTTTTTATATTTATTTTAATAATCACTTAGTATTATATTAATAATATTAATGTAATAAATAATAATATATTATATTAACAATATAAATTATTTGATTATTTAAAATAAAAATATTATTAAACTGTTATATAGTTTTGTAAAATAATATATAATTAAAGTTATAAATTGTTATTCAATATTATTCTATATAAAAACTGTTTTTTTTTTTTGAGATTCAAAACTGATTATTAATTTTCACCTGTTTTTCAATACACCCGGCCTAATTGTTACTAAAAATTAACTTTTCCGAAAACTATCCAATAATTGAAAGTATAAAAAAGGCTTTAATGAATCAAAATAAATATCAAAATAATATAATATTGTAAAATTAAATTTAAATATTTTTCTACATTTTTTTCCTTCAAGAAAATGAGTCATAGACTCATTAATTAATGAACTACAATTAAATTTTTAAATCAATTACTATTTTTGTAAACCGAATTATTATTAAAATAAATTTATAACAATAAAAAAATTTATTTCATTAAATTAAAGCCTTTTTCTCACCAACTTTAATTTATTATTTTAACGAATTGTCTATAAAAATTATTTCAAAAATAATATGCAATAGAAGCATATACACATTGCGATTTTTGTACACAGCTAAAATTTCTGTGAGTGCAAATAAGAAACAATTATTTTTATCTTTAAAAATATTATTAATAATATTTATCTATTATATTATATTTTAATTATATATAATTATATTAATTTTCTTATACTAATTAATTTTAGTAAAAAAAAAACTATATTTTAAAGTAAAAGATAGAATTATAATGTATTTAAGTTAAAAATAGTATTAAGATATAGAAGTAGGTATTTTATTCGATGAATAAATTCGATCAATAAAATATTTTATTGGCTGAGCAAAATGATTATTCGCAATGTGCTTTTATACTTCACTTGCTATGGTCCACCTGTTACTTGATCGACCAAGGTGATGAATAATAATTTTATAATCTAGTTATATAAGAGCTTGTAAGTGTCCGTGAGAGATTACATGAATTCAAATTTTAATTAATTCTCTTTAATGAATAACTGATGCACTTTCTCACTAGTATATATTAATGACAAATAAAGTGTTCAGTTTATATTTAAATTATTCATGCGAAAACGGATTTTCAAAATACCAAATCAATATCACGTGACTAAAAAAAAAAAAAAGAAAAAACGCTTTATAAATCCTTTGCACCGACTGTTTAATTTAACTCGATTTATAAACAATGTTCGATCAGTGCAAATTAATTTTTTAAGGAGGTGCCAAATATATTTTATTACTGTAATTTAATATGAAAATATAAAATGACAAATTATAATTTCTAATTAAAAAGAAAAGATAATTTATAACGAAAAAAAAAGTTATAATTTTATTATAAATTATATTTTATAATTGTAAATTATAATTCATCTAGATTTTAATTTAATAATTCATATGTATAATTATCTTATTAGAAATTATATTTCTGATAAAAAGTATTTAAATAGGAAAACAAAAATAATTATACAAAACAATAAAATAGGGGAAAAAAATGGAGATAATAAATGTATTAAAAAATAAAAAATAAAAATATAACAAATATTTATTAAATTTGGTACCCTCTTAAACGAAACATAAATTTTTCTCTCGTAAAAAATTTAATATTTATATATACGATTTTATGCAAATTTGCGCTCTCTAATAACAATTCTCCGAAATGTAAATTGTAAATCTACGTGCCTTCGCGGTTTATATTTGCTAATTACACTGATCGTATTTTCACTCAACGATATCACAACAAATGTATGCAATTCGACATCAATTGTCATATATTTAATAAATCTACTATACTACTACCGTCAAAAAAATGAAAAATTTGTAACATCTCTTCAGAATTATACTTTGAGCCATATGTGTTTTTATAATAAACTCTTTAAATAATCTTTACATTTGGTCTTATTAATTTAGCTGTCTATTATTTATTTGATTTAATAATTTAATTTATTAATTAAACCAAAAATATAATTTATAATTCTATAATTTTCAAAAATCTTTGATTTAAAAACAAATTCTATCCGTCCTTTCATAAAAATTTGTATTACAGTTAATATTAATTTTAAAAAAATAACAATTTATCCATATTAATTAATTAACATACAATTGATAATTAATTTGATATATAACCATGAATATGAATTAGAATAAAAAAAAATTATTCAACAAAAACTTATTATACAAAATATTTTTAAACATTGATATTTTTTTAATGCAATTAGTTTTATAAAAATAATTCTGTGAATTAATGACGTTATATTTGATAAAAATCAGAATGTAATCTCTAAAAGAATTATAACGTGTACATTAAATATAGTCAATAATTCCTTGCGTGATAGGGGACAGTTAAAATCGAGGGCATCTTTTAGTCAAACTTTCAAAAAATTATTTCTTATAAAAAAAAAAAAATAATCAATATAAAAAGTGAAAACAACATTTAATCATATTTCATGGTAATAAATCAATAAAATCTCAATATAAATAAAGCAAAGTTTCATAAAACTTTTTAAGAAGTCAAGTGTTTTAAATATTTAAAAATAAATAAAATATTAAATAACTTTTTATATTAACTATTAGTTAAAATTTATAATTATCTGAAATTCATAATTATTAAAAATTATAATTATATTAATATAGTCAATATTAAAAAATTGGATAGTAAAAGTTTAATTGTAGAGGCAATTATGAAGCAATTATGGAAATTCTAATTAATGATTTTTCCAAGAAACAATTTTTTTTTTTTGTTAAAATGTATAAAATATATAAATTTCTATAGAGAATATGATTAATCATTAAACATCTAGGTTAATATGTAACAAATTTTAAGATAGAAAGTAAAATAAAAGATAAGTTCAAGGAAATGCCGTAAGAATTTCCGTTTCTCGAGTCCAGTTCTAAAAGCGATAACGCCCATTGAAAAGGGCAACTGGAAGGTCATGAGAATCGATATATATATAAAAAGGGGTTGGTAATAGTTTATATGTGAATCGATGCATTTTTGCACACCCCACCGACTTTTGTGTCATCATTTTTCTCTTGGAAAATACGTTTTCCAATGTTTGAAAAGTTTAAAATAAAAATAGATAATTATATAATATAATGAACCTTATTTTACCGACTTCCAATATTGTATCGACAGAATCAGAAAAAATATAACTAAAGTTATCTATATTTTATAAACATTCTTTTTTATCATAGAAAAAAAAATAAAATTGTTACTTACCTTTAATTCCTCCTGACGTCTGTAGGCGTGCAGCATCAATTGCTTCTTTTCATCTTCAGACATTAAAGGTTCACGTGCCGGTCTACCGGAACCTCGTTTCTGTAGTTTGACAATAACTTTCGTTTTTTCATTTTTACCAACGAAATCCTTGATTTTCATTCCTCGCATCATTTCCTTTCCGGAAAACCATAATTGCGCCAACTGTACGTCAATTACCTGAATTGTTACATTTTTTATTAAAAATAAAAATTAAATTAATAATAATTTCGCTCTAAAGGAAAAACATTCAAAATTAATTAACTTTAATTCATATTATTTTTTGCTGAGACATTTAACTAATTAAAAATGATTTCTAATAAGCAAATAAAAAGTATATATTTTTATAATTAAAAATAAAAAAAACTTACCTCTAAAGATGCTTGAGTGCCGCTTAAATTTTCATTGTTTTCAAATTCTTCACGAATTACGTCATGTGGTGGAAGTCCCATAGGATAAACAATTGTCACAGCTCCTCTCAATAAATCCAATGAATCCTGAACAATCTTTTGAGTCACTAATTTTTCTTCCAGTACCAATTTCTGCGAAACGAGCAACAAACAAATTAATTGAATTTTTAATTATTAAACTTAATAAAATTGAAATTATTTCGAATATTTTATTACCTTGGAAATTAGTTCTCGAGCATCTTCCACTGATTTATTCAGAATCTCAACCATTGCCTTATTAGGTTGTTTTCCATTTCTTCGACCTTGTGGAATTAATAAAAAGAAATTTGTTATTTAAATTAATATTAATTTTTTAAAAAATGCAATCATCTTGATTGATAACTCTATTATGTGCATTATTTGCAAGAAGATTATTTAAATACAATAATAAATAATTCATTAACGAAAAAAGTTATAAATATTAAATTATAATATTCATTAATATATTCATACCAATAGGATCTTTTTTAAATTCAAATCCTCCTGAGGGCGTGCATTTTTCTCCCCATTCGTCTTTGAGTTTTAATTCTTCAACTTGCTCATCGGTTAATCCCATAATATTTGGAGGTAACATTGTTCCGTATTTTGCCAATTCTTCAATTTCTGTATATTGAAAATTTTAATTATTTATTAACTAATAATTATTATAGTTTATATTAATATAATTTTCAGTCTCTGGCTATAAAAAAAATATATTTACCATAACAAATTCTTGAAACTTTTAAACGACCATTGTAAATAATTGTTATCTCTTCAATTACATCATCAACATTGGCTTCAGTTGTTGTATCGTATAAGAATTGACTTTCGTCACCCTTTTTCACATGAAATCGTACCATTCTAAAATTTTTCAAAAGTTTCCCTTTTCTTATTATTGATAATAAAATTAAAAACCAAAAAAATTAATAATTTAAATAAAATTTTTAGCACAAAAATTAAGTATTTTTGTAAACAATACAAATGGCAATACCAAACGAAAGATTTTAACCTCTTTTTATAAACTATTAATATTTATTAATCACAGTATGATTATTATTATTACTAATATTATTAATAAAGCACAAGGGAATTGTAATTTAATGAAAATAAAAAATGCATACCTTATTTTTTTCTCTAAAATGCCTTTTTTCTTCGAAAATGTAATTTTTGTGAAATTAATACGCCGGCAGCAAAGTGAAGTTATCTTCTTAAATAATAAACATTTCTTCGTTGCTATAACAACACACTGATTGATCAAACATGACGAACCATTATAGAAGGGAAAATCCAACTTTTAAAGTCTCCTCCTCTTTTTATACATAAACAATAATCTTTCTGTAATAAAAAAAAAAAAAAATAATAAAAAATTTTAGTTTCTTTTTTAGAAAACTTGATGCACCCTCTAGGCATAAGTTATTTTTCCAATATATTGGAAATATTGGTGAAATATTTTAAAATAGCGCTATCGAGGAAACAAAATGAATGAAAACAATTTTTTTTTCTACACTTTTAGTAAATATTTTACTATATAAATCAAATATATTTTATATATTAGATTATATTTTTAAATTAAATTTTAATGTATCTATTATTTACAGAAGTTGTTAATTTTGATTTTTAAAATTAAAAATATAATGTTTCAGAAAAATGGCCAACAGCACCAAGTATTTTGTATTTCTTCAGGGGATGGTTCGCGTCTACGTGGATATGCACGTGGTTCATTATTGCAAGGATGATAGAAATTTTTACGATTTTTAAAGTAACATGACGTTCCTCTTGAATAATATTGTGGATTTCGATAGCAATGAATAACTCCTAAGAAATGAATTTCTCAAAAAAAAAAAATCCCCTTTATAGAATATAGCAACATAAAATTTAATATTTATCGTCCCATAAATATTATATTGTTGCAAAAATGTTTCTAAATAAAAAACTAATTAAATTAAAGTTTTGTACTCACTTTTACATTTCGAACAATTTGTCATCGGTGGAAAAAACTGTTGCGAATTACGTGAATGACAATGTTCGCAAATTTTATTGCAAGAATACTTTAAACTATCTCGAACTTCTCGAATTTCCTTCATCATTGACAAACATAAATTCATCATTTCTTTCGTATCACTTGAATCGCTTAATGATTTTTCATCTTCCGTCGATATTGATTTATCGTCAAAAGTACGTTGAATTGTACTTTCAGCTGTAAAAACAATTTCTCGATTGAAAAAAATTAAATTAAAAAGTTAAATTAAAAATTAAATTTTTCTTAATAACTTACAATTTACTAATGTTGTATTTGCTAGGTTACTGTTCGAAGTTTTTAACGGAGATGACAAAAGTTTATCAACTTGTGTGCCAATACTGATTTTTTCAAAAGATGAAAGTTTTTTTTGCAGGAATTCCGTTCGTTTTTTTATATCCTCGAGAGCATGAATCAAACGTTTTGCCGGTGAATTTCTATGATTGCTTAATTTTGAATCTATCGGTGAAATTCTTTTACAAAAAACATCACAACATACTCGACATCCTTGACAAAAAGCTCCACATGGAAATTCCGATTGCAAATAATGCATTATTTTCTATTTTTATGACATTTTTCGAATTTTAATTTTTTCACTTTCCTCGATAACCTAAAAATATAAATAACATATTTAATAAAATATTTTTTCCTAGTAATGTGGTAATATTCCCTATTTTACAATAAAAAGTTAATTGCAAAAATTGATCTGAAAAATTTTCTTACATTTTAATACATATCCAAGAATTGCATCACAATGAAATGAAAACTTTTATGAACATGATTCCAGCTAGTTCACCACTGTCACACTTAATATTTAAAAATTATCTAAATTCAATTTTTTATTACAGAAGTAAAAATCAGTTAAAAATTTTCTAACCTCATTCTTTGAATTTAGTTCCTAACGGTCGGGGAATAAATAACCGGAAATGTCGTAGTGGCGTCTTGTGGATGCGCAAACAAAAAAACGATTCTCATTGGCTAATGAAAATAAAGCTGACACGTGACGGTTGTATTATTTGAAATTTTCACAAATAAAACTAAATTTATTAATTAATTTAACTTCATACTTTTATAATTTTCCATTAATAAGAAATAAATATTTTATTTTATAATTTAAAAAAATTAAATAAATCAAAAGCTATCAATTAATTGATGAAACGTATATTAAAAAAATACGGATGTTCCGACATTATACAGTACTGCCCTCCCAAGGACGAATTTGTCTATATATTTTATTCAACGTCCAAAGAAACAAGTTTATCAAAAAGTAGTGTGACAGATTTGGCGCCAACGTGTTATATCTCTTTATTTTCATTATTTTTAATTAATTTATAAAAATTATAAGTAAGTAATTCATAATCTATAAGTGTCATTTAGTTATTTTAATTTAAATTATGTACTTGACGTTTAAATCATGGATTTTGTAAACTTAACCTCAAAATTTTTATAGTGGCACCGAGAAAAGGAACAAAAAGAGTTGCAAGTGCTATTGAAAAAGAAGATAAAATTACAAAACGAAGCAAGAAACTAGGTAAATTTATATTTATGTAAAAATTAAAATAAAATAGTTTTTAATTCATAAAAATACTTAAATTCACAACAGTTTCAATGTTGATGCTTGGCAATGAATAACGTCTTTTTTTTTGTATATAGAGAACAAATTTGACTATAATTTTGTAAATATTACTATTTTTTAAAGTTTATTAACATGTTTGATTAAATAAATCAAATTTATTTTGATTATATACTTTTTTATGTAATACTTTTCTAAATGCTTTGAATTATAACCTCGCTTGTTTTGTCACATGAGATTTAAAATGCTTTCATTAAAAATCGATAATAGAATGATTTTATCTTAAATTTAAATCATTTTAAATAATTTAATATTGTAACTAGTTTATTTAATTTCAAAATTAATAATCATTAATTAAAAATAAAATAATTATAATTTAATAAGTTTTTAAAGAAAATTATTTAAAAAGTAGTAGTAAAAAAATAGTAAATTTAATAAATAAATTTTAAAAATGTTTCAGAATTAATTTTATCACCTGATTTGCGAATAGTAAAAGAAGGTGGCATCGTTCTTTGTATTGGTCAAGGTGATGTGGGCCAACTTGGATTAGGACCAGACGTCTTAGAAAAAACTCGACCAGCCGCTGTACCAAATTATGAGAATATTGTTTCAATTGCAGCTGGTGGAATGCATAATGTGTGTTTGACAAAAGATGGAAAAGTATTAACGTTCGGTTGTAATGATGAAGGTGCATTGGGTAGAGATACAACTGAGGAAGGCACCGAAACAGTTCCTAATTATGTCAATCTTCCCGATAAAGTCATTCAAGTTTCAGCTGGAGATTCACATTCTGCTGCTCTCTTGTCTGATGGTCGTGTTTTTGCTTGGGGCTCCTTTAGGGTATTGTATTTTTTATTTCTTTCCTGTATATAAATATTTCTTGTATTTAATAAATAAATATAAATAAATATTTTTATATTTTTTAAACTTGATTTCTTTTTTTAGGACTCACATGGAACGATGGGCTTGACACTCAAAGGAAATGAGAAGCTTCCACTTGAAATGTTACCAGGTGTGATTGTAGCGAAAATAGCGTCGGGTGCAGATCATCTTATATTACTTGATTGTCATGGACGTATTTATTCATGTGGATGTGGTGAGCAAGGACAATTAGGAAGAATATCGCCAAGAAGTGCTGACAGACACTGTAGACAAGGTGTCGAACCTTTATTAATGCCAGCAATGGTAATGTTTAAGGTAGGACAAAAATTGGTATTTGACGATATTTGGGCTGGCACATATTGTACATTCGCAAGAAGCTATCCAAACGGTGAAATTTATACATTTGGATTAAATAATTATAAACAAACCGGTGAGTATTTCAATCTAAAAATAAAAAATAAAATATATATATTTAAAAAATGAAAAATAAATTAAAAAACCATTTACAGGATTGACTGATGGTGATATGCATTTCTTCCCACGTCTTTCAAAAACATTCAGTGGAAGAAAATGGATTCACATTAGTGGAGGACAACATCATACAATTGCTCTCGATGATGAGGGAAAAGTTTTCGTCATGGGACGAAAGGAATACGGTCGATTAGGATTGGGTCCTAATTGTGAGGATGCATCGTCATTAACACAAGTCCCGGCACTAGATTCATTTAAATGCATCGACGTTGGAGCGGGATCATCTCAATCGTTCGCCGTATCATCCTCGGGTACGATTTCTTAAACTCATTTATTTAAAAAAAAAAAAAAACAATATATTGTTTTGACAAAAAAATTTTTTGTAGGAGAATTATATGCCTGGGGAATGGGTTCGAATGGACAATTAGGAACAGGTGAAGAAGACGATGTAGAAACACCTCAGAAAATTAAAGGAAAACAACTTGAGGACAAAATAGTTATGAGAGTAACCGGTGGTGGTCAACACACTGCAATTTTAGCAGTGAAAAAACGATAAAAAAAAAAGAACAAAAATTTAAATAGATAATTGAAAATAATTTACAACTGCGCGAAGTTGTAACAAAGTTCTTTTGACGAAAGAAAAAGGCTGAACATTTGAAAAATAATTAAATTTGTTTTAACTTGCGCGCTAATTAATTGGTAGTGCTAAACAATTTAGGAAGCACACGGAGACTTAAATCATAAGCGTTAATACAATTAATATGTACATAACGTTTCACTAATCAAAAAAAAAAAAATATATTGATTTTTTTTTTTTGATAAATTTTGAGTTTTGTTACAATATTACTAGAATAAATTGTTTTTGCATGAACCACCATTTGATTGTATTTTATTACTAAGACGTTGTCTAAGTATTTTCTTTTTTTTGTTCATGTGCCAATTTTTTTTAATATCTTTTTGTTAGTGTTAAAAAGTGAGTGTTAAATGATTAACTGAAATTACATGTTTAATTGATTATGTATTGTAATTGTTTTTTTTAAATGTACATGAAAAAAATTTTTTCAATGAAGTTATTCATTGACAACAATAAAATACGTTTTTCCAGTAATTTCTTCGTATTTTTTTTTTATTTTCCTTCAAAATCCTATTATAAATTTAGTTTTTTAAATTCTCATTTTTCACTTTAAATCCTTTTTATTAACAACACATAATTACAGTATGTAACAACGTCGTCAGGATTTATAGAAATCTGAGGTCAATTATAACTAATAATAATAGAAATGAAAATAAACTAATTTCATTAGTAATTAAAATTACTAATGAGAATTCTAAATGCACGACTTTTTTTTAAATTTCGATGAACATTAATTTTATTAAATCAACGATGTTAATTTGCTAGTTTAGCTTGTTCTGCAACATTACTCTTTAGGGCATTTTCATCTTGCATTGTAATTTGTGTTAATTTTTTGCCAATTTTATCATGAACTTCAAAATATTTAGCAATACAACGATCAAGACATATTGATTCACCTTTTCCAAGTTCCGGTTCACGATACTTTGGTGGAATACACTTTTTGTGACACGCTGATGTCATTCTATTATACATATCGGACATCATTTCAATTTCCAAATCCTGGACCAATTTGAATTTTTCTTCATCCAATTGAGGTAGTGCTGCCATTTTTCTTTTTTTTTTTTTAATTTAATAATTTTCTTAATTTTATTTACCACCACAAAGTTTTTGATGTACGTTGAGACGGCTCTATTTCAGTGAAATCCAGATGTACGTTTTTTCTATTTTTCATACTATCATATCTCTTCGATGTTATATATCTTCTTGATAAAACAAAACCATATAATCCTGCGGTAACGGCAAAACCCCTAAAAACAATTATAATTTTTCTATACTCATTACTATATTAAAACTAAAGTTTTAACAACTAAATAAATTAATCGAAATTAATTTTTATTTTATTGAATTATACAATTTTAGATTTTAATTAACAAAAATTAATTTCTCCAAATTTAAATCAGCTACGAAAAAAAGTGAAAAAATATAAATTTTGAGGTTAGAAACATAGAAAAATATGAGTACAGCTTCTTATCGCAAGAATTCGATAAATTTAAATAAAATTCTCTATGTTAAAACATACCTACCATCCAATAAATATTTTCGTATGAACTGATAATCCTTTAAATCTTCTTACTATGGTACTATTCATTGAAAAGATTAAAGAATTTCTTTTTTAAAAAAAATGTACACGCGCTAGCTGCTGCGCAAACAATTTCCGTCTGTTTCCGTCAATTTTCGTCATTTGACGGAAGTTGTCGGTACAAGATCGGAAATTATCGAACAGTCCCGAAGTCAGTTGAAAATTTGAAAAGTAATTGAAAAATAGTTTTTAAACAATAATTTTTATTTATTTACCCGAAATATATGTTTTCGTGTTATAAATCGATAAAAAAAAAAGTGTAAAAACAATTCGTTATCTTAAAAAAAGTAAAATAAATCTTGCACATCTGTTTTATGGAAAAAGAAAGTTAAACATAACCTATTCCAGAAGCAAATTAACGTAAAAAGGTAAATAAAGAAAATTTATATTGTCTCTAATTTACCTTCTAAAACTCTAAGAAGAAAATATATAATTATGATAAGAAGAGAATTGAGTTCAAATCAAAATAAATAAATTTAAAAAACGCAATACAATGTCCTTCAATCCAAATAATATAATTGGAGTTGATCGCCCTTTGAAAATATTTGTCAAAGAAAGTAATAATATCGAAGAATTACCAGCTAAAAAGATCATCAGCAAACTTGGTTTCCAAGGTTTAGAGGCAAAGATCGCTTATGAGGAAGCTATCAATTTTCCCAATGAAAAATCACAACAAAATAATCAAACAAAGAAAATTGTCCGAGGAAAAAGGAAACTAATTGAAAATACAACAAGTGCAAACGTATCTGTAAATTTAATTTTCAAAGCAATTGAAAGTAAAGATATTTCATTTTTGAAAACTAATTTGCATACGAATAATATAAATATAACAGATGCCTATGGTTGGACGCCTTTAATGTCCGCAGCATACAGTGGAAATTTAGAAATTGTTCAACTTTTCCTCAAACTAGGAGCAAAGAAAAATATCAAGGATAAATCAGGATTAACAGCAGCAGCATTAGCTATAAAAAATAAATTTACAAATATTGTAAAACTCTTAGAGGAAAGAGATAATAAACTTAAGAACATTTCATCAAAAAATCCAACAGTTATTAATAAACATAAGAAAATAGAAAAAATAAATTTCTACTGCAATGTATGTAATTCCAATTTTGAGAATGTCACGCAATTAGAACACGAATCTTCGATTGTACATATTTTTAATATGAAGCCAAAAATATCGGGAGCTCATTACATTGTTCCAAAGGGAAATAAAGGCTATCAAATGCTTATAAATTCAGGATGGGACGAGGAACATGGTCTAGGACCATCTGGAGAAGGTCGTAAATATCCCGTTAAAACTATATTAAAACAAGATCGAAAAGGTCTTGGACTTGAGGAGAAAAAAAATAATATTCCAAAAGTCACTCATTTTAAACCTGGTGATCGACGAGCCATCAAAACAAAAAGAAGAGCACCCAATGAACGAACTTTAAAGAAATGGGAACGAGATAATCATCTTCAACGGGAAGCACGAAGAGACAAAGCACTTCGAAAAGCATTGTCCTAAGAAAAAAAAAGTGATCGAAAATAATTTTCGATTAAAGTACGAGAATTTTTTATTTCAACATTTGAGAAGAAATGAAAATATAATCTTATATTTATTTTCTATTTATAAAAAACGTTTTTTTATAAATTTTTGGTTTTATTTTTCTAGACAATGGACATCAACCAGAAGGAGTTATTAAATCATCTTGAACAAGTGGAAAGAAAAGCTGGAGAAATTCTAACTGATAGACAAGATATTGTTGCACTTGACATGAGAAGAAATGACGATCGAGTTGGTTTACGAGCATTACAAAAACAAAAGCACGATAAAACTTGGTTAACTGTTGGACCAATACTAATGAAAATGACCTCCAAAAATGCTGAGGAATTATTATTAAAAGGTTCGATCATGTAATTTTAATTTTAAACCTTATTAAAATGAAAAAATATTGCTTTACCTTTTTATGATTTCTTCCAGATCAAAATCAATGCGATATAGAAATTAATAAACTTCGAAGTGAATTAAAAGTCAAGGTCAATGAATTACGTGATTTGGAAATGACTCCACCTGTTCCAGGACTTATGTTAAAACCATTGTCTCATTCTGAAATGTCGGCTATGAATCAAGTTCTAGGATTATAGAAACTTATTTACATGGAAAAAAAACTCCACGTTTAAATTACTGAAAAAAATACTTAAATTTTATTCATCATCGACAGTTAAATTTTGTATAAAAAAAAAGATTTATCACAATGTACACAAATTGTTAAATGAAATTAATGTAAATATAATAAACTAAAATCTATTTACATGTTTAATTTTTAAATTGTGTTTAATTTTCAAAAAAAAAAAAAACGTTTTTTACCTTACAATTACTTTTATCCGAGGAATATAAAAAAAAGGGATACGATTCCTTTAGGATTAATTTAATTTTGTATTAATTCGTTGGCTTTGTCAATAAACCATTGAGGTAAAAATGTATATTGCGAAACATAACTCGATGAATGTTGATTATTAAGTACATTCAACTCGACTTCTTCACTACCAGGACTGTAGGAAAATTTATAAATACATTTGTCGTAGTCTTTGGTAACGACCCTTTTAACATGATTCAAAAATGCATCACCAAAATTCATACAAGGCGATGGCTCCCAATTGTTCTAAAAAAAAGAAATTAATTTTAAATTATAGAAAAGTAAAATTATTCTACGTAAAAAAGCAAAGAATTTCTTTTAAAAAAAAACTCCTAATTCCAAAAAGAAAACATTTATCTAAAACGTAAATATTAGATACAATTTTAAAAATAATTCTCTATTGCTATTAAGTAATTTTATTATATAATATCCTGAGGCGTAATCAAATGACACGTGCGCGTGTCATTATCGCGACAATTGTGAATGACTTAACATTAATTACAATAAATCTTGTTTACCTTTGCCATTTTAATCAAATCGGAAACCTTGTATTTTTTCAAATCTATCACGTGTCCATTATTTGTTCTAAAACCACATGTGATATTTTCTATGCCAACCAAAAATGATTGACACCACCATTTTAAAAGTTTTTTACGAAAAACTAAATCCTGTCGGCCAGTTTCAATAATTCTATTTGTTTTTAATTCAACAAAATTAATATTTTTCCATGATACGGGTTCTTTTATTGGTATTTTCGATTCAATACCATCCATTTCGGCACCGTACAAAAGGTATTTATCACCAAATTCACATGTGAAAATACAACAAAATTCCTCACATTCATTAACAGTTTCGGCAGTGTTTGGCTTTTTATCAGGTGAATCTAAACAAGAAAATTAATCGAGAATTTGACAAAAGAAATGTTTTTGACTAATAAACTTTTTTTATACCTGACAAAACAAACTGTTCAAATTTATATCCCCAAGAGCACATCATTCGATCTCTGGGGGTCATATTTGCATTTCTCTTTTTTACATCTTCGGTATCAAAAGCACAAAGATAAATTGTTCCTTGAAATTTGGCTGCACAAATTATCCAGCCATCTCTATCTTCAAATGGAGTTCTCCATAAAGTACTTAATAGTCCTCGATAAGTTACAAATTCTGGTTTTAACCTGACACAAAATAGATCTTTTTTTTTATTAATCACCAATTAAAATAAATACAAAAAATTACAATATAAAATATAATTTAAAAAAATAATCACCATCGTGCTGAATCAAGTGGTGCTTGAATTTTACTATGATTCACTAGTATCCACTTTAGAAGATTATTTATATTTTCTCCAGATGCTGAGTCTGGTTTACGTATTACATTTTCCATTCCATCATTAAGATTAAAATTAATACGATTATTTCGAGGAAGTTGTAGATATTTTAATTGCGATAAATCCGGTAAATATTCACGTTTACTGTTTAAACTGTAATAACCAGCAACTTCTGGTTTTGTAATTCTTGGGAAAATCTCACTCCACGGTTGATGAATTTCAAAGGACATTATAATAATAAACCTTTGACATTTCCTATCTTTAAATATATATTTATCTCCAATTCCACGTGGATATGTCAATTTGCTGCTTTACAAATAATATACAATTATTAATGAGACTACAACATAACCTCAAATATTGATTAAATTATATATATATATAAAAATGCTACTTTTGTCTATATAACTTTGCACAATTACCAAATCAAAATTTTAAATTTATTTATTAATTTAATTTTATTTAATTATTCGTGATTTTTAATACGATAACAATGGAAAATGATCAGTGTTATAAAAAACTGCCGATCGACATACATTTTTAACTTGTACTAAAATATTCAATCTATAATTATAGGTATACTTACTAAAACTAATATCTTCATTTAATTAAAATTTATACTTACTTTTTAAATAATAAAAAATAATAAGTCAAACTCCAATTTGCAAATTTATATGAAATTTAAAAAATAGTCTATCCATTGGACTATAGTTGATACGCTCCTGCACGTGCTGTCAAATACAAAACTATTGTTTATTTTATTTTATTAATAAATAATAAACAATAGAAAGTTTTAAACCATGTCAACACGGGAAATATTAACTATTCAATTTGGCCATTATTCAAATTATATCGGAACACACTGGTGGAATTTGCAAGTATACAATTTCCATTTGTTTTATAAAATTAATTCATCCTAACCTCTGAATTTTCAAAACATTGCGTTATATTTATTAAATAATTTTTGTATTTGCCTAAAATAAAAATAATACAAATAAAACAGAATAATTATTTTAAACAATATAATTTTCCAAATAATAATAATATAATTTTTACTGCAGAAATAAATTTTATACCAAAGATTAGTCTCATTAAAATCATTAATAATAATAAATAATATTATTGTGTGACGAATTTTTTTAAATAAAATGTTTTTATCCAAATTCCTGAAGAATATTATTTATTATTAAATATATCACTGGATGTACGAATCAAATTTAATAAATAATTAATAATTTTAATATGTAAATAACGAATATTTATTATTTGACCAGGAAACAAATTTTTCCTACGATCCGGATAATCCTTCAGAAATTAATCACGATGTTTTATATCGAGAAGGAGAAACACGTCAGGTAAATATAAAAGATTAATTAAAAATTTCCCCATAGTTGTAAAAAAGAAATCTAATTTTTGTTTTTTTTTCTAAAGAAACAAATTACGTATACACCGAGACTTTTATTGGTCGATTTAAAAGGAAGTTTGGGTTATTTAAACGAAAATGGAACATTATATGAAAATTCATCAAAAGACAAGGATATTCTTTGGTACGACGAGAATGTTCAAATTTCAGAAGAACCAGAGGCATCGAAATCGTCATTTATTAAAGATTTAGATCATCCTACAAGAAATAATGAAGAAACAGAAAAAAGTATTGAGATTGAAAACAATGTAAATAAATGGGTTGACTATCTAGTTCCTCGTTTTCATCCAAGGACGGTTAATGTAGTCAAACAATATACCCACGAATCACCAAATCAGCCATTCGATGTATTTAATTATGGACGAAACGTGTGGAGTACAGAATCATTTTCAGAGGATTTTACCGACAAGATCAGAAATTACGTCGAGGAATGCGATTTAATTCAAGGATTTCAGGTTTTCTAATTTTTTGTTTTAGTTTATTATCGATTTTTTTTCAAATTCAAGTAACCAGATAGTCATTACCTTTTTGGTATTATTAAAATTCGTTTGTTCGATAGTTTTATTTATTGTTTCTATTATGATTTTTTTTTTCTTTTCAATGAAAGATTTATGTGAATTTACATTTTTGACAGGTGATTCTCGATTCTACGGATGGTTTTGCCGGATTGGGCTCATCGTGTATTCAATATTTACGTGACGAATATGGAAAAAGTATTCTATCGTTTCCAACATTTGAGGGAACAAATATTGAGGCATCGGCTGCTGATTTAATAAAAATTGTTAATACCGTTTTATGTTATCAACAAATTGGAGAAAATTCATCACTATTCAGTCCCCTGGGTTGTAGGGAGGAAATTTTTCCCAAAACGGGTAAATTTCGAAAATTTCAATATTTAGACTATGATCCACAATTAAAGTATCATAGTGCAGCAATTTTGGCAACGGCCCTCGATACATTGACATTGAGATATCGTCAGAAAAAATTTCCAATGTCTGCACTGTCGGATCTTTGCGCTGATATGAATAAATTAGGTCGAAAAGCGGCAGCAATGAGTTTAAATCTACCATTTCCAATGACAGTGGAACGTGATTTAATTGATATTTTGGATGATTTGGAAGAACCATTGTGGACGAGTTTAACGCCATATTGTGAAATATCAACAGACAAAAATTATCAAAGTATTTCATTGAGAGGTGTACCTGAGAATAGATTAAAAAGACCATTAAATGAAGCACAAAATCAATTATCAAAAGCGGCTTATAAATGTTCAACAGTCCATGAAATGATGTCGTTATTTTTTTCCTGTTCCTGTCACGCGTCGGCTACTTATTTTACAAATATTAGCGCGCCATTGACGACAAAACGTCCATTCCCGAAAATTTTTAACAATCAAGTTATGAAAAATGGAAATATTTCAGATACACCAAATAATGACGGTAAAAAAAAATTGTTCTTCATTTTTTTTTTTAAACATTTTTTCCTAATTAATTTTTTTTTCAGGTGTCGAAAGTATATCAGTTATGGCTGGTCTACACAGTGGAAGTAGCTTGTCAAATATGTACGAATCACTTTATAATCAAGCGAAAAAAGTGAGAACAATTAAAAGATTTCACGCTTTTGAAAATTCGGGTCTCGAAAATGACGAGTACATGGAAAGTCTTAATAATTTATTAGACTGCAAGGAGGCGTATGAAGATCATTATGTTTAATTCCTATTTAAATTTCAGAAATACTCAGGTTTTTATAAAATTTAAATATTTTTGTATCGAAAAATACAAAATTATATAAAATATTTCTGTGATTTATTTTTTTGAAAAAATCCTTTTATTATTCACAAGTAAAGTAAAATTATTACTAATTAGTTTCAAAGTGAAAAAATTAAAAACGCCTACTTTTAAGCGCAAACGATTTAACGATTCAACAAACGAAATATCGATTTAAAAATTATGAATTGTGTAAGATGATACAAAAATTAAATAATCCCAATGAATTTATTATGATTAGATAGCGCTTATTAGCGAATAATTTGAACTTCCTAATAGAATATTAAAAACTAGGCGTGTTAAACCGCACCTATTTTTTTACCACTATGGTATTGTATATCCATAAAAAAAAAACCTATTCGTGTCTTGATGTTCGGGGTGTGGTATATTAAAAGGGCAAAGAATTTTTCAATCGTCTACATTGTGCTTTTACCTCTCGGTGCAACAACATCGAAAAATAAATAAGCTTCACTAATATTAAACGCAAATTAACAATATTAAAAAAAAGTTTTACAATAGTCGATGAAAGAATTGTGGCGTAAAGATTACGTTAAATTGAAAATTACCGATTTTTTCTTAATTGCAATTGAGATTACAAAGCCAAAAGTGAAAAAAAATGGGAAACAAAGTGTATACATTCACCGAAGAACAACTGGAAGATTATCAAGATTCCACGTATTTTACACGTAAAGAAATTTTGAGGTAACGATCACAAATTATTCAAATTACTTTTTTTTTGTCCATTTAAATTTTTAAGTAGAGTAATTATTATACAGAATTTATAAAAGATTTCGAGAAATTGGAGGTACGGGAGTGGTTCCTGAAATATTGACCCCCTTGGAAGCTTCATCTTTGCGAATACCTTTCTCGACATTGGATAAAATACCCGAATTGAAGGTTTGCATAATTATTAATTTCTTTCGATTTTTAAAAAATAATTTCTAACTTTTCCCTAGCCTAGAGCAATTATTTATAATTGATTAATAATATAAATTATTTAACACAATAATAATTACTATAAGATCATTCTCATTTCTAATCCAATTGTTTCTCAGATTTCAAAAAAGTTGAAAGTAAATTTTTCTTGTTTTTATTAAAGATAAAAAAAATTCTAATTAAAAATTTGGATTAATAATATTTTGAAAAAGAAATGTGAGAAATATAAAAAAATCATCATAACATAACAAATAAAATTCTCATTAAGGAAAATCCCTTCAGAGACCGTATTTTGGAAGTCTTTACTACTCATCATCATGGCCAAGAGCCTGGCAACTCATCAAACGAGGGGATTTGCTTCGAAGAATTCCTGGAGATGATGTCAGTGTTTTCCGATCAAGCACCTCGCGATTTGAAAGTTCATTACGCCTTTAAAATTTACGGTGAGTTAAATAATTTTTACAAGTTCCGAATTTTATTACTAAACTTCTGGAAATATATTTAAATTCTAATAACAGATTTCGATGGCGATGGACTATTGGGACTTAATGATTTGGAAAAGACCTGCAATCAATTAGTTCGTGGTGGATTAAGTTCCGAGGAAGTGGCAACAATTTGTGAAAAAGTTTTAGAAGAAAGTGATATCGACAGTGATGGTGCTTTATCTTTTTTGGAATTTGAAAATGTCGTGACGAGAGCCGCAGATTTTCTATCGACATTCCAATTAAGAATATAATAATTCTACAAAACTAAATCCTTTCAATTAATTACACTAAAATTTATAACACAAAATACTATCACAAAAAAAAAAATTCAAAATTTTGTTTTAAATTTGTTCTCGAAATTATGTAAATTGTAAACGGTGTTAGATATATTAATATAGATATTAACAATAATAATTAATTTTTATTAATTATTAATATAAATATTAATATATCTAATGTCAAACACTATTAATTTTATTTATTTAATAAAAAATTATTCCATATTAAAAACGATAAAGAAAATCGTATTTCGTCAATAATAAGCTCATCTATTCTTTCACTAAAATTCACTTTTTATTGGATTTAATAAGAAAATAAAAAGTTGACGCCCAAAAAAAAAATCGTCGATTGTAAAATAGAAAAGCGAAAAAACCGTTTACAAGTGTACATTGTAAAATCGACTTTATAAAGCGATCTGAAATGTAATAAAATCTCTGAAAGCATTATATATAACATTTTCTTTACCTTCTTTTCTTCTTTAGTTCATACTTATGTATACATATTTACAGTATTTAGAAAATTTAATTCGACGATTAAATTCCATTCCATCAATTAAAATATATTTTTATATATATAATGTCTAATCTCAACAGAAGAGTACCTTGCAGTATAAAAAGATCTTATAATATTCGTAAAATCTAAGAAATTTTTCAAAAAAATTTTTTAATACTGTACACATGATTTACAATCCTGTAACAAGTGCGCTCTCATTAGGTGTGTAATACCACTTTTAAAAATAAATGCGTTCATTACGAACAGCGTTAATAATATATTATTGAAAATATTATACAATTAAAGAAAAAAATTCTTTACGTTCAAAATTCGTTGCTTTTAGAGACAAACAAAAAACAAATTATTTTTTCTTGCCTCATGATATATTCGTAAATATTATTTTGGTTTGCAATCATAAATAACTACTGATTAGTTAAACATTTTCTATACAGTCAAACCCGACCAGCTTTTGTTACTTAATAATTAAATTTATATTTTTGGTCCATTATTATATTGCTAAATATTCATTGTCAAATAGTCATCGGCAAAAACGCTACTTTTTTTTTGTAAATGATTATGAAATTACATGAAATTCTAGTGATAAAAAGATTTAGAAAATCAATTTGTAAAGCTTTGTGCTTTATGTGCGTTTATGGTTTAGATTCTAATTTTTATCACTATTCAGTAAAAATTAACAATTTTTTTCTAGAAAAATTGTTCAAGAGTTTAAATTTCTTTCTTTTGGTTATCAAAAATAAACGAGGAACAAATATATTGTAATGACATTTTTAAACATTAAAATTTAAAAAGAAAATTAATTTTCAAGAAAAAAATAAATGAAAAATTCGTTAGAGACTAAAATTTGTTCCTCATCTAAAAAATTATTTACTTCTAAAAAGAAATCCTATTTTTACCGTATATATATGTAATATATATATAATATATATAAAATAGATTTTTCTTGAAAAAGTGCTATGAAGTAAAAATGCACTAAAAGTAAATTAAATGACAGTCTAATGATAATATATGAATAAACAGATGATTAGTTTAATTACCTTTTTTTTCTCTTAAGAATATATACTTTTTTTTTTTTGATATGACGATTGAAAATAAAAATCTTGGAATTTCGAAGCATTTAGGTAAGATCGTCAGTACATTGCTTTCGTTCTTCTTCAACTCGTTGTCTAGTACGATTAAATGCTTCGGTTTTGAGAAAATCAACTGTTTTATAAACAGTACTATTGGGCGGTGATTGAATTGTTGGCAATGTTGTCGATGAAAAACTTTCCTTAGCCTCCAAATCTAAATCAAGATATTGCAATACAACCAGTCGTCGATTTGACGCTGGAATAAATGCATTGTGATCCTGATAATAATAAATCTGTAAATAAATTTCTTTTTTTAGAAAAATTACTGCAAGTGTTAATATTTGTGACTTAAACATGTGAAAAAATTATAGGAAATTTTTAAGTCACGTTTAGATATTCAATTAGAAAATAATATAACCTCCTCCTTATCGTCGTGTGCATTGTTGTCTTCATCAGACGTTGAATGATGGCGATTAGAATAAGTGTTCGTGGTAGGCGTTGGACTGGGTGCTGCTCTCAATCTTCCTCTTCCTGGAGGAGAAGCCAATTGTAGAGCTCCAGTGTTAACTGAAATAATTTAATTAATGAAAAAACAAATAGAAAAAAAATATCTATTTTTGGTACTATTTATTACTTTCAATTGGTGGCCTGTTTAAAGGCGGTTTGAGTTTTCTATCGATACTCGGTGGTTCCGCGGGTGAATGTTCCGTTGAATTTGCATCGAATGCTGGTCCAGGCGATGGTTCATTGCTAATAATAGAAGTTGAATCACTTGTTTTTCTACCTGGTTTCAAATCCCTATGAACAACTGGAGGTGGTGGAGCCATGGTAGTAGGCACTGATGTGGAACTATCCTTTAATAATGGACTAGGTAGATTTGAATAGGTCGCCGTTGTTGAACTCTCCGAACGTGGACTTGAGGGTTCTTCCTCGTGGAAATCGTAACGAAATATACGATCGTCAACTGACGACGATGGCGTTGCAGTGTAATGTTTTCTTCCACCTGTTTCCATTCCAGATTGTTGGGATCGGGAAATTTCATAGGTGTCATCGGTGAGAATTGTCGTCGCGGGTGTTGATGGTGCCGGTGTGGCGGGTGTCGTTGGCTTTGAACTTTCAGTAGCACCGTCCAAATTCAAATAATTGTGTCCAGGATTTTCGGGTAACATGTGCGGTGGTTTTGGTGGTCGTGGTGGAGCGGGTAACTCTTCTGCAACTGGTGGTGCGGCCGAATCAACTATTCTCAGTTTGCCAAATCTTTTACGCACACTCCACGAACCAATTTCTGCATCACTCAATGATTGCGGTGGTTTTAAGTCTCCTAAAAATGAATTATGATAATTTTCAATTTTCTTTTTCCTTTTTTTTTTTTTTTTTTTAATTTTTCTTACCGCAAGATGGAAATGTTTCCCAATTGACACTTGGTACAGGGGCACTCCATTCGTCATCAGTGAAGACACTTTCGGCGTCGGTTGTCGTCGGTGATCTTGGAGGTGATGGAGGAATTCTTCTTGGAGCGTCGTATTGTTCAGTGCTTTGGCCAAGAGTTGAACTTAGAGAGCTTGTGTCATTGAGACGTCGTCCTGAAATGCACTCACTTATCGGAATATAGGGACCGGAAATTGTACTCGTTGGAGAAATTGGCGGTGATTCTTGCGCTTCGAATTGAAACACTAGAAATAAAATGGAAAATAAATAAAATTACACTAAAACGAATTGAAATAAAAATGGAATAATTTAATTACTCTGACATTGTTGCTCTTCGTCTTGAGTGTATGCCTTTAGGCCACAAACTTGACAAACAGCGTCAACCCATTTATTCATTTCAGCTTCGTTTTCAGCCACAAGGTAATATGTTCTCTTTGGCGTTTTAACGTTGAACATAAATTGATATTTTTGTTTACGATTCTCAAATCTTAAACCAGCGTCAACCTAAATAATTAAAATAAATAATTACTATAATAAATAATAATAAATAATTACCTAAATAACAAAATTGATTTTCCAAAAACTTACTTGTTCACACTGATCCAAATCTATTTGACCTTTTCGTTTTCGACATCTCTTGTCTGTGTAATACTCCAAAAAGTATTGCCCTGGTAATTCGCCACTATGACGTAAAGCAAACCACCGTTTTCTCCAACGCTAAAAAGAAATACACAAAATTAGTAATTAATACTTCTAAAAAAGAGAGAAAACTGTTTCGTAATTTAAATAATTAACTACTACATTTTATAAGTGCAATAGAATAACAAAATTAAGGTTATAAAAAATTTCACAAATCTTATTATAGTCTATAAAGTAAAAAAAAACAATCAAATTGGAAAATGTGTTTAAAATTAAAAAAAAGAATATTAATTTCGTTCCTAATTGAAACATAAATTGTTATTTTTAAACTGTAAACAATAACTTTTGTTGATAAAATGACAATGGCAGAAAAATCTTTGAGTAAAGATGGAAGTTAGTACTTACCGCCCTCCAGATTTTCGTAGGCGGTGACTTGATGAGCCATCCTTCGTGAACGATCTCTTGTGTAGTCTTAAGCACCTCCATTCTGTCGGTACTTGTTTAATTAATTAAATCTCAACGTCATAAATGCACATAACAGTATAGAGCAATTGAATCCACTGTCACTGCACTGTCAAGGACGAGAGAAACGACATCATAACCCGCCATTCATCCAAAAAAAAGGAGAGCTATTGTTAGACAATACAATAAACGTCAAATCCTTATCAGTGTATTCTTCTAATCTAAATATGACTACCATTGTCGTTTAATGCCGCCCATTTTTTTTTTTTTTTTGATAACTACAAATTAATATATAATGATGCAGTGGACTTTGCAGTAGAACTGCAGTGGACCACGCACACAAAATCAACTGGTAACCGCCATTTTGTCACTAATTTTTGTAGGTTAGAGAGACTGCGCATATAATAATTAACGCGGTAATTTTGAATATTGATCCACTTATTAGAATTTAATAATTATAAATGAATTAATCTTGATATTGTTAAATAAAATTATTTAAATAAATATATTCTATATCAATTTTTCAATTAAATGAATAATTTATGAATGAAAAAAGAAAAAAAAAAACAATTTTAATAATAAAAATATCTTTAATAAAAAGTCCCCTCTGTTCCTATTTTACATTGTTAGTTAGAAATCAAGTAAAATTTATCTACACTGGCCTAATTATAATACCGAATCAATTTGTCACTATTTAAAAATTGCAATATATCAAGGCCATAAAATTTGTTTAAAAATAGAATAATATACCTTTCGTCATTGTTTTTTTTTTTTGCATATTACATGCGAATCATTTTTCTTCATCTACAGTTGTCGATGAACCTTCATTTTGTTGAAGATCTAACGAAGGATCAATAACAGTAATTTGAGAATTTGAATCATCAATTGGATTAAGTTCTTTTTCGGAAGATATAACTGAAGTTGTGTCAATATTTGATGATTCATTGGAATCAATTTCTTTTAATTGTTTTGTATTGGTCTCAGTAGTTTCTGGTACAGACATTCTTGACATAGTTCCGGTAAGCGCTTGCATTTCCGGTTCATTCACTGTTGTATCTCTATTCACTGACGTATCTGGTAAAGAAATTATAAATTTCACTAATAAATAATAAAAATAAAATAATAAATTAAATAATGCTGAATGTAAGTAATTCTAATAATTCAATAAAAATGTTGACGATTGTAAAATTTCAGGTTATGTTTTCAAATTATTTTCTAGTCAACTATTTTCTTCTATCGTAATTTTTATATGTTAATGTTATAATATTCACAGGATTATATTTTTTCATACCTGATGTACGATTTTCTGAAATCTTTCCCTCTGGAACTGGATTTAAATCAATTTTTGATGATGAAGATGAATTGTTGACACTTTCATCACACACACGAAGAAGTGTTTGATTGTTTTCAATTGTTTCATTAGTTTCAACTGTAGGATTTAGATTGTAGCTTCCAATTCTCATACCAGGTGGACTGATATCATCTGGACCGTAACCTGGAAGGCTTCCAATTCTCACACCGGGTGGACTCACATCATCTGGACCATAACCTGGCAAACTTCCAACTCTAACACCCGGTGGACTAACATCCGTTTGTGTCGTCGGAGGATTTGGATTTGAAAATATAAAACCTGATTGTTGATAATGATGTTCAGCTGAAGAGCACAATTGAAGAGATCCTGCAGCGTTTGTACTCAACGAACATGATGGACCATGACTCACGTGTATCAAAAGAGGTAATGGATCTCTATTATAATTTGTTCTATTAGTAGATTGATTAACATTCACATCCAATGGTGTACGATACGAATTTATATCCCCTGATCCTTGTCCTCTCACACCTGGTGGATTATTTACATCACTATTGATTCCATCAATTTGATCATTTTCAGCTATAGAATTCAAACTCTGTCCATTATTTCTCAAATTTTGTGACGAACTTGGTTGATTTCCTATTGGTCGCAAAGGCGGTGGTGCACTTGACGGTCCGGGATTTCGATGTATTCTACTCGATTGTAATACTGATGTGAAGAAATTTCTACTACGTACACCTTCCAATTGTCTGATAGGCACACACAATGGACAAATACTTGAACGACAATTTAACCAATGATTAATGATTTGTCTCGAGGCTGAACAATGTGGAAATATGCAATTTCGTCCAGCTTGACAATTTGGCATATGATTTAATGCAGTACGAAATTCTTGACAATTTGGCGTTGGACATGACAAGAGACTACGATGAGCTCGACATTTATCAGCGTGTAAAAGTAAAAATAATTGCCAATTAAGTTGTACCAATTTTCTCGTATTTTCCACCCATCTTGAAATACCATTTGGCGAATGGAGAATTTCTTCTAATGATGAAACACCTTCTTGTGGATTTAAATCTAAATTTGACATTGATCTAATTCTTCGTGGATAATTATTTATATTATTTTCCGTGTCGGATGATGATTCTGGTTCAGGTGATGTTAAAAGTACATCGGTATCAATGAATGGTGCACAAAGGGGACATGTTGCTTGACCACAATTTTGTAAATGATATAAAAGTAATTGAGATGCACTACATAATTCATATGTACAATTTATGCCATCTAAACAAGTTTCCATGTGTTTTAGAACATTTCTCATCACATCACAAAAGGCAACACGACAACTGGAAGCTGGAATATTTCGTTCACTTTCATCTTCTAAACATGTTTGTGCGTGTATAAGAAGAACAAGATGTTTTTGTAACATGTACTGCCTCACAGGATCAATAATCGTTGGAACATGTGCTCCGTGAATTTGTTCCTGTTCAGAATTTGAATTTGAATTTTCTTCGTCATCATTAGAGGCAATATTTAATGGCGATTGACTTTCTTCATTCATTACTACAGGTATGTTCCCAACTTCGTCAGAATTGTAATTTTCTTGATCATTGGAACTCATGATCAAGTCCTTAAAAAAATAATAAAAATAATAATAAATAAATACAAGAAAATAAAAGTTTTTTATAATTTATAAATTTTTAAAGTATATTAAAGTTGCGATGAGAAAAAAAATGAGAAAACGGGTATAGTTAGTCAAAATTTAAGATATAAATAATTTAACGGTTCTGAACGTTCAAATTTATTTACTACTTTTTTACTTTCAAATTTTATTATAAAATATTGCTTTCTGTATTCAAAAATATAATTTATTAAATGCAATGAAAGAAAATAGATAACAAAAATTCGTAAATACTTTTCAATTTAGGGAAAACGTGTCAAACTGGAAAAAATTAATATAAAATATATTATATCTCAGTAAAGATTTTGTAGAATTACTTTGTTAATTAAAGACTGAAATATATTTCTCCCATTTTTACATGTTTTCCCAAAATTGAAAAATATTTACTAAATTGTCTACTATATTTAATAAAATTTGTTACATATTTTCTTTCAGTGTGTTTAATATACTTTTTTTTATTTTTCGTTGCTGTAGTAATTTTTAAAAAATTCATAGACCAAAAAAATTATTTCGTTCATTTGAACGTTCGTAATTTCAGGCACTATTTATATAAATTAAACGAATTATACAATAAAATAATATAGTAAATAATTGTTAACTATTTAATTATATAAATAAATATTTTTTACCTGCTTTGTGAAATAATTAACTTTCCGCTTTTAAATACTAAAAGTAATAAATTTCTCGAATGAGACAAGATTACAGTACAAAATATCACAGAGATCATAGAGGAACTGTTGTTCAAAACTATTGTCTCAATAATAATAATATTGATAATAATCGTTACTTGTTTTGAATCAATGTAAACATGAATGAAATTCAGAAATACCCAAAAGGAAACAAAAAACGTATTTTTAATTGGTTGGCTAAATTTTTTTTGGATAAATTCGCCAGTCAATGAAAACGTCCTATTGTTATTTAATATCAGCGCGAATGTTTGAATGTTTTTAATAACTTTTCCTTAAATTATTGTTAATTTTAAACAAATTTTTTTTTCAAGTGTAATTATAATAAATTCACAAAAAATTTGTCTATAAATAATTTGCGAAAATTATTTTCTATAAAACTATAATTTTAGATAAAAATCTTACCTATACAGAAAAAGGAAATTTATTTTCTATAAGCCATTTATCGTTTTGAATCATCAGATCTTGGATTCTCATGTAATCTCCTAACAGCTTCCATATCTGTATCCATATTGTCTATATAAAAAAAAACAATAAAACAAAAAAAAGTTTAAATAAATTTATTAGTTTAGTATAAAATATTTTTTTTTTAAATCTTAAAAATGTGAGTTGAAAAATGTTTATAAAATTTTTAAATCATTTTTAAATAAATAACTCTTTTGCCAACTAATTTCACTTATTGAAATTATTTAAAATTTTGCCGTTAGTTGTGTCCTGAAAAATTAAATTAAAAAAAATAAATAAATAAAAATTTTAAATTACCATATTCGACTCCAAGAGGAGAGATGACAGCCATTTTGATTGCACAGCTACGTGACGTCACAACGCTTGACTCTTAGGAAAAATGAACATTTGTTATATAGTTTCAACAAATTAAACAATAATGTACATTTTTTAAGAGTAGTTAAACTTGTTAAATAATTATCCCACCTAATAAAGGAATTTTCAAAATTTTTCTAGACACGAATTTTCGAAAATTATCCTAATTTCCTCTAAGGGAAAAAATTATTCAACATTATAAAAATTAATAATGAAAATAAACAAAATCTTCAAACATTTAATTATAAATAATAAAAGAATAGAGTATCACTTACCAGCAATTAATATTTTTTTATTTTCAAATTTACAATCATTTATAGCTTAAATTCGCAAATTCTGTAAAATTTATTCTACTCTTATAAAATAATTATTTTTAAATATATTTATAATTATTATATTATATTCATTATAAAGTGTTTGATTTTTTTTTTTCAAATATTTATATTATATAGTCTTAAAAGTTTCAACTATATATTTCAAAATATATATAATTTATATCTTTGTATATTAATTATATAACTAAAAAATACCAAATTAAAACACAAACTCCTCATTTTGTTATATAATCAAAACTCAAAAATTCTATTTTTTGAAAATATATTTTTTTTTCTAATCATTGATTATGTTCTAGTATATACTAGAATACTAAGAGTATACTATATAAAATATATACTTAAATTATTATTTCAAATTAATTTTACAATTTCTATTAATTAATTAACGCCTTATAATTTTTAACATAAAAATTAAAAATGAACTATTTATATTTAATTATTTTTTTTTTTGCAGATAAGACATAAATGATTCGTTATAAATAAATAATACTATCTACAGAAAATTACACTAATTTCTAAAATACATATTTCAATTTAAAAAATCTTTTAACTATCTCGTTTTTTTATATATATATATATATATGCATTACTGTAAAATTATTCGGTATAAAACATAATAAATAATATATTTAAGCGGAAAATATATGTCGATTATGCTTTCTTAGAGCGAGCGCAGACACTATAATTTATTTATTATATAAAAACATAAATGAAAGAAGCCCTGCATCACGCATTATGCCACAATTTTCTTTTTCTTTTAATTTTCAGCCTAATTTTTTTATTTTTAATTATTATAATAATTTGGAGCAAAATTAAAACAATTTTTTAATTTCAGAACACTTCAAGGCATACAAAGCACAAATTAATCAAAAAAACAACAAAAAATTTCAAGAATTTGCTCTGCTTTCTGAAATAGAAAACTGGATTTCTAATTAAAAACGAAATTTCCCTATGAAAATTAAATATTCATTTCTCATAATGCTTAGAGAAAAATTATAAAAAATCGTATAAAAATAAAATTTGTTGCCTTATAAACGCCCTGTAAAATCCGTGAAAAAATTTTTCTACTTATAATTTTTAATATACGATAAACCTCAAAATTAAATATTCATTTTTTTTCTTAATTTAGAAATAATTTATCAAAAATTTGTTTATTCACAAATATTTTAATAATGAAAATTAAAATCACTTGTTTTTATTGTAAAGCTCAAAAAAAAAATATAACAAAGGAAACAAACCATATCTTTAAAACAAAAACAACATATAGAACTAATTATTGTAATCACAGATTAATTATAGATGTAATTATATAAAAACTATATGGTTACTATATTAACATATTATAGATATATGATTACTTATAAAAAATATGGTTAGTTATGAAAAAAGGATAAAAATTCTAAATGAAATCACAAAAAAAAAAAGTTAATCTCGAGGTTGATCGTAATTAAAAAGAAAAAGAGGTACTTTTTTTTCGAAAATCCCTAAGAAAATTCAAAGTACCGAAAAAAAAATGATTCTATTAAAATTATAACAAATTATTTATACCATTGGTTTTCGCTCAAAAACAGAAATTTTTTTTTCTCAGTGCAGGAATGATATAATAATAAATAATAATAGTAAATTAAAATTAATGGTAATAAAAATAATTTGTGATGGTGAGTGTATTGTTCATCATGCAGGCACAACTTTCAATATTTGAAATGATGATACGTAAACTTTATTTCGTAAGATTCGTATTTATGTTTGTAGGTAGGTAGGTATGTATGTATAAATATATACACATATATGTATAACTTTTATGTCTCGTTTACGTTACTATTCTACGCTTGCAATAAGATTAGGGCTTACGACTAAAAAACAACAAGAAAACAAAATACATCCCCAATAGAGTTTAGTCCCACTCGCGCGCTTTTCATGCGTGCTAAACACATTGGATTAGTGTACAGCCAGGAAAATTCAAGGCAGTGAGTATATTTTCTTCGAATTGCAATCTTTTTTTTTTTTTCTTTTTTTTTATCTTATTATCAACCGCAGATCAACAGTCGATATAAATAGAACTTCTCGCGCATTGTTCTCCTCATTTAATTATGGAATTCCACAGTCCTCAATCGATCCAATATACAATACCCAAAACGATCATATTTATATATTATATATATATATTTATATATTTATTTATAAAAAAAGAAGAAAAAAAAATTCTTTTTTTTAAAAACTTTTCCTAAAATTCTACTTATTATTATTATTATTTTTTTTGTTTTCGTCTTTTCAACCAGTGAAGATTCTGGAATCTCTCATCATCATCATCATCATACGTAACCATTGAATGACAACACCGACACTTTTTTTTTTTGCAAAAGAGAAAGAGAGAGATAGACAGATAGGAAAAAAATAACACTCACGCACAACTGAAAAATGCATATACGAAGATCGACGTACAGAAAAATTTTTAAAAACACAATTCCATTGACTCCATTTATATATTCTTTGTTTATCACTCGAAACAATTTCATACGCTCGAAAATTCCAAAAACCTCAAATTTTTTTTTTTTTGCGCTCATTGATTCTAAATGAGAAAAAAAGAAAATTAATTAAATTTTTTTTACACTATAGACGTCTTTGGAATGCGAACGAGACGGCAAGATCAAAATAGTGATATTCATTAGCAAATTATTTCAATCGATTTGTTAATGAATTCATTTCATTAAATGAAAAAATACTATTTTTCAAGAGGAAGCTTTTTTTTTTAAATATATCCCTTAATATTAATGTCATTTGTTTAAAAAAAAAAATTGTTGTAAAAATCAAGTTTCTATTTCCTCTTGTTTCAAAAAAAAATTCTCAATATATAAATATTACAAATAGTATTTTTTTTTTATAAATTCAATTCCCATAAAAATCAATCCTGTTTGTTCATTTTTCATTTAACGCGAGCAATTTTTTCATTTTGTTCTACAGTGCTCAGTAAGAAAGTGTCGAAAAGTCTTTTTTTTTTTTAATGGGACGTCTTTGGGTGTTTGTAAAAAAAATTCTTATATAATCACATGCGATTTACGATGTTTTGGAACAAGTATCCTCATTGAAGAAGAGTCTTATCGATACAGAACGTCATTCTTGCTTTTTTTTTTAATGTGAGAACAACGAGATCTCGAGGGATTTAAAAAAAGTAATAATAAGAATAATAATAAGAATAATAATAATATAATAGTAATAATAATAATAAATAGAAAAGCACAATCGTTCAATTTACAATCGCCGTGACCGATGTATTACACGTTAATTATATATTATGTACACATTACAAAAGGGAAGAGATTTAATTAATAGGATGGGAATGGGAGGAGAGGAACTGAGGTGAGATTCGAAAAGATTTTTTTTTTTTAAAAAGGAGCGAGGTGGATTCGTGGGGGGATAAATGTCTCTTTTATGTCTCATTTTTTAAATTAAGGTAAATTAAATACGTTACGAAATTTTTTTTTATAATAAAAAGTAGTATTCTATATTCGATATTTCAGTAATAATTGTATAGTAATAATTATTTATATTCCATAGCTTTGTCTCTATAGTATCGCCTATCGAATATTTAATTAATTAATTAATTAATAATAATAATAATAAATCTATAAACGTTATTTCATAGACACATGTGTCTATTTTATATTCAATGTATTCGTTTAATATTAAAAAAGAAAACAATTTTCATGATATATAAATACAGCGTTGTATCATTCGCCTCTCATTATATTTTATAGTAATAAATTGCTAATCAAGAATGCATCACGTACCAGAGCAAGAAAATGTCAATCTTTTTAATGAATTGTTTAAAAATTTCTTTTCAACGAGATTTAAATTTATTCTCAATAGAGATTGAATTTTTCTCTTTACATCAAACGTTCCGTTAAAAATTTTCATGTTTATACAAATTGATAAAAATTGTTTTAATTTTACTGCTATATACACTTCTTTTATAAAAAAAAAAGAATAAAATATCCAAAAATAAAAATTCGTTTACTGATTAAAATAAACTAACTAACAAGTAAAAATATATTAGTTAGTTTATTTCTTACAAGTAATTCAATTTTAGTAAACACAATTTTTTTTAATAGAAGTGTACAAAAAAAAATTAAAAATGTCAATAAAATTAAACTACCCTTTGTGTATAATAAATAAAAATTCAAAAAACACATTTTCCATTAAAACTCATGGTACGTAATGCATTCAAACGTCCATTCTTAAAGAATTTACTACCACAAAAAAAAACACCATCACTGTCAAATTTACAACACTGCCCTAAACACAGCCATACTAAGCCAAATACTTTTGGGTTGTCATTATAATTAACTTTTACTATTTAAAATCATTTCATATTTTACATTCATTTTGTGAATGTTGTAGCGTGGCAACGCTTCAGACGATTAAAAAAAAAGAAGATTAAGTTTTCTCTCTTTAAATATAATTATAGGAAAAATAAAAGAAATCTATCAAAAAAAAATAAATAAATAAAATTTAGTCGCAAGAATTCGATGAGGCGATCAGAAAATACATAAAAAAAACGTTGAACATTATTAAAAAAAAAGAAGAAAAAAAAATTTATCCAAAAAGTCCACGGGAGGGAAAAAAATTCACAAGACAAAAAAAATTCAATATCATTACCAACGATCCACCTCGCATTTTATAAATGTTTATAAGTAGCAAAATAGAGAAAAAAAAGAAGAAAAAAAAATAATTGAAACAAATTCGCAGCGTATCGAAGTACTTCACCGTGCGTTTGCCTACACAAGAATTTATTTTGTAGCAAAAGAAAAATTTAACGCAAGCGGACACACATTGAAAGATGATATGCGAAAGCGCTAAATAAAATGCGGGCGCTTTTCTCAGAATCAAAAATCTAAAAAAAATTTTTTTTTTTGATATCAAAGAAAAGCGCGTTTTTTTTCTTTCCTTTACTTTACAAATAACTTTAAAATTACGTTAGTTACGTTTGTCCGTTAGTAGAACTTCTGATTAATTTTCTTTAATCAGCTATATATTTTAATTACAACTTGATTAATTGATTCGCGAGATTTACTTTCAACTGCCAGGCATGGTTTTTCAAAAAAGTAAATCTCGCGCTTTACACTTAAAAATCATTTATTTTTTAGTTTGTTGGTTGTTTTTTTTTAAATAGAATAATTAAGAAAAAAGAAAGCAGAGGCGAAAAATACACTTACAAATTACTATGATACAGCACTGGCATAGTGAAGTAGCTTGTATAACGCATTTATATCGGTCCCCTTCACGTCTCAAAAAAATATTACAATAATGTTCTTTCGCTTTGTCATAATAAATTTATAATAGACAAGTAAATTAATATAATAATATTAATAATAATCATTATTATCATCATCATTATCATTATCATTCTCATAATTACCATATTTATTATTCTCATCAATAATTATAATAATCATAATTATCATCATCATCATTATTATTATTATTATTATCATCATTTTTCAATTCAATCATTAATTATCATCATTATTATACGTTCATTTTTTTTACCTAGTAATAATAGGAAAATAATAATGATAACAATGACAATAATATAATATAATAATATATTATGTACAATGTTTTCGAAAAGGACCCGTTCGCCTACGTTTCGTAGTACGTTTTTGATTCTACTGTACACGCGGGACTTTTCGATTTTTTTAAAATCAAAAAAGGGAAAAAAATCTCTTCAAAATTAACACGATTTATAAAATCACTCCCTTGCTAGCGATTACAGCAGCCTGTTTTGCGCAAAAAAAAAAATTTTTTTTCTTTTTTGGTTACGTCATTTTAGTTTTTGAACCCCGTAGGAGTTTTTTTTTTTTGCTGTTTCGACATTTAAAAAATAAAATTAAAAATTTTTTTTTTTTAGAGCTAAGTACAGCTCCATTATACGGTGGCCACTACCGCTGTTTTTTTTTGTATAACAACTTACAATTAACGTCGCTTAAAAACTTGGCTCTAAATTCTTATATCCTTTTACCTTACTTTTCATTTTTAAATACAAGGTATTCATTCATTCTTCATACACGCATCTTTGTTATATCTTTGCTTTTTTAGTCACGTTCATAATAATAATAATAATAGTAATAATAATAATTAATAATAATAATTATTAATAATAATAATAATAATTAATAATAATAATAATAATAATAATGGTAATAACTGCATATTCGCTACAGTAGTATTTGAACTATTAATATTAATTAACGTTAAGTATACACAACACATTTGTACGATTTTCACTTAGCCTGCGCAAGGAGCAGCAGCAGCAGTAGCAAGGAAGGGAGCAAGGAATAGTCTTTCGATCTCCTTTTTTTATAGTCTATATATATAATATATATATTTATATATCGAGTTTCACCCGGATTAATCGGACCACAACAACCGGAACGCATGGAACTTACATATGGGGATCACCCATTTGGGGGAGGGGCGAGGGGGGGTTGGAGAGAAGGTCGGGGGTGAAAAAAAGATAGAAGGACATTGTCTTGAGTTCATTCTCGACACAATGTATTTTATAATAGTTGTCCTTGCTTGCCTTCTATTATTATTAATTTTTCTTTTCTTTTTTTAGCTCTTGGCTCGGAGAATTAAAACGCGCACCCTAATAAATAGAGTAGTTATTGGTATAGTAAAAGATCGCACAGTGGAACGCCACAATCTGGATTTCATCCCTGATTTTTTTTTTCATTGATATACAAATCTACAATAAATTCGCGCTCAATCGAATATACCCCATTTTTTTTTAATCTAGGATAGGGAGAATGAGATAATTCTCATCGCGATAACTTTCTCTCTCTCTTTCTCTCTCTCTCTCTCTATCTCTCTCAGGCACCTCGAACGTGAGCAGCGAGCCGTTTTTCTGTTGTAAAACGGAAAACGGCCTTCATTTGTAATGGCAACAGCCACAAAAGATTTAAAATCATTTTATGATACTAACTGTCACTACAACCTTTCTACGAACTTTGTTAATTGGTCTTGTGGCGTCATTTGCGGCATTTCACTCGAGTCTGTGCCACTTGTGGGTGGGGGTGCTGGTGATGAATGATGTGGCATATTGGGAGGATGACCGGAGGGTAACATCATTTCACTAGGGCCACCTAGTTCATGTGCGGGTGAATGAGTTGGCGTTCCATGTGGTGGATGATGATGTGGCGAGGGTACAGGGCCAGAACGCGGTGATGGAACTGGTTGATTTCGCGGCGATGGTACAGGTCGAGGTGAGGGATTTGGTTGTGGTGAGCGAATTGGCGGTGGAGAACGAACCGACTGCATCAATTGTTGTTGCACCGAAATTCCTGGCGGTCCCATTACACCTTGCGGAGAGGGCACAGGAGGTGGTGTTGGCTTAAGACCCGGTTGACCGTAGCCTTGCTCATTGAAACCACCGTAATCTGAGAAAATAATTTATTTATTACCTGCGTCCACCTACATAATTATTGCATAAGAAAGGCGCGAATTAATTAATGACGAAAATTAAAAACAGTCCCGTTACGTTTACTTATCAAATAAATGAATATGAAGATTTTGCTACTCACTCATTAATGGTGGCCTGATGGGCCTCTGTTGGCCATAAGGCGGTGCAGGTGGTTGCGTAAACGGTTGTTGCTGCTGCTGTTGTTGTTGTTGCTGCTGTTGCATTTGCTGCTGTCTCTGCATAACTAACATTTGCTGTTGTTTATACCATTGTTGTTGCTGTTGTTGTTGAACACTGGGTCCTTGACTTGGTTGTTGTTGCTGTTGTTGACCAATCATCATTTGCGTTCTACCCTGCTGCTGTTGCTGCTGCTGTTGTTGATGGTGTTGTTGTTGCTGCTGCTGTTGCTGTTGTTGAGACAGCATATGTTGCAAACCAGGTTGTTGCTGTTGTTGTTGACTAGGACCCAATGGACCAACTCCACCAGCGTGCTGACCAGTTTGCTGCTGAAGAGCAAGTACCTTTTTTTTATTAGATGTGTTAGAAACATTTTTGTCACATTTATATTTGTTTTTTCACTGTTAAATTAGTATGTATTATGAAAATTAAGTAATACCTGGCGTTGTCTTATGAATGTAGCCATTAGAGATGGATTGTTCTTGAGTATGTGAAGTATTTGATTTTGTTGTTCGGGTGTATTGGGACTCTTTAGAGTAGCCATGAGTTGTTGATAGGCACGATTATGCATTGTTGATGTTCCGCCTGGACCAACTTGACTGAGAGGACCGCCAAGAACGCCAGTTTGCCGCGGCATCTGACCGGCAAGTCCCATTCCCGTTTGACCTTGAAGTTGTTGCTGCTGTTGTTGTTGTTGCATCAACTGTTGCGATGATTGCTGTCTTAAACCGGGATTTTGCTGCATAACTGTGTTCGGTTGATACCTAAATTTAGAAAAATATTAAATATTATTTCTGTTTTGGAAGAAAAAACAAAAATTCTGACTACAAAAATATACATTACCTTGGTGTCCATTGATCCATTGAGATGAGATGTGTCCCGCTTGGATTGGGCATTTGCACCGGCATTGACCTTTGCATTTGAGGTGGTGGCATAACGTTACCTCCTTGACCACCGACGTTAACACCGACACCTACGCCAACACCAACTCCTGGTGATACTTTTCCATAGCTGACATGAGGCGCTTGTTGTCTCGCCGCTTCTTCTTGGACTTGTTTCACAACTTGTAGCACATGTGCAGACGGAGCTTGTGCACCGGGTTTTAATCCTACACCAGGTTGATGGGGTGATGGTAAATTCGTTGGACTCATGCCTGGTTTTATGGCGACGCCAGTCGTCATATTCGTGTTCGAACTTTGCTGAGCACTTTGAACTGCACCCATTTGACCCGTCGGCCTTGTATTCATCACAGCCACTCTCCTCCTACAAAATAAAATTATTTTCAAATTCTCTTCTTCAATTTTCTTGTATACTTATTAAATACAATTTAATTTAATTTAATATTAAATAAATATTTAATGAAAATATTTCTCACCTTAGTAACTGAGCCGTTTGTAGTCGTTGTTGAAGTTGTTGTTGCTTCAATTTATGTTTAATATTGGAGCAGAAGGGTACGAGACATTTTGCTTCTTGACAATGTTTGGCGTGATAACAGCACAAGGCAACAAGTTGCTTGCAAATTGGACATCCACCATTTGTCTTTCGTTTGCACACCTTTGTATGTGTTACAACTCTCTTCATCTTTTGACAACTTGGCAGTCGGCAATTTGCGTCTCTGCATTGACAAGCATGGACCAGAGATTGTATGCACCTTTGAATCGAGAGCTTTCGCGCTTCCTAAAAACAAAATGGAAAAGAATTAAATTTAGAAATAAAAAATTTATTATTATTAAATTTTCAGACAAAAATCTCACCTGAGGATTTGCCTGTTTTGCATCGGCAGGTGATGAACCATCGTCCAAATCCAAACCAAGTTTCTCCATATGATGAGGATGTCCATCCTTTTCTTTACAGCTTATACACAGATCAAAGTCCTGTAAAAAAAACCAATGTGTAAATTATAACGTTCAATAAATTTAAAAAAAAATGATATAAATAGAAGGAAAAATAATTTAAAAAGTAGAAAATATAAAATATCAAAAAAGGTAAATAATATACTTACATCACAGACAGTACAGTGGTATCGAGTTTCCACATGACTCTTGCAATTATTACAAGTATAAACGAATTTGTCCTGGCCTTGATTGTGCAACTCGTATAACATGGACATTGAACTGAATTTCGCTCGCCTCAAAGAAGAGAATTCATAATGTCTTTCTCTTGCCATTGTGAGAAAAGCATCTCGTCCGTCCATCAAATCGCAATTGATAACAAGATCTGGATCTTGAATAGACTGTAAATCAAATTTAAAAATTAATTCAATATTCAAGATTTATAAGCAAAATATTATTAAAATAACAAAAAGAAAAACTTACGGATAAACTCGCTGCACTTTGAGCGCTATGTAGCCTAATCACAAAGAAAACTTCCTTATGTTTTTCCATGGTAGCGAAAATTTTCGCTGAAAGATTATTTCCCGTTTGGGGTGTATTTGATTTTTTGCTATTTTTTCGCTGATTTGCTTTGGATTTATTTGACTTCTTTGCCTTTTTCTGGCCTTTCTTTTTCCCATCTGGACCAGTCTCTGAATCTTCTGACATTGAGAGAATCTGCAAATCAAACAATAATTATTAATAATTAAAAAATAAAATAATTAATAATAAAATTTATCATTCATATTTGAAAATTAAATTTCAAAAAGAAATTTACATTTGCCGCAGCAGCTGCAGCTTCAGCAGCCTCGGCTTCTTTTCGTTTCTCTTCCTCCTCTTGGTCCAACTCTTTTATACTTTCTTCCAAAACATTAGGCCAAAAATCTCCTTCGAAATAAGGTAATTCGGCGGCAGAGGACAATTTGTCTTCCATGGCTTGCTTCAAAATATCCTAAAAAAAGAAAGAGAAATCCAATTTTTACATTAATTCTTCAAATGAATAAAAAATATAATTGATTTAAATAAATTGTCGCCTGTTTATCCTATGTTAAAATTTACAAATAAATAAAACATTAGCTTATTCAGGCTTTTAATGTCAGTCCCACAAGACACCTGAAAGTAATTTATTTTCACTAACAGGGAACACTGAGACTTAAAGCAAAAAATTTTCAAAAAGAATAATATTAACTTTCAAGACTAACCTTATAATCGAGTACTATTCTTTCAACTATGCCCTTGTCTAGCATTTTCTTGTACCATTCTTGTAACCTTTTCGGTTTAGGAATTTTTTGCTCCTGCGGATGGCAGTGAAAGATATAGTCATCTCCTTCCGAAGGAGGACACGCCCAAATATGAGCCATTGTATATCTAAAGATAAAAAAAAATCAAAATTATCAATTAAAAATTTTAAAAAAGAAATTGCAATTTCAAAATACCTTAAAAAATGTACTTACCCTAATTGTTTAGCGTAGTCAAGATATCCCAAAAGAATTTCGTGATATACAGCTGTTCGAAATTGTCTAGGCCTGAAAAAATGCACCGAATCGAGATATGCAATGTACACTCGCCTCGTATTTGGCGGTGTACATTCACTGCCGTATTCTTGGACGTGCATACCAAAGAAACACACATCAGTTCCGTCAACTTCCTCAAATGCAAAAAGTGCTTTTGCACGATATGGAAATTCACCTGGCATATCTCCATTATCGACAAATCTATTTCTCATGCCTGGCTTAACTTCTACAACTTTATCACTGGAAGCCACGACTCGAATTGCAACTTCGCCTGCGCCTGCTTCTTTTTTCTTAAGGAAATTGTTGACTCGCGTTTCTATATATGTACCTAATTTCGTTACTGGCAGCCGCTTTGCATTAAATTTATTATCTTTGCGCTTTTGGCCCTTCTTTTTCAGACAATTATCACAGGTAAAGCTAAATGTAGAAATTTTCAGAGATGAAAAAGAAAATTAAATTAGAAAAATAAGACTTAATTTAATTGCATGCAGGTAACAAAAATTTATTTAAACTTACCCTAGGGGCCATATATTTTCCATATGAAGTACACAAATTTGATGCACTTTTCTCCCGCAGTCTGTACAGTAAACGAAAGGTTCCGACTCCAAGTGATCATTCTTCATCTCCTGGAACTGTTCCTTTTTGATGGCACTAAAGTTAAAATGAAATATTATTTTTTTACATCAACACAAAATAATTTAAAATTACAAAAAAACTCGATTTTTTAAATTCTTAAATTAAAATATTTATTACATTACAATAATTATTAATTTCTAATATATATTTGAATTATAAATGAAAACTTACGTTTGAGGTTGAGTGGGATCGTCACCAAGCGTCACAGTGTCGCCGGGAATGTCGTTGAAACATTTCTGACAGAAGGTGTATCTGTCGGAAACAAGACCATAAGCCTTTAGACTATTAAATCGCCAAATTTTCAAATCCACATCATTCATCAATTTTTTGTACATGTGTGTCATACGCGAATCCAAAAGATTGTGCCAAATTGTTCCATATTTTTTAAATTGTGTATCCAATTAACAAAAATAGCGTTTTTCGAAAACACGCATGCATTTTTTTTTTGTAATTTGCCAATTAAATATAATTTTGTTTTTTAAATTTTGTATAAATTCGTTTTCAAATTGATTGAAAAAAATTTGTCCGAATTGATTGTTTTTATGTGTTCAATTTTGTCAATAAATTTTGATTGTTTTTTTTTCATTCCGATTATGTATATTATATATTTCAGGTGTCCGGTGTTGAAGAACCAAATTTTGTGATGTGGAGTAGAAGATCAAAAAAAGAAGCAATGAAGCAACACAAGAAGCAAGCAGCAAACAATAATTTGTGTGTTCACGTACGCAACCCGTAGAGCGAAGAAAACATATAAAGAGAATAGTGCTTTGTTAGAAATGATATGGCATATAAAAAAATTAAAAAAAAATAAAATTATTAATATTTCATAAAGGTTAAAAATTTATTTTTCTTGTTACTTTTTTTGCATAAAATATTCAGCTTGGTAAGATTGTCTCTTAAAAATTTGTATTTTAGTGTAGGACAGGTGACTGACCTAAGTTGGTTGAACATGACCAATTCAGGTTAATTATCCTGCCAATTTAATATGGCGCATGCAGTTGAACAACACTTTTTTTAAATACTAAGTGCTATTAATGTACTAAGTGCGCCCTTGCTTATAAATTTTCAATTCACCCGAAAATGTATATTATATTTAATTTTGTTATTTAAAGAACACTACTTGAGAAAATTTCATTCATGCAAAATTTGCACTAAATTAACAATCGATTTCTGTTCTGTAACATTTTTTCCTATTAATGCATTAATATTTTTTTAAATTAAATTTTCATTCAGTCAACTTAAAGAGTAAAAGATTTTTAAAAAAATTGTTTTTATGAATAAGAGAACATTTTTTTTACAGTACAGAAATTGGACGATCGCTAAATTTGTTGCCAAGAATTTGAGCAATAATTAAAATAAAAACTGACCTGTTTTGGTAGGAATAGTATTTTGCGTCTCGCGGTATTGTGCACAATTGTTTTCCGTAGCAACAGAGAACTTGAGGATTGAAGGTATACTTCCTTCCGCAACAGTATCCCAGAGCTTGCATCACTAGATCAATTTCTTGTTCAAAGACTTCAGATAACTGAAAAGAAGAAAATATAAATGAAATAAATACTATGAAAAATACATAAAATCGCAAATTTCAATATTATAATTTTTATTTTCGTTTAATGTTTTAGATTTCAATTTTTATAATTAGTTACAAATTGTAAGTATTTGTCGATCAGGTGACTGACCTAAATGGACAAAAAAACGTCAAATTAGGTTAATTAACCTGCCAATTTAATTTAGCGTAAGAAAATGAAATGACACTTTTAAATTACAGAGTATCATTAAAACATTTTTACGCCATCTTCATTCTTAATATTTCTCAAAATTTTTTTCAGAAAAAATTTACAGTTGTTTGTAAGTAAAATTCTATTAGACTAATATTCTATAATTTTTTGACTATCAAATAAAAAAAACGCAGTCCTTGTCAGAAAAAACCAAAAAATAATTAGATTTTTGATTTAATAATTTAAAATTTCTCCACAAGTAATTGAAATATTAATATTTATATTATATATGTAGGTCAGGTGACTGACCTAAATGGACAAAAAAGTCAAATTAGGTTAATTATCCTGCCAATTTAATTTAGCGTAAGAAAATGAATCATACTTTTAAATTGAAAAGTACTATAAAAATATTTTTACGCCACTTTCATTCTTATTATTTCTCAAATTTGGTTGCAGTAAATACATATATTTTTATAGTATAATTTTTGACAAACGAAAAAACGCAGTCCCTGTCAGAAAAAAATAAAAAAAATTCGATTTTTCTTTTAATAATTTAAAATTTCTCCACAAGTAATCGAAATATTAATATTTTATATGTAGGTCAGGTGACTGACCTAAATGGACAAAAAAGTCAAATTAGGTTAATTATCCTGCCAATTTAATCTAGCGTAAGAAAATGAATCATACTTTTAAATTGAAAAGTACTATTAAAATGTACTTACGCTATTTTTATTTATTATGAATAATTTTGTTTTCTAAATTAATTCAGTGCTTTTTTTTTATATAAAATTTAGCAAACTGTTATTCTATTATATTTTATTCAAAAGTGGTTCGTGATCTGGTAGAAAATTTTAATACTTTACAGAAATAATTTGGAAATTCCTTACAATACATTATCAATAATTATTTTATGAAATTTTTATTGACAAAGTTAAATAAAAAGAGTATTGAAATATTTTTTAAAAAATTAATAATAATTGTTTACCTAGATTAATTTAGTTTATTTATATTATTTAATTACAGTATAAAAAATCCAAAATATTAATGTAAATTCATTTTTAACCTTACTTGTTAGTAAAAATTCAACAACTTTTTAATTTTTAAGAGTTTAAATAAAGAAAATCGTGAAATTTAGATACTTATTAAAAAAAGAATATATTATTACATTAAATTATTATTATTTTAAAAATATTAATTTTCTCTTTTTCAGTATTCAAAAATATTTTTTGTAAATATTTGTAGGACAGGTGACTGACCTAAATTAACAAAAAGTCAAAATTAGGTTAATTATCCTGCCAATTTAATCTAGCGTAAGAATTGAATAATACTTTTAAATTGCAAAGTATCATTAACATAAACTTACGCCATCTTTTTTTCTTATTAATTTTTTTTTAAATTTTTACTATTTAATTTCTAAGCATTTAAAAATATTTACAAATTTTCTAGTAAAATCTAATAAAAAGCTGTTGAATTTTTAGCAGTTTTACAAATAATTTAAAAATTTTCATTTTTAATTTTTTATACAACAAGTAAAATAAGTAAATAAATTAGATTATCTTAAACAAAAATAAAGAAATTTTCTATTATCTAAATTGTCGATTTTGTTTTATTAAATTTTAACAACTGAGAAAATAATCTTTTTTCCTTATTTCAAAATTAAAATGCCAAGGTAAATACAGAAATATTTAGCATTGTCTACGGTAATTTGCAATTATGCATCATGTATATTAATTTTTTTTTTCTTTTTGAACTATTATTAGCTTTTAAGAAAGAGATTTAAACAAACAAATCGTAATAAAAGTTAGTCCAACTCTACAATTGTAATGGAAAAATAAATCTGTAAATAAAATGTCAAAAATATATTGTAAGGAAATCACAAATAATTCTTAGAATCATAATTTTTCAGGCCTCAGATCGACTTTAAGACACAAAAAATGGCGTTTTAGTCGATTTTTTTTTATTTTAACAAAATTTAAACGGTTAATGAATATTTTTCTTTAAATAACTAATGTTATTAGATATTAAATTCATTTGATTAATTCTGTAATGAGAATAATTCTTTAAAAATATTATCAAGAAAATTTATTTCGAATATTTCAGAATCGAACTAATTATAAGACAAATTTTCAAAATTTTATTTAAGTTGGACAAATTTCTAAAAAAAAAAATTCTTAAAGTTCCATTTTTATCGTTTTCTGAAGTCTGATTTAAGTAATTTATCCAAATTTAAAATTTTGTCATAGTTTTTAGTTTTGATGGTCAAAAGAATTCCAGGCCGATTCAAAAAAATTCAAGTTTTACAGATTTTTAAATAATAATAATTTTGGAAGAGTTAAAGTTGAAATTTTTAGAAATAATTAAATTTCAAAAGATTTTGTTCATTTTCAGATAATAATTAAATTTTACAGAACTAAAAATAATTTATCAAATAATTTTAGAGAATATTTTCGAAGAATATTATAAAAATCATTAAAAATAATTGAAATTTTTGCAAATAATTAAATCTCAAGTGATTTTAAATTAAAAATTTTTGATAATTTTTTTTTAAATTATAAACAATTATTAACTTTCATAAAAAATTAAAATTGAAAAAAAAGTTTAAGATAACTAAATTTTTGAAGAATTTCATTAAAATTATTAAAAATAATTAATTTAGTGAGGAATTTTAGTTAAAAATTTGTTAAATAATTAAATTAAATGATCTGAAGAAAAATCTTACCTTAGTGCAATATTTATAAACTCGTGACGCTTTCCGATTGTACAACCAGGCATTGTCAAACATCATCCAAACATCATCAACATACTCCCAAGGATCGCTGTACTGTCCAGTGTCCAATTTTCGTTTAATCGTTGACAAGTCCATTGGTTTTTTAACAATATCAAAGTAATCAGGAATTTGCAATGCTTGTGGATCAACAGGTTGTCGAAATGGCAATGATTCAGGATCTTGTCGATATAATTTCTCTAAAGTTGGCATCAATGCTTGACGCAATTCGTCAGGTTTAAATAAACACAATCGTTTCTTGTCACTCGATGTACCAGTTGGTTGAATTGGTTCTGGCACAATTGGTTTTATATCCGAAGTAGCAGTATCCTGACTTGACATTGGCGTCACAGGTTCATCTTTAATAGTACCAGTTGGTTCCTCCTTAACAGTCATTTCATCCGATGTTTCATCCATTGGCTCGGTCTTGATTTCCGTTTTAATCGATGACATTTCACTATTGCTACCACCTTTACCACCATCACCACCACGATGATTTTCCGCGCCTTCCTCTTGTTTTATTTCCATTTTAATGTTCTCTTCTTTTATTGAATCCAACTTGCCCTTATTATTATTTGTTGGAGGACTAGGAGAATTATCACGATCAAGGGCAGCTGTTATGGCGGCCATTTGCGAAGACATTGATGAACTTCGAGGCGCGTTTAATGCCGCTCTTTCTTGCGATGTCATTCCTTTACCAAGACTCGCTAAACCAACGGGCGATGGTGTTGCCGCTGAATGTGGTGGCGTTTGATTTGCCGATGAGACATTTTGATTGGGTGTCATTAATGATGGTACTGATGGTGTATTGGGAGTGGATGTTGTCGATTGTGGTCCATTTGTTAATGGAGCGGGCCCAGGACTCGGACCACTGGATGCGGATGGTGCTAGGGTTTGTGGTGTTGACGCCGCTATACCACTGTCACCGGGTGTTGAGGCCGACATTGATAAACTATTTTGAAATTGTTGATTCTGATTCGATTGTTGCATACCACTGAAAGGTGACGGTGCTTGTGGCATTGAACTTGAATTAACGGTTTGATTAGCAGTGCTTGTTGGTTGCTGTGATTGTTGCTGCGTCTGTGATTGTTGTTGACTTTGTTGTTGTTGTTGCTGCTGTTGTTGTTGTTGTTGCTGCTGCTGCTGCTGCGCTTGAGCTTGTGCTTGAGCTAATCTGACCCTAATGTCGGAGAATTGATGTTGATTTTGAACGGGCGAACTGTTGGGTAGACCGGCTGTTCCGTTAGTCGTTGGAAATTGACTAGTGGTCACTGACGAGGTGGTTGTGGTTAAATTTGCCTGTGACATTTGAGGTTGTCCAAAGGGACTGAGACCGGGATTTGATACCATATTGGGATTGGAAGCAGATTGTCCATTTGGACTAGGTCCGGAGGGTCCAACGAGCATTTGTTGTTGTTGAGTTTGCTGCTGCTGCTGCTGCTGTTGATGTTGAATTTGTTGCACTTGTTGTGCTTGCTGCTGTTGGGGAAATTGCATACGATTATGTTGCATGCCAATGTTGGATATTCCCAATTGTCCCATACTTGGGGAATGACTCCTTAAATTTGGTGGTACGGTACCAACGGGTCGTGCCTGAACATTGGCGGCAACTCCAGGTGGTGCACAGGGTCGTAAACCGGCGCCACTGCCTCCGGGTTGTTGTTGCTGTTGTTGCTGCTGCTGCTGTTGTAATTGTTGTTCCTTACGTTTTTGACGTTTTTCCTCGAGTTCTTTTTGTATTTTGTAAATTTTCTCCGCTAATAGATGATAATATTCGGATCTTGAATTGGCCATTTCGTACATGTCGCCCTCGACTTTTCTTGCGTACGCCACCAAATTGTGCATTCGTTTGTCAAGCATTGCTTGTGGATCGGGAGTCGGAAATATTGCTTGGACCAACTTGTGAACAAGATGATTCCTGAGATCTGGCGTCACTGATTGATGCCATTCCTTCGTCCCTTGAACAGGCGTCGCTGTAACTTGTCCCGCTTGAAGACCGGGCGGAAGTTGTACGTTGCTTAGCCGATTATCGGCTAGAATTCCCGGTTGTCCGGAGTCATTTAAACCAAAGAGTTGTTGCATACTGACTGTTTGTTGTTGGATATTGGCAGCAGCGGCGGCGGCTGCTGCAGCTGCTGTTGGACCAGTTGTCGGTGTCGATTGATTGGCAGCTGCTGAAACTGCAGTTGGATCCTTGCTAAGTGGTAGTGAAACGTTTGGAGCAACAACTTGTTGTCCCGTTCCAATGACAGACTGTCCTGGACCGGTTTGAGTTTGAAGTTGTGCCATTCGAACGTCTGCCATGGTACCGGGTGCTTGTAAAGGAGGACCAGCTAGTCTGACACCACCTCTATTAACTGTTTGACCGGGTAATAAATTTGGAGTTGTCGTTGGACATTGAATGCCAAGTGCATCGTACGCTCTCCTCATATCTGATGGACTGGGATTGGGTTGTGTTGTTGGTTGAGGTACAGTTACTGCAACTGAATTTTGATGTCTATTTTTATCGGCTTGCTTTAATGGTAAACACACGGGACAATCGGCTTTCGTACAGTATCGCCAATGATTGATGATTTGTCTTGACGAACTGCAATGTGGTACCGCGCAACTTTTTCCGGCATGACAATTTGTCATGTGATTTAGGACATTTTTCATCATTTTGCAGTGAGGTAGAGAACATTGCCACGCTTCACCATTCGATTGACTCTCTCGTCGTTGACATTTGTGAGCGTGTAGGAGTAAAACTAGTTGTTGTTGAATTAGTTTTCGTTTTTCGGGATCGGCGGTTGATTGTGTAGCACCTTGTGGTTGTCCACTTGGCATTTGTCCTTGCGTGGCTTGTTGAGGGCCCGGTTGTCCTCCACTTGGTGCTCCCGATTGCGGTTGAGCCGGACTTGGCGCTGGTGGTTGAGCTTGTTGTGCCATTCCACCCTCTTGACCCCCAACGACATTCGTTGATCCGATAGGTCCTCCCGGGCCACCGAATCTATTAACTTGCATACCAGCCATATTGGTACCGACGCCTCGTTGTTGAGGAGCAACAACTCCCACTGGATTATTAGTACCCACATTCACATTTGGACCAGGACCATTGCCTGGGGAATTGTATCCATAGGGACTCGAAGCACCCATTTGTCCCATATTTGCCATATTGGGCGGTGTTTGCATTCGTGGACCTTGACCTACGATATTAACTTGATGAACTTGCTGATGAGGACTTTGACCTCTCGCTGCTCCAACCATGTGTTGCTGTTGTTGCATTACCACGGCTCTTGGATTCATCAATGCTGGTCCATTTTGCATTTGAGCGACACCATGAGGTCCACCCGGATGATGAATTCCTTGGGCATTGGAACTCATCATAGATACCTGAAAATTAATCATTATCAATATATACATTTTAGTTATTAGAAAATTGGAAATTCATGAAAAATGACAATTTACCGTATTTAGCGGTTGTTTATTTAAGCTGTTTGCAACAATTAAACCTCCGCCTGCCATGCCACTCATATTATTGTTCCCTGTAGCACTGCTCGTCATGACTAGTCCGGAGTTCATTGCACCTGGCATTGACATTGTGGGATTATTTCCAGACATACTCATTGATGATTGAAGTCCTCCCATTGAATTCGCGATAGATATTTGGTTATTCGCTAGTGAACTTGCTATGCTGCTTGGTAAATTACCAAGGCTTACCACCATTTGTGGATCAACTACTCCTTTCGATACTGAAACATTAGGAGGTGACTGCATATTGGGACTTTTACTGCCCAAACTTCCAGCAGCCATAACCAACGAATTTGCTACCATATTTTTGTTTCCCTGTTTTAAAACATAAAATAATTTGTCAACATTATTAATTCTTTAGTTCTTTTGTTTTATTTTTTTAAATGACAAAATTTACCTGCTGTTGAATGAGATGATGTGATAATTGTTGTTGTTGTACATGTTGTCGAAGTTCATTGTCAAGTGCCCCATTCTGTTGTCCTGGACCGGGACCAGTAGCTGGAGGTTTTGCACTTTCAGTTGTAGAACCCCAGGAACCAGACGACAGAAGATCTTCAGGAAGTTCATTTTCGAGATCAAACATATCAGTGTTTGTCATATAATCTGGGAATATGAAAAATCATTAGTATCACTTCAAATATAACTGAAATAAACACAATCGGTATGTTAATGAAATTTTTCTTATTTTTTTTTTTGAGATGAAGTCGAGTCGCATGTTAAATTTTTTTAAAATCAAAAACTACAATTACAAAAAAAAGTCAAATGATTATATATTACAAAGAAATTTCATCGAGCAATACAAAAAAAAATAATTGTAAATTATGACAAGTCAACTGTAAAAAAAAAAACGGTTTTAGAATGAATTTGTTAAAAAAAAATCTACAATATTTGTCATTTACAAATTGTTTACAGTCTCATATATAAATAAAACTGCAAATAAAGCAAGAAATACATCCAATGAAGTATTTGCTGAGAATATTTTGTGACAGTGCATGATGTACCAAAGAGTCCGACACAGCATTAGTTATTTTGTATAAGTATGAGGTTAGTACCGACACCAAAACTTTTTATATTATTATTCTGATATTAAGAATAAATTATTTTTCTTATTTTAATTATTCATAAATAACTAAATGAAAAAATCGTTTTCTCGACAATATATTACGTAAATTGTATTTTGTAATTCAGGGGGGTGGGATAGCAGTAAAAATTACCGAGAAATTTTTTTTAATTTTGAATTTAAAAAAAAAACGCATTCACGACTGACCAAAACATTAATGAAAAAGGAAAAATATCACAATTTCAGAAATTTGGAAATAAAAAAAAAACTATACAAAATAAAATATATAAATAATAGAAACATGAAAAAAAAAATATTTTAATATATTAAAAACTAAGACATGAGACATACACCACATGAGCAAAATTTAAAGGAGAATCATTCTACACTAGAATAAAAAACATGACCTGTTCTAAAATCGTGCTTAACTACAAAAAGCAGCAAAGCTACTGATGGCAAACCGTATACTCATGCAAAGAGATTTTGTTTTAATAAAAGTAACAATTTTTTTTTTTCGAAAAATTGTACTTCTCATTTATTAAATTTTATATATTAAATATAACTCACTGCAATATTTATACAGAATTTGCCACCAATTCTTAATTTTTATGAAGTACAATTTCCATTTACCATCATATGATTAATTATAATAATTATTATTATTATTATTATTGTTGTTATGCTATTATTGTAATGATATAACCTTTATGATTATTATCTTTAGAATAAAATTAAAGATTTCATATAGTAAAAATGACAAAATACAAAAACATATTTGATATTTCTTCTAAAAACGAAATATTTACTTCTCTTATCAATATCTAATCTATTTATTCGCATAATTATTTTTCTAAAATTAACATATTTAAAAAATTTTTAAGTATTGACTAAAAAATATAACAAATGTTGTGAAAGATTATTTAGAAAAGATTTTTTTTATAAATTTAATCAAACAGAATAAAACATACACTCTGTTGAGACAATACAAAAACGAAATACAAATATAAAATAAAATAAAATAAAATATGTAACGAAACCGATTAAACACATAAATGCACTTCTATTTCAAGCCAGTTATTAAAATGACAGTATTTTTCATTTTTTCCTATATTTCATCGTATAATAAAAATAAATATTGTTGAAATACAAATTTGCATTTTTTTTCTCTAAAGAAAAAAACCTTCTATACATACTCTCCATACAGGACATGTAAAATCGTGTAAAAAATGAAAACCACACCAAACAGTGAAAAGTGTGGAAATTTCATAATTATAACTATTAAAAAAAAAAAAAAAAAAAATTGTGAAAATAATTTTGTTTTATAAATATCTTAAATACGTACCTATATTTTTAAAGAGGAAAATAGAAAAGTTAACAATATAATCAAGTGGTGTACAATTTATAGTATGTAAAAGAGAAAAATAGAAATTTTTTTTACATATTTTCAACAACCCTTTTCTATTTTTTACTAAAAATGAGTTAAAAATGTTATACTTATTAACATAACTACAAAAGCATTATTATTATGTAAACATACACTGAAAATTGATTCAGTATAGTTTACAAAAAATTATTATATACATAAAATATGTTTATAAGTATATGTGTAAAAAATATATATTTAAAAAAAACACATATAGATGTAAAAAATATCTATGTAAAAATATGCGTATACAAATAAAATATTTAATCTTGTAAAAAAAATGTAATATCTAAAAAAAAATAAATTAGGGTTTGTTTTAAATATGAACCTTCACCTGTTGAAAGAATATAATTTATTAAACGCCATTGTACGCACATAAGAAGATATATAACAATATTGTGAATTTTTTTAAAATTTTCTTTTGAAAGATGATTTTAATTTGCTCATCATAAAACACAGCTCTATGTATGTCTGTCGCATGTCTCAAGACTTGTTTATAAATTTCACTTTTTTTTTTTTTTAAATTTCTGCAATGCATCTTCAAAACACTGTTTATTGGTCAATCGTCCACACGCAATGGAAAAACAATCATAACTCTATGGTAACAATTTTTTTTTTTTATGAATCTTGTAAATAAAAAGTCTATTTCAATAATTGAAATCAATTTTAATTATTTATCGATAATTACCAAAAAAGGTATTTAAATCCAATTATTTAAAATTTTAACCCTTTGGGGAGATATTTTTCTTTTTACAAAGACTAATATATTTTTTTTTTTGGCTCAAAACCCCAAAGGGTTAAAAACAACCGAGATAAAATTTTTTATACAAAATCCAAAAAAAGAAAAAAAAATATCACAAGTTAAATTGAAAATTTAATTAAAACTAGCTTTAAGGAAGCAACTAATTTTACGTGACTTTTGAGAAAACGAAAAAAGAGAACAGTATATTAATAAAAAAATTTTTTTTTGGAAATTAAAATTTACTAGAACCTGATAATGTGATTGAAATTTGGATTCGATCTTTTTCAAATGATTTTTAGGATCAATGATAATGGTGATATGATTTCATGGATGGACAATTTTTGACAGTGCTTGAAATTTGTTGCAGCTTTTTTTTTTGCTTTTTTGATTTGTAATATTTACTTCTTTTCTGCGTAGTATGGTTGTTCCAATGTTGCTGCAGCTGTTGCTGTTGCAGATGTAGTTGTTGTGGCAGGCCCTGCATTTGTTGTATGTTACCACTGCCACCTCCCCCGTAGTTTGTATAAGCATGGTGCATCATTAGAGGCGCCATACCCACTACATATATCACAGTTTATGATTTAAGACCGTGCAAGATTTTTTTTTTTTTTTTTAATATTTTTGTTTTTTCTGAATTTAACAACGCATCCAAGTCACAGAAACAGCTCTTTCAAATTTTAGCGCCTTCACATTTAAACACGTGCTTTCTGTCTTGTTTTGACAGGAACTGTCAAACCACGTGGAAATACACGTTTTTTTTCTAATTATAAGGTATAAAAATTTTATTTAAACAAATTTTGTCATAAATAAAATCAAAGAGAATCAAATATCAAAATCATTTTCTGTCAGATCGTTTCTGCAACTCAGCTACATGTCAGTTTTTTTTTTATTTATAATGTGAAAAGTGTGAACCTCTTGTTTTGACATATTATTAAATAATAAGTATTGTTGTTTACTTAACCCGTTTTGTGTCAAAAAAAAAAGAATTCTCTCAAAATAAAAAAAATTTATATCTAACTTGACTGTCCAAACGATTAGTAAAGAGCGGCTTTGAAAGAAAATATATATAAAATAGAATAAAGAGTGGTTAGTGCGTAGCACATGCGAGTAAAAATTTATTTTCATTGTTTTTTTTTTGTTTTTTTTTACTCAATATTGCTTAAAATGCTCATGCACACAACATGCACTACAATAAATCTAAAATAAAAACTATATATAGAAAGAAAGTATAGAAAAACTACTCTAAAATTGAGAGGTGTATGTCAAAAATTACGTTCATGCAAAACGATGCAGAACTGACACATCAAAAAGTCATCAAAATAAAAAAAAAATAATACAAACAAAAACAATTAAATGTGTCAAATTACAGAGTGCATATGGCACTGATACATATATTCATGATACCTTTGAACAAAATATATCAAATTTTCTCTTTTCGATAATAATTATTTTTCATTTTATAGACATTTCTGAAAATTTCTATTTTCACGTTAAAATTATACTACAATTGTAAACAAACAAATATAAACAATTATTACATTTCTGGAATTTTTCATTTTTGACAGAAAAAAAAACAAGAAACCTTTTCCTGGATCTTGAAGTTATTCTCAAACGTTGCACGAGCCATAACTTCAAATAAAATGTCTTCTCAGAAGTTATATTGAAAGTGATATCGAGACCAATTTGGTATCTCCAAGTGTCAAAGAGTGAAAATTATTTCTACTGTCACAACAATCATTACAAGTATCATTTTTGATCAAAAATGAAATTTTTTTCAATGAAAAATAAAAATGAAATATTTCGGAGTAAATATTTTGATAGAGAAAGAGTGAGAGAGACATGAACTTTGACAGAAGTATGTCGGTAACAGTTAAGAGGCTCTTTGACGTTTCAAAACTTTGGTAGCGGAGCAAATCTCGAAAAAGAAAGAAGGCTCCGGATTGTTTCTTTAGTGAATTAATGGACATTGAGGACCAGGAGAAGATGGACAACTTTGCTCAAAGGTTTTTAGCATTAAATAAATTGACTTGCGCCTTTTGCTGCCGGGTTTTATCGGGGCGGGAAATGGACGTGCACGCTACGTTTTTAGACGTGTGCTCGTTCTGTAGGTTAGTCGCGCATCTCTGAACTTGCAGAAGACGCGTGGCAAATAAAAAGGATATGCTCACCTGAAGAATCTGAGGGCCCTTGAAAAGGATCCGCGAGCTTGGTCCGCTTGTTCGGCGGGCCGTCCACTAGGTGGTCGGCCATGTCTCCGCGGGTTAGCTTTTCTCAGGGCTGTTTACTCTCCGTACTAACAGATCGGCAGAACACGCACGTACGCACACGCAGGCACGCACGCACGTATACACTGGGGTAACTCCACTAAAACAACACTACCTCGACGTCTACCTCAACGGTATGATGAAAATTCACTGCTTTTCTCGCATGGTCGCGGGCGTAATAATAACAGCAATGAGAGCCGCGGCGCATGGAGCGTCCCCGAACACGCTTTACAAGGCGGTCAACCATTGGGCATCGTCAGGGTATAACCCCTGGGGCTGATTTGTACACAGTATTTTAAATCACGCACAACTCCACTTCTTTGAAAACGACAAGATAAAACTCAAGAAACTTGTGTCGACACTTGGCTGGACACTAGTCGTCAAAACTCAAGTAGTGGCGGACTGGCTGCGCACACGGCGCTACCTCGCAGCGACGATATCGCTCTCGAGGCCCGCTGGCACCATCACCATCTTCCTTCCTCTGTCTTCTTCTCTCGCCTTGGCACTGCACGACGGGCGCGCGAAATCACCGCGAGATTGGGCAGCTTTCTCCGTACATTCGACAGAAACTGTTCGCGACTTGATGAACTCGATCGAATTAATCGGGTCCAAGCCGGCCACCGCGGGCGATAAAGATTCGCGAGGGAAGCGAACACAAGAGTTCCGCACCGCACGAGTATCAGTTCAAGTAAAATGGCGACTGCTGTTGATGAGAAGTTTTTCTACGCTTGTCAGAAAATGTCGGACTGGTTCCTAAAGGCTGCCGGGTGTCTAGATCACACAGCCGATTGGCTGAAAGGTTCACGTGATCAAAACTCGGCACGCCATTGGCTGTAGTGTTGCGAAGCTGCAAACGCCGTGACTAAATTCACGCCGTTGACCTATCAGGGGTGTAATTACAACATGGGCCCCAAATTTTCCAATTTTTATTTCTTTTAAATTTTGAAAATAATTTAATTACTTTTCATAAATTTATCCGCACTATACATTTATAAATTAATCTTGAATTTTTAAACAATATTTTTCTGATTAAATAAGAACTAATGAAAAACAATTTTAAAATTAATGTCCACATTTTTAATAGTAATTCATACGCTTCTGGTTGTACATTCGAATCTGTATTGCGATTCCGCCGCGAAATGTCATAACTTTTGCACTGAAAACATTCACGTTGTCATGGTTCGTTGTGATAATAGAATCAGTTAAAATAGAAATATTTTACCAAAAATTTAATAATCTGAGTCAAATACTGTGAGAAATTAATAGGAAATATTGAAATTCAGTGAATAATCAATAAGTTAAAAGTGAAAAATGTGTCATTCAAAGCAGGACATCATAATGTCAACAATACCCTTTTTATAATTAATTTCTGTCACTTGATGAGATAATCTTTTGTTTGAGATGTGATAAACGAAGCATTGATCGATTAAACCTAAATATTTTTTGGTCTAATTGAATTTACGACATTGAGAAAAAGTGCTTTAATTCTAACCTCATTTCAAAACATGTATCAGTGCATTAAAATAATTTTATTAAATTATTCTTTTATATTGAAATACAAGATAAGTTTAATTATTATTATATCACAAGATATTAGATGTAAATTAATTTATTACATATCAAAATATAAATTTTCACAGGTATTGCAAATTATATGAAATTTTTTTATTATTTTGTCAATTCATATTTCTTGTTTTTTTTTTATATCTATTATTTCTTAAGTGAACATTTTTATAGAAAACAGGATAAAATGAATTTAAATGACAGTCAATATTTTACTCTTTTCAAAAACTATAACAAAAGTACATTTATAAAGAACAAAAGAATAAAAAACAGACATTATTGTATAACAATGTCAACAACGTAACTCATGCATTGTCAATAAAAGAATAATCTTTACCCTGTTCAAATGTTTATTATATATTTCTTTTTCACAGGTAGGTATATATGAGAGGACAAAGATTCAATCGACTGAGAGAAAATGATAAAAAGAAATAACTTAAATATATTGACATCAAGTGACAATGAATATATCTTTAACAGATAAATCTGTTAAAACATTAATAATTGACATAGAACGAATTGAATAAGCGAATATAAACAAGAGAACATTTTTTTTTTATTGCAGAGGCAGTAAGGTGTTTGACGAGACAAAGAGAGTTTAATATACCTTTACGTATATATATGTTGAGTACAATAACAGAGTCTTTCGAGAGCAAAAGCGATATGAACAATAAGAATGTGATATGATGGGGTTATATGTTTGTGTATGTATCGCTGTTGTATAGTAAAACTACATTTAAGCACAAGGTGAGTATAAAACAAAGAACCCCTACCGATTACTAATCTCGGTTTAAACTTGACTAGATGTTTAAAGAAAGCAATATGTACCAGGTTCAAATTTCAAATATAATAGGCGCCACTTTTACTTGTTTTTTAATTAAGATTATTTATTTTTGAATAAATTATTTAAATCAAATATTGACTTATTAAATAAATTTTGGGTTAAATGAATATTTATACTGAAAAAAAAAATTTATTTTATTCAAATACTCGATTACTTGAGTATTATCAAATAAATATTTATTTGAATTAAATAAATTGTATTTGAACCAATAATTTCTGTACTTGAAACAAATACCATTTAATTGACTCAAATAATAATTATTTGATACAAATAAATATTTATTTGATAATAGTCAAGTAATCGAGTATTTGAATCAAATAAATTTTTTTTTCAGTGTAATAATAGTAGTTGATTTTAATAAATTTGTTTTCTATTAGTTAATTCAATATTTTATAATTCTATTTTTTTCTTGAATTCTATTTCATTTTTTTTAATTATCTAAAATTTTCACATAAATTATTAACATATTTCTTTTTTTATTTAGACGAAAATGATATCAAGAACTTTAAGTACATTTGAAAAATTATACGAACACTTTAATCATATTAAAGTGAATAATTGAGGAAAGGTGATTTAATAATAATGAAAGGTTCTAGAAACAAATTGAACAATTGCGAAAATTAATCTCTCAAGTTTGCATCAAATTTTGCAATGAAGGTGCGAAAAAAATGTAATTATTGAAATTAATATTTAAAAAAAAAAGAAATAGCTTGAAACAATCAAAAAGACTTTTTTCATATAAAAGATTACGAAACAAGATAAAAATAAAATTTCTCAGATATACTTTTAATTAATCAGTATGTAAATTAACAAAAAAAAGAGTATTAATCATAAAACAAAAATTCGATTATCTGAAGTTATTTTTAAATTCTCATATCAGTTAATTAATCCAAAGGAATTATTTTCATAATTTCAACTTTTATATAATTCCTTCTTGTTAAATATTTTGTTATTTAATTTATTTACATTTTTTTTTTTAGAAGATGAAAATGATTCGGCGATTCAAAAGCATTGAGAATGATTCAACAATAATGAGAGGCAATGGAAAAAAATTGGACAATCGCAAAAAAGGAGTGGTGTTTCAAGTCTGGATAAAATCTGGTGGTAGTGGTGGTGGAGGTGCGAGAACGGCACGCGACACTTGCTGGCTATGAACCCTATATATACATATATGCGTGTCCCAAGAGTGTATTGCTCTTTGTAAATGTATACATAATGAGAGGTGGGCGCGAGTAAAGCAAAAGAAAATCTTGGGAGGATTGAATTGCGCCGTGGTAGCAGCCATCGTCCTCGGTGACAGCGGCTCTTTGTATGAGAAAGTCAGAAGGAATGGTGATACGTGTTGATAGAATCAAAAGAGACACACAAGGAGGGGGAGGTAAGAGCGCGGACACCTGCCGCGATTTAAAGGGCGATACTCATTTTCCAAATATTTTCATTCAATGACATTGCACTCATTTTTACCCTAATTTTTAATTATAAAAATTTTTTTTAATGAAAAATTTTTTAAATTTAAAAAATAATTTTTTAATAATTAAAAAAAATGTTTTTAAATCTACAAAAATTCGGAAAAGTAAAAATCTAGTTATTTAAATAAAAAAATAATTAAAATAGTAATTAACTAAATTAATAAAAATTAAATTGTATTAAAATAATTAATAATTACTAATAATTGCACAGGATAATCGGGGGAAATCAAGATTCTTAGGAACAACCCGCTTTTTGATCCATTTAAATACGTGCTGCGCAACTATTGGAAAAAGGTATTTCTTTTAATTTTATAAAAATTCAAAAAATTTATTATTAAAATGATTAATTTATTAATATTTTAATTAATAAATTATATAAAGTTTCGTTATTTATTAATTAATAGAACTAATTTATTTTATTTAATTCAATAAATTTCATAATAACAAGAAACTTGTGAATTCAATGTTAATTGAAAATATATACGTTAAATAATAATTTAAACTGATCTTATTAAATGGATGTGAATCTCTCACATAAATACATTTCGAATTTGTATTTGTGTGACAGTGCGCCGGCGTATTAAGGCCGCTTTACAGTTATGTAAGGTCGTGAAACAATAAACTTCTGATGCTCGAGTATAAAGCAGCAAACCTCTTAATTTCATCAGGATTCAATCCTGTGCTTTTATATAAAGTAACACTTAATAACAGGGTAATATAGAGTCATTGAACTCTTAATAAGTCACACTTTTCATTATTAAATTAAAGAAAATTATATTCGTGACATTGAAAGAAAACAAAACAATAAAAAAACTAGCATGTTTTTTTTTTAATTAATTACTTAATTTTTTAAATTTATAACAATATCTACAATTTTCAAAAAGTTAGGGAAATTTTCTTAAAACATATTAAAATTTTGAAGAAAATAAAAGATTTAATTTATTTAATTAAATTATACAAATTTTAATCCTTGAAAATAATAAAGAAAATTGAATTTTTTTACACTTTGGATTTAGTGTTTCAAATTTCATTTTTTTTTTAAAGTGAATTTTTACTCCAATACACACAAGCAGTACAAAAAAAAATAGGAGTAGAATTTCATGAAAAACAAAAAATTTTTTTTTGAAAGGAAACAGCAGTTTAATCAACAAAAATTAAAAATATCCTTTTGGTATGATATTATAACAAGAGAACTCGCTAATTTTCCCAACTATATATACTATATATATATATAAGTAAAACACATCTTCCTCCTGGAATATCAAGTACAATTATAAAAATCATTAAATCAAAATACATTGAATATTTTTCACGTTGAAATTTACAAGATAAACTGTTTACTTAGTGATATGTAAAATAACTTAATTATAAACGCATTATTCTCTGATGAAGTACTGCAAAAAGTGGAAGTACGCAATGGAAAGTGAAACTGTTTCTAAAATAGTAAATGCAAATGTTATATATGAATCTTCAATTTCAAATGATTCAAATAAAATTTTTTGTTTTTAATTAAAAATCTATAGTATCAAATTCTTTGATTTTTATTTTCTCTTTCGACTGAGGATCTTGATCTTGAAAATTTATTTTGCTCTTTCCTTGCTTCACAATTTTCCAAGCAGCGAAAATTTATCATAAAAAAGCTATTGCATGAAAAAATATGAAAACAGCTATTTATACGTTTATAGACGCGTCTCTGTGGAAAAATATAATAAACAAGCAAATCTACATTAGCTTATTATAAGATAAAACTTAAGCCGCTGGAATCGTCAGTCTTGTTTTTATAATATATATTTAATAGAAAAGTTTTTAAAAATTGTGATTCAGATAAAAACTTTTTTCTTTCTTTTTTTTGTATTATATAATACAAATCTATATATGTATATTGTCCAAATTTGGTGTTTTTAAATAACTTAAAATAAAAAAAAAAGAAAATCAATATTATTTTTTTTCTAAAAAGTATATAAGAGTAAAATTTATCGTTTCCAAACAATTTTTCAATTGATTATTATACTGTAAATTAATATTATTATTGTAAAATGTCCATATGAAAAAATTACTTATTCCCAGATAAAAATAACAACTAAAAAATAATAAATCATGTAAAAAGGAAAATAATTGAAACAAAGCTTAAAAAACATTTAAAAAACTCGTTACTCGTTAAGTAACATCTTAAACTATTGATATTTTTTTCCAGTTTCATTGCTTTGTTTCGAAATATTATTCGATTTAAGGTAAACCCTTAAAGGTTAGTAAAAAATTAATGCGATCATTCTCGTATTTATAAAAAATGCTCCATCAACTATTGTGAACTAATGATGGATATATGAATGCACTGCGTGTAAAGGTGAATGTAATTTTTTTTTCTTTTTTTTTTTTAGTAATTTAGCGAGATCATAAGCGAAAATATTGCCTTTCGATTAATTAAGTAATATATAACACGTAACGAATAATATTGAAAGCTATATCAATATATATACATACAGGAGTACAAAAAATTTTTTCTATTCCATAATATAATTTAAACTTTAAAACAATACAAAATAAAATAGCTTCAAAAAGAAATATCACTCAAAATTTTTTTTTTTTAATTTGAGAAAAGTTGCTATAAAAATCTTTTCTCAACATTAAATATAATTTGTTGAAAATTATATTTATAATCAATGTATTCAATTATATAAATATATTTTTATAATTCATTGAAATTTAACTTTAAATAAATTTTTCTAAAAATTCAAATATAACAAAAAAAAAAGAACATTGATCATCACTGGAAATTTTTGCATTTTATGTAAAACTTGTAACTTTGTTCCCGAGTTTATAAACTTATAATTTATCTGATTTAAAAAAAAGAATACAAGTTTATAGAAAATTTTTTGTACACGTGTAAAAAACACTTCAACTGACATAGATTCACTGTAATTATAAAATGGACACTTGGCCTTTCTTTCTTTGTCTTCTTCTTTTTCTTCTTTTTAAAAAACTGCAACAACATTCTCAAATATTTATAGATATATGATTTTCAACAAATGCAGTTTCACTGTATAATCAAATGACGCGACAAATGTAGTGAAACATTCATCAGTTGAATCTGTGTATTCTTTAGGCAATAATTCTGAAAAAAATTTTAACAATGTGTGCGTGGTGTTTACTTCATGGTATTTCACTTTGAACACCGCTTCAAGCGGTCAATCATCCTTTGACTTTGGTGTTTCATCGTTCTTAATTTCTTGTTGCTCTTGTGGCTCCTGTTGACTTCCATCTTCCTCTTCGTCGGAATAATTTGTCGGAGTTTCACCATGCTTCAATAATTTTCCCACGTAATCGTATCTTTCTAAAAGAAAAATTTTTATTTTTCATATTTAATAAAATATTTTTTAAAATAGAAAAAATTAAATCAAAAAGTATCGTGAATTTTCATTTTTTATATTTAAAATTGCAATTCATTGCTTCTATATATTTCACTGGAAATTGAAAAGTATGACAATACTAAAACTGATTAGTTTGTTAGACCTTGATCATTGACCTGGCGTTTTATATAATTCACAATTTTACAGTTAATATAAAATCCAAGGTACGATTTTTTCGTTTGAAAAAAAATATTAAAAAATTAATATTTTTTACAAATAAAAATTCTTGAAATTGCAGTTACCTTTAAATTGTTCTTCCCATTCCCTGACTGAATTCATTTCCGCAGTGTTTAAGTCACTTAAATCATCATATTCATCCTTTCCTGCGGATACTGAGAAAGTGGCTAAACCTCGACTGGCGTCTCTACCTCCAAATGCTGCATAAGGTCCACCTATAAATTATAAATCTTTACAATACTGCTCTCATTTTAAAAAAAATTTTCTAATTATTCATAGTATACTAATTATAATTACGAAATGTAATTGATAATTTTAATCTAATAGAACATACTACATTAATTATTATTATCAATTACATTATCAACTTAAACATAAAAAACAACGGCTGCGATAAGTTTCTTTTTACAGAAAACAATTTTCGTAATGTCTTTCTAAAAAAAACACGTTACGAAAAGTAATCTACCGTTAAATTTATAATACAAACAACAAATCCATTTATCAGTGCGCGCACTTGAATTTATAACTTCTATTATTTATTCTTCGTTTTATAAACGGATGAGAAAATGATTGCTTCGTCATTAACACGATTCATTGTATTTTTAGAATAAAAAGCATTATATAAATGTAATTAAAAAAAAAAAAGAAGGATGAGTTTCCAGGGAGCTCCAATTTTGTGAAATAAAACCTGCATTCCATTTTAAAAAAATAAAATCTTTTAAAACATTGAATAATAATAAAATTCTCATTGGTAATAAATATTGCAAAAAAGAAAAATGAGGCGATCAATTAAAAATGCGGCGCAAATAATAATATGGGTGTGTAGGAAAAAAAGATATAGAAGATGACGATGCGAAATGTAAGGTTGGTCTCAATCAGAATATATACATACCAGGGCCGTAAAATCGTGATCCTCTTGTAACATCATAGACATTTCCATTGACGGCAACAAGGACACGACCATCAGGACCTGTTCCATCGTAGGGTTTTAATTCCTCAAGTGTAAAATCACGAGTTAATTTTGGTAATTCCTTCACTTCTTCAATCGGCTCATCTGATTTCGTTTTACTCTTAATTATTTTGTACACGAGAAAGGCAATTACTGCCACCAGGGCAAGATTCACGGGACTTCGTATTATTTCCGAAATGAAACTCGATAAAAATGGTTGCGTGGCCTCCTGGTTATCATTAATCGGCGGTGATGAACCCGGTGGAATACCTTTATCAGCCATTTTGTCCACAAATATTTCTTTTCTTTTTTTTCCTTACAAATTCCTGAAGCAAATTAATAGCGCATTCCAAACGTGAAAATATATTTTTTTTTGCACTTTATTAAAAAAAATAAATTCATACCTTTCTTTTTGATGATTAATTAAAAAAAAAAAAAAGCCAACAGACGTAAACGATCCAAACAGCCACACTCAAAAACCAAAAAGAGAACTAAAACACTAATTGCAAAATTGACGACACCGGCGCATATACATTTTAAGTCGACTGAATGGAGTGAAATGCTTTTGGGACGCAATTGTGTGAGTGCAAGCTATATCATGTGACGTGAACACTCTGACAGTTAGGTTAGCCATTAGGTTATTCTCACTGCGTATTCTTGCTCACTTCAGAAAAAATAAATAAAAATTAGAAACTAATAAATATTCCAGATAAGAGTTAAAAAAAATTTCACATGACCGCTTACAAGATAAAGAAGCCTGAAAGTAAAAGCTACTAAAACGATAGAATTAATATTAATGTAAAATATATAAATAATTAAAAAACAATTTATAATCAGTTTCTATATATATATATATAAACATTTACAGAATTGAAACGATTTTTAAGTATAAATAAACGTTCTTTTTTTAAAAAAAGAAAAAATTACAATTCTTACATAATCTGACATTTTTCATATTTTTTTTTGTACAAATTTTCCAAGACATGGAAAATGTTGAAGTAAAATTATATTTTTTTTTTCATAAAAAATATTCTCTTTTTTTAATAAACTTATTTTTAAAAAAACATTTTGAAGCCAGCTTCACTGTGAGCATTCAATACTCATATTCAATAATTTCGAATTTGATTTTATGCAGAAAAACTAGTTAATTTTTTTTTTTATAAATTAGAGATAATTAACTTTGTATAGTTGTGTTCTCGTCATCCAAAGTATCTTGATTAAAATTCCTGTAAGCTGAAACAATTTTAATTCTAAATAAAATAAAAAAATGATTTTTTAAAAAAAATCACTTTCCGAATGATATTTTCAACACGATGTGAAAAAGTCATAAATTATAATAGAAAATAAATAGAATACCAGAATATTGTTGAAATGGTTTGATGAAAATCAGTATCAATAGGGCAAAAAGCGCTGATCCTCCACAAACAAAAGTGAGAATATTACAGTAATAATCCGGACTTTGTCCCTTGTGCTTCCTGTGATATTTGATAAATTCAATTTTATAAGAGAAAAATACTTTTTTCTTTTTGTAATACTTACAAAAATTGTATAACAATAACGACTAAACCATTGCTCAATTTGTCTGTAAAGCTCATGAGACCGTAAATAAATGCACCACCTTCTGATTTATCACCAATATAATCTGCCGTTATGCCAAGACTTGTGACAAGCATAAAAGATCCCGCACTTCCTGAAATATTGAAAAATATATCGAAATTATTTTTATATATACTGAAAAATAATCAAAAATAACTCACCTAAAACAAGAGATACCGGATAAATTCCATATGAGACAAAGAAATGTCCATGTCCAAATTTAATTGCCGCGCAGGCAAATAGTGCAAGAATTACACCAATTGTAAAAGCAATTTTTCTACCAAATGTATTATTTAAATATTTGATAATTAATGACGCTTTAAAGCTACTCAGGTACATAATTAATGGAATAATAGCCAGAGAAGTAGCAGCCATGTGCAGTGTTTCATGTAAATATAATGGTACATAAATTTGTGTTAAATTTAAAAACAATCTTGTTGACATGTATAAACCAGCAACTTTATACATTTGTAAATCTTTGAATAATTCCGAAATAGGACGAGTTCTTTGTTGTGAGGCGCCTGAAAAATTTTAATTATAATTTCGTTCGTTGATAATTTTATTTTTTTTTTTTAAATTTATTACCTGTAACAGCGCCAGAAGTTTCTTCTTTAACCGAAATGTGAAATATCACAGATGCAATAAGACCAATTAACATTCCGATAAGTACAATTTTTTGAAAATTAGGCGCATCATTTGGTCCAATTTGATTTGTAGCTGAGTCTTCACTAGTTATGTGTAATACTGCCCAAAATATGCAGTAAACAAGAACATTTGCAAATACAGTGAAACTATATCTATATTAAAAAGAAAAAATTAGAAAAATTGAATCAAAATAAAATTAAATTTAGATCTTATACCTTATTGCTGTGAGTTCTGTTCTTTCATGTTCAGTTGGTGTCAAATCGGGAATTAAAGATAAATGAGAAATTTGTACGGAAGCCCATCCAAATTGAAAAATTACAACAAATGCCGCGTAATAAATCAATTGTGACCATTCATGTGCGTTTTCACATTCAATGCAAGGGGAAAATATAAATGGAAAAGCAAATATCACACAAATTGTCCCTGTAAAACGTTAAAATATAAAAAAAAGAACTTAAAATAGTAATTTACAAAATTTCAATAAAAATACCTAATAAATGCCATGTTTTTCTTTTTCCATAACGACATAACCAGAAATTAGCAGAATTATCAGAATGATAACCAACAAAAGGTGTTGCTAATGCATCAGCAACTTGTCCGATTAATAAAATAACTCCAGCCATAAGAGGACTGAATCCTAAGACTAAATGAAAAAATACTAACAGGTAGGTAAACCACATTGAGGCACAAATATCGTTGAGGACATGTCCAACACCATATCCTAATTTAACAGGTAGCGAAAGTCTTCTGATTACTTCCGTATAGTCTCCTGTCACAGTTTCTTGATCAGGTTCCATTATTTCTTTTTTTTTTATAATACTGACAAACGTTTGATATTCCAATTTCGTCTTTGTGCTGTAAAAGAAAAACAATTACTTAAATATTTAACAAAAAATTAAATTTCTTTGTACTACAAAAAAATAATAAATTTAACTTTAATTGTAAAATTAAATATTTAAAATTACAAATAAAATGTTATAAAGTCTAACCTCCTTTGTACAATGAGAAGATGAGAGCTCTTATTTCGCTTTCATCGATATGAATAAATTATTCTTACAAATTCTTTAAGATATTACTTCACAGTATTAATATAAAGTATTAATGTTGACACAATTGAAAAGAGGAAGTTTTGTTTCAAGAGATAATATTATCCTCCTCTTTCCATATCAGCACGCGGATATTAGTCACTAATGTTGGTCTGTTGAACCCCGATCATTGCAAATAAAAAAACCAATAATGAAACAATTTTTTTTTTTAAACACTTGGAATATAGAAATAACAGTTGGAATAGAAATCAACAAATGTCGCTGACATATACGATTTCTAAAAACGTAAACAAAAGTATTGACAGTAGGAAAACAAATGTCCTACTTTCTAAAAAAATATATTAAAACAATCGGTTTTTTATTTTAAGTATTGAACATACAATTAAACAACAAAAAGAAGACCATATGTTATATAGACAAAAGTAAAGTACTGTTGCGAAAAATTACTTTAATTGTTACATGAACGTATGATCAAAAATTGTCACAATATAAATATGGAAAATTAAAATTTGATTTTTTACATTTTTAAAGTAAAGAATTTTTTTAAATTCATTTTTTTTGCTATTTATTCATTTTTTCATAAAATCGCAAAGACAAAGGAAATAGAAATTTGAAAAATACAAACCAAAAGTAAGGTTATGTCTCCATTACTTCACTCTCCTTTTCTATCATAAAATTTTTCTAACCCTTATTTTTGTTTTATACACTTATCACTTAATTTTAATTATATAATACTTTCTAATTACCAAATGTAAAAAAAAATCACTGTTTTATATTTAATTTAACAGAGAGCACCTGTCATTGTTGAAAATAATTTTTGAAAACTTGCTGACATAAAAGTTCTCTACTTTATCGGAATGATAAACAATGACATCTATTGACAATTGCATTAATTTCTAGGTAATAATTAGCGGATGTCAGTTGAGTTACCGATCTTTGGTTCGAGTTGATTAGAGTGTTCAGTGTTTCTGAATCACACAATCATGGTTGACCGACTTGGTTAGTTGGGCAATTTTTTATTAATTTTTCCTTTTGTTCATAATTATTATGAATTTTTCTCAAAATTCAAAAGAGTCTGTGAAAGTACGTCAAAAAATGCAAACAATTATTTATTTCCGTGTGTTCCAAATTTGTTTTGTTTTCAATGGTTTGTCAAGTGCAATTGTTATGAGTGTGCCACTTGTCTAGTGTGTTTTTGACAAGCGCTAACCCATTTAAAATTATTAATGTTAAATGTTATAAATTGACGTATTAATGGACTCGGGAATCGAGAAAAATACAACAGTCATCAGGTCAAAGATTCTTATTTTAAAAATAATATTTCATCTGTTACAGTAAACAGTGAAGCAAATTCCAGGCGGATCACGATGGTGGAAAACTGCTTTGGCAGTTCGGGTCAAGTATGTTATAGGAATTTATTATTAATTGTTAAAATTTCAAGGCCAATAATTCAATTTTATAATGAAGGGTTTTCTCGACTTTTAAAAGTCAAGGGAAAAAGTAGACAATGCTCACTTTCTAATTCTCTTGACAATTTATAAGTTTGTATTTATATAAACTTTCATATAGTATATATGTTCTGTATTTTGAAATTATAATTTTCTGTTTGGTTATTTCTCTAAAAATATTGACAATAAATCTCATAGAAAACATTTCCTGTTTAATGATCTTTTAGGGAGAAAAAGTTTCTTCTTCTGTTTTTTTCAATGACGTTTCTTAGAATTCTAATGACAACTTTCATTTTTATAACTCCAGTCAGAATCTTAATTTTCTGATTTAATGAAAACTAGAAGAATTATGGAAATATTTTATACAATAAAGTTATTTTTGATTTCTTTAATCAGGGAATTTGGGTAAAAATTTATTTTTAGAATAAGTTCTATTTGTTACGTAAATCAGAATATCTTGATAAAGATTTGAAAACTGTATACATATAATCTCGTATATAAATTCAAAGTTCATTAATTTCTAATTATTTGGATAGTTTAAAAATTGTTTAACTAGTTAAAAAAATCATTCATTTAAAATTATTTATAAACCATAATAAAGATATTTAATATTTTTCACGCCCTTCAGTTGATGACTTGCAGATAAACGTCACAACAATACAAATTTTATCAAACTCTTCTTCCTCTTTGTACGATTATGACAAATTCACAATTATAGATATGAAGGCATTTAAAAAAAAAAAAAGTACTGTGTGTTTTTTTTCAGCCACTTGCCGTGTCTGGTAGAGTTTTGGTCGGAGAAGGAGTTCTAACAAAGATGTGCCGAAAAAAGCCAAAACCAAGACAATTTTTTCTATTCAACGATATTTTGGTCTATGGAAATATAGTAATTAATAAAAAGAAGGTAAATTTTTATCAATTATTTTTCTCTTTTAGTAAAATTTAATTGAAAGTCGTGAAATTAATTATATTTTTTTTATAGTACAATAAACAACGTATTATTCCTTTGGAAGAAGTGAAACTTGAATCGTTGGTTGATGATGGACGTAAGTTTCAATTTTTCATTTATATATATAATACATAATTTTCAATTTTTTTTTAAATCGAGATAATTATATTACAGAATATCGTAATGGATGGGTTATAAAAACTGTAACAAAATCATTTGCTGTTTATGCGGCAACTGCAACAGAAAAACAAGAATGGATGGCACACATAACAAAATGCATCGAAGATCTTCTCAGAAAAAGTAAGAATTAATTTATTGAAATTTAATTAAGAAACTTTAATAATAATAACACTGTAACATTAATTTATAGGTGGAAAGAAACCTGTTGAAAATCATGCTGCAGTTTGGGTTCCCGACAACGAAGCTACAATTTGCATGCATTGCAATAAATCACAATTTACTGTTTTAAATCGAAGGGTAATTATAAGAAATTTAAAAAAGAAATTAATTTATTAATTAAAAGTTAAGTTTAGAAAAATTTTATTTTTTAAGAAGTTATTTATTTATAGTTATTTCTATTTTTAGTTTTTTATTTTTATTTCAAAAATTACAAAAATAAATACTTGGAAATATTTTTTAGCATCACTGCAGACAATGTGGGGCTGTGGTTTGTGGTCCTTGCAGTAACAAAAGATTAATAATGCCAGGACAGGGAACTAGAAAGGCAGTTAGGGTGTGTCTACAATGTTACGATGCAGTGAGCAAAGTTTCAGCATCTGCACTCATGACAAACGACAGTTTCAGTAATAAAGATCAACAACGTAATTCCGCAGATAGTTCTGGCGGTGATAGTTCCGGAGATGATGATGATACCAATAAAGAAAAACACGATGAGGTAAAAACGCGAGATTTAATTAAAAAAAAAAAAAAAACATTTTCAATTTTACATTATATAATTTTTTTTCCAGCCTAAATTCTATTCCACGCTTGCCCGATGAATTTAAAATGTCGCAGTTCTATGAATTAAGAAAGGTATAAATATTTTTCTATATACAAAATGCAAAAAGGCCAATTATGAAGATCATCGATCTTTGGGGGACAAAAAAAAAGACTAATAATGTGAGAAACATCTTTGAAAGATATTTCTTTAAAATTAATTAATCGGTACATTTAAGTCACATTATTATTTTGTTATACGTTTTCCTTTTTATTTCTTTAAAGTATTTTTCTAAAAGAAACTTGGTCAATGTATTTTAGAAAATTTGCAGTTTAATAGACGCACAAATTAATTTTTAAAATAATATAAAAAGCGTATGTCAAATGACATTTTAAGAAAAAAAAAATATGGTTTGAGATTTTTATTAAAATATAATATATATTTTAGAATTTTCTGTATTAAAACACCGAAATTATGACTCCAGTCAATGTTAATTTTTTTTTTTTATGCTCAAAATATTGCATTTACATAAATATTAATAACAATGTGTTTATAAAAGACCGTTAATTTTAATGAATTATCGGACAAAATTTTATTTAAAACACGATCTGGAATCATAAAGAATCTCAAACGAATTTTTCCATCTTGGAAATAAGTAATATATGTAATAATAATTAAATTAAAAAAAAAAAATTAAAATTCCATCGTAAAATTGTAAAAAAAAAGAAAAATGTACACGTATGAAAAAGTTTCATAATTTTGTAGATCAGGAATGATTAATCCAATAATATTTTTAAATTATTCAATCACTAAAAGTGTTTTACTGTTTTTTTTATCATAGCATTATAAATTATTTTAATATACTTTTATTCGAATTTTTAAAATGTATTTTTATTGACATTATTTAAAAAAAATTTTTTTATGAAATGTGAGCGGATTTTACTTGCCAAAAAATAGATAATTTTTGTAAAATGTGATTGATCATTCCTGACATTAGATAATAATTATAATAATATAATAATATTAATATTAATAATAATAATAATTAAAGTTTTAAACAGCCAAACTGCTTAAAATAGTTTATTTTACAGAAAACTACCATTGGGTATAGGAAAAAAAAAATATTGCGCTCTTCGTCTAAGTTTTTAGGAACCGCCACTTTGTGCCTTTTTGATCAAATTATTTCATTAATCATTTTTGTATTTAAGGGAAAAAAATGTAATTTAAGACATTTCATATAATGAGTTCCAGGCGTCAAGATGCAGACGTTTAAATGAAAAACAAAAATTATCATTACTATATAAACATTTTGAGTGTAATGATATATTTTAACACAATCAGTATTTAACTGTTGCTATTTCTTGACTTTTTTGATACTTCTATATTATACAAATTCAATTTCAATGCTTTTTCTAAATCGATTTTCTGTATTTTTATATAAATATGTAAGCTTCGAACGCTTTTGTAAGTAAATTGAAAAATAACAAGTAGACTAATTCACATATTAAACAAAATAAAAAAAAAAAAATGAAGACGAAGAAATAGGATAATCATGCAGGATTGCATCTTGATTCCATTGAGTGTTTTCTAACGAAACTTGTATAAAATATCATTTTTTAAGTTAACTTAAAGTTAATGTTTTTAAATTCTGATTAAACTCTTTTTAAAAAAAGTGTCAAAAATTTTCCTTTTTTAAAAAAATAAAACATCCTTTACAAAATAAGAAAAATAAATTTTCCAAGTTTAATCAGACTTTGAATTTTTTTAAAAATAAATATAATATTAAATCGACTCACTACAGGCAAGAATATTTTTGTAAATCATTTTCTATCGACACAATCATGTCGATAAAAAAATGTTTTTGATAATTATTATATCTGAAATTATATGATTAATATTCTTGTCTTATGCCAATTACTTTTTTTTAAACTGTATCCATTAAAATTGAAAAATGTTACCAGCTGCAAATTGTCCAGCTGTTTCGTGCACTGTTAACATTAGATTGTTAATTGTACACGAATAAACATGTATCACTATGAAATAATAAATAATTTATCTCTGGTTTACAGATTTATTCTTGATACGTTGAATATATTTTTCCAAAATTCTAATTTATATATACATTTTATGAAAATATTACAAATATCAGTCTAGTTTGTTTAAAAAGCAAAAAATAAACACGCAACTTTTATTTGTTTGAAGAAAAGTTGCAATAGTTTTTTTTTTATTTACAAGACTTATGACTTAAAAGTCATTGTTAAAATTATTGAATTCTAATTAAATTATAACTGTAAATCATACCATTATGATTGAAATTTATTCTTTTTCAAGATTCCTCATTTGCGTCGAGGACAGAATTTAATTGAGCGTTTGTTTCTGATTTTTGCATCAATTTTCTATAACGTTCTACTAGATCATTGATAGAGCGTCTTCTTCCTTTTTGCGTGTCATTTCTCACTGGTGATGTAAGTGGACTACACGGTTTATGAGATGTTATATCTACTTCTGAATTTAATCTAATTGGACTACATGGTTTTTGTGCTGTTATTTCCAATTCTGATTTTACTATAATTTCAGGAATATCAAAAAATTTATTTGTCCTCTTAGGCGTACTTTTCTTTTCTATCATTGTAAGATCAATTGTCAATTCGGCGCTACTGACTTCGCCGATAATATTCATGGCAGTTGAATTAGCTTTTGAATTTGAGGGAATGGACAATAAACTACAATTAGCAGCTAGAAAAAAAGAAATTAAATTAATTTAAAAACTTACTAAAAAAAAATATTAACGTGAAATACAAACTTTTATTAGCCGATTGAGATGAACGACTGGAGAATAGACGGGAATATTTCCCCATAGGTTTAGCTGAGTTGGACCAAATTGTTTTAGGTGGAACAAAACGTCTACAAGGCGATCTGTCAATATCGGATGATATCGTATCGTCAAAATTGATTCTTGTTATTACTAAATTCTGTCTTAATTTTGACGCATTCATCATTGAATTGTCCTTATTTTTATTGTATCTTACAAATAATTGTTTATGAACTCCTGTAAAGATTTTATAAGTTTTTTTTCTTTTTCAATTTATCATAATAAATGAAAATAAAATAGAAAATTACCTTCGACGGGAGTGAGTTTTAATCTATTGTGCATTTCATTTCTTTCATTATTGGAATTAAATTGTATTGGCGGTGATGGCATGAACATGACATTTTTCAAATTAGAACACGCAATTAATGATTCATTGCCAATATCATGAATATCAGTTGAAACTTCTTGTTTTTGTTGCATGTGTGATGAAAAATCAACTACTTTTTCGTGTAATTCACAAAAATATTCTTTCATTATTTTTAAATCAGAACTACTGGCTTCTAATTGTGAGAAGCAATTGTAAAAATCAAGAAAACCATTATTTTTAATGTGTGTACCAAAATATTCAATAATTGCATTAAATAGAAGAAAATAATTATTTAAATTTAAATTGCCATTTGTATAAACGTTCTGTGAAAGAAACTGAAAAAAAAGAAATATTTTTCACAAGAATTAATAATATTTATAAACATAAATAAATAACTAATTTACTTACTTTAATTTTAGCCAATGGTAATTCTGAAATTGTATTAACATGAACTCTTGGAAGAAAATTTGTATTAAGAACTGTTGTGTCACTAATGATATTTGATGCCATGGTGAATACAATTTTACTGACTTCTTCTATTTTTTTTAGTATTTCTATTTTCTTTTTACAGTAGTCTAAATTTTGTTTTAAATCATTTTTCCACACTTAAAATAAAAAAAACATATTTCATTAACATTATTAAAAAGAATAGAAAAAGAATATTTTATTTTTGTTTGGCTCACTTTGAATAATTTCTTCATCATCAATATCTAATAATCTTTTTTGAAAAGACGGATGAACAGGAGCTTCAGTTGCTAATGATGACACAATTTCTAATTGCTCAAAAATATCTTTTTGTGTTTTTTTTATTTCTACGTTTAGTTGTCTGCAAAAAAGAAAAAAATAAATTATTAAATAACATTCCACTACAAGAAAAGTAAAACGTTATTAAAAATAAAAATTACTCTGTATATTCTCGGGCTTTTACTTCTTCTTTTAATAAATTCTCATGAATTTGCATATTACTGTCATTTATATCATATATAATATTGTTGATTAAATTTTCAGTTAATTCCTCCGCAGCTCCTTTTTTCGGAGTAAATAAAGTTTCATGATCGCCTGAAAATAATAAATTATAATAATTTTCTAATAAAAATATTTCATCAAATTAATTGAATAAAATTACTTTGTCTTTTAATATATTGTCTCAATGCCACTTGAGATAATTTCCACATGACTTTTATAAATTTTGTTCCTCCTGGACTAAGCAAAAGAGAAGGAACAATAGAAGGGAAGCCAATATCTGGATTATCATTTGCAATTAAAATTAAAAATTCCTTAACATCATTTCGATATTTTGCTTCGGATTTTTTACAAACAACAGGCCATTCTATCATCTTCTTTATATTTTCAGGATCATAAATTGACAAAAGGTAATGTGATACATTTATAAATCCTATTGTGTTTGGCTTCTCAAACATTCCCTGTAAATCAATTTAGATTATTACATAATTCTAATTTATAAAATTATAAATATTATTAAAAAAATAATTTTTAACAATTTTAATACAAAAAAAGGTTTCTTTTCATTAATTAAACACGAATCATTCATTTTAAATCGAATAGAAAATGTCAGTTTGACATATACGTTAAATCTAACCTCTAAAATATATTAAACAATTAAAAATACAGGAAATAAACGTTATTTACATATTACTAAATAAAATTAATTTAATTCACATAAATATATATAACAACTGATAAACTCAGAAGCAATAAATATTATTAAACAATTCCTGTAAATTAATACTAACTTCTCGATAATGCTTTTTGAAGTCATAACTTGGTGGAACGGCTTGGATAAGCAGTGATACATTTTTATGAAAAGATGTACTTATTGACATGATTGCGCTTCATTAAATGTTCAGTCAAAACTAATAACTCATTAATTAATTAAATAAAAAAATAATTATTATTTTATAGGTTACTTTGTATACACTATTAGTTTTAAAAACTGCCGCCAGAGATCGCATGGATCGGTACTAACGCGCATGCGTTAAGGACAGCCAATAGAAATCGTTCTCATCTCTACAGGTCTGAACTCACAATACAAGGAATACAGCGGAATGGGAATTTTTGCAGTAATGAACAGTATCAATTAATCTCATTAAATCTTTTTAATCCAAGAAATAATTGACAAATTATAACCAAATTGTGAAACTATTCAAGTTTCTCTAGCTGTATATGGTAAAGGTAAGAATTGCATGGTTTTTCTTAATCATTATTTTATGCATTTTATAAAATATTTGGGCCTAACCTTAAAATTTAAAATCAATGATTTTGTACAACGGAAATGAAATTCGTATTTTGTGACGTCGTTTCCTGGTGAGTATGAAAATTAATAAACGTATGTAAAAAGAGTAAAATTTTAATTATAATAATTTCGATCATAAAATAGTTTAAACATGATTTTGTAAATTTGTTATTTAAAAAAAGATTTTGTAATATAAAATACAAGTAAATCGGCATTTTCAATGGATATTATGTTAAGCCAATCAGAGCGTTGGAATAATTTTCCATCCGTTCCCGTTGTTTATGTTGAAATATATTTCTGAATTTGTCGTGTCCGTTAAAATTGATGGTGAGTTTTCTAACAAAACTGATTAATTTGCTTTAATTAATAGAAAATTTTGTGTTTGACTTGTTTCTTAAGCCGCGGGTGATTATTTTTTTATGAAAATATTGATATAAAACAATTAGTTTTGGCCAAAATGTGAAATTGATGGTTAGCACCCTATTGACTATATATACGCATATATATAAATTTTGTTTTTTTTTATTAAACAGAATTTTAACAATGAATAATTATTTAAATTAGTTTCGAATTCTTATTATTTGACCCTATTTATTCTTTTCGATTACGTCTCTTTTCAAGAGTAATAAATTTTAGGTTATGTTTTTTCGGAAAGTTGTTCGATTTTTTTTGTCGTGATAAAAAATGTTTATAACGTATGATATATTTTCAAAATGGCGTCAAATAATTATTATATCATTAATATATAATAATTTATAATTTTTTTTTAGGTTACAGGTATCTATCCATTGATGACCACTAAAGAATGAAATATATACAAATAATAGTAAGCCATCTACTACTCGGTCTGTTTGAAAGGTTATTTTTCGAATTCCAAATCTGGTTTTAAAATTTAGTTTTGATTCACAAGGAAGGAAATTCGGCTAATAATCTAGAAGAGGGCTCTCCGGGGAATATTTGTCTTACTTAGGATTACCTCGACGAAAGGGATTTTGCGTTTATGGTAAGTTTTCAAAATTAAAAGAAAATATTTTTAAATAGACAAAAATTAAATAATTATCGTTGTTATAACTCTTTTTCTTTGCATTAAATATTATTTATTATATTTATTAGTAATATTTATTATTTTTAATTATTTTTGTGATTTATTTCTCTGTTTTCGAGAGAAACAATATTTTAGGTTATTTTTCAAAATCAAAATTGTTATCTCTACAAATGAAAATGATAATTATTTTCACGTTGATACATTAAATTATTTTTCAGCTTCCCTTTAATGATGGTCATTGATAAATGAATTGATCCTAGTAAACAAAAAAGGGTTCACTCTTGTGGAGAGATTCCGATATTTTGGTAAATTTTATAATATTTACAAATTAAATGATCAATTATGTTGAATTAATGAACTTATTAAAAAACGAAATTTCTCATTTATTTTCCGCTTTTAAATATTTAAAAATCTTATAAATATCAAAATATAAGTAATATAGAACAATAAAGATATTTATTAAAGAATAATAAAAAATATTAATTCACTAAAATTTAATAAATAAATTATAATTTATAATGAGAATTATAATTGTTTTTAAATTAATTAATTTTTTGTCTTTTTTCAAGAATCATTCCGTAAAAAAAGTGAAAATTATTAAACAAAGAAGATAACAAAAATTAAAGTTTCATTAAATATGAAAATGACTGGAAAAGAAAAATGGACCCAGCATCACTTACATCAAATCTTCGATCGGTGAGTCTTTGTTCTTTTATGTTTTTCTATAGTAGTATATTTGCTTATTCTAAAACTCAATTACAATAATTGACTTTTAGTATTAGAGAGGCTTTTTGTAACACTTTTTAAAATGAATTCTAATCGTTATAATGATTTTAATAATTCCTTGTTATAAATAAATCATTATTTTATAACAAAATTTGTTTATTCAACATAAATATGGTTTACATGTTTTATTTTTTACATTTTTATAGTAAAACTTTTATTATATTGATCACTGATAAAAAAATCTTTTTTTTAAAATAAGTGTTGCAAATTGTTTAACAATTATTCATAGAATATTGCCTGATTATAATATATATATATAAAAAAATTCATAACATTAGTTTCAGTCGTGTCAATTGACAGTTTTTTTCATATAGGCGTCAACAATTTTTTTTTCTTTTTTTTTATTAAAAAAATACATCCCATTTACTACTTCTTAATTAATATTTTTTTACACTATATGCATAATATTTTTGAAAAAGCATTTTTTTTTAATAATAATGCCTCTATTTTTTTTTAATATCTTATATAAGCCTAAAAACTAAATCACACATAATTACTTGTTTTTTATTTAAAAAAAAAACATTAAAATATAGATACTTAAAAATTATTATTAAAAACACAAAATTATTTTTTTTATCTACATATTTTAGTCTACATTCAGTTTTAAGTAAAAAAAAATTCGATTTCACGCAAGGATATATTTTAGACTGGTTTTTGTTTTATTAATTTCATTATGATGAATTTCTTGTTACTGCAAGAAAAAAATTATTTTGGGAAATTGTTCCAATGTATTTGGTTGGGCAAGATAACATTTTTTTCAATTTCTTTTTGTAATTTCTTTTTTCTCTTAATACTGGCGATCAGATTCTAAAATACTGATTTGTCATTCATTGTTTTTCGTCCATCGGAAGTTAATTTATTCGCTAATTTGAGAGCTCTATATTGTTTATGAAGACGTTGTTTGCAAAATTGATAAAATTCGATTTCTCTTGTAAAATTTCTTCTCACTAATTCCTTGACTTCTTCGCTCACTGGTGGTTTGAATGAATTTCTGTTGATTCTTGTAAAGGAATTTATTTGTTCTGAAATCAATTTTTCTGTTAGAGTATCAAAAAATGTTCTTTTAAATTGTTAATGGTATAGAATATTGAAAATTAATTTTAAAAAAATTTTATTTTTATTATTTAATTTTTCTATATTATTTACCCCTATAAACTTCGGTAGCTCCTTCGAAGAATAAAGGTATATAATTTTCTAAAACTGCCAACGTGGTATTTAAATCCTCCAAAACTCCAACTACAGCGTATTGTTTTTCTAGAGAGGTTTTTGCTCTTTCAAGAGCTCCCACAGTGTTAAACGGCCTTTGAAAATAAACAATAATTAATAATTTTTTACACGTTCAAAATTGATTAAAAAATTTACAATTTTATTTCAATTACATAAACTTTATTTGAATCAAATGTTTTGTATTTAAATTAAATATCGTTTTTATTTAATTCAAAAAAATATTTATTTGTCATGGGTATATAATTTTCAAAAGGAGAAAACGTATGTTATGAATAATTACTATGAATTTCTTTTTCTTTGTGTACGTTTAACAATTATTGAAAAGCATCAATGAACCTAATAATCATTGTCAATATTTGTATAGAAAGGAAAGTAATTTTTATACAATTTCTCTATACGGCTGTACATTTCGGTTTATTGTTTTTTTTTTAAAGTGAAATTTACTTGAAAAGAAAAATATTTTATTATTTATAAATATTTTTTATTGAAATAAAATATTATTATGACGAATATAAAAATAAACTCACATGCACTTATCGCTGTGACCACAAAAGAAAAGTGATTGCCTTCGATGATCGCCGATTCCTTCGTGAATCTCGCCTTCGAGATATTTACACTCGCGATCATCATTTAATACACAGGATTCAAAATCCTTTTTTAGCCAAGCCGGATCGGGTAGAGGAATATCCGGAAAGAATTGCTTTCTCTCGACGTAGTACCATGGTGCTCTCACGTAATAGTACCATGATATCACTCGTTCTACCGGATCTCGTACCATATTCACATAAATCGGTTCAGGCAGGTTAAATCTAAAAAAAAAATAAAAATACAATAGATTTGGCACTTTAGAAAAAAATTCTCATTTTTACTATTATATAGAAATTTGGAAAAAAAATTTTAAATGTATAAAAAAATAATTATTAAATTAATTATAAATTAAGTAACTTACTCTGTAAAATTAGTAAAACACACATGTTTTACATATACGGATGGTTCCAAAAAATTGCTGATCATTCTTGCAAGTTGCAACTGTAAAAAAACATTTTATTTTTTATTAATTGTTTTATAATAATTATTTTTATGTGGAATATATTTTTAATTAATAAAATAAAAATTTTAGGACATTTTTTTTGCACAAACAGTTAATTTTTTTTTATTATTAGTAAATTTTTATTTTAATTTTTAGCGAATTGTTAACTTGATAAGGGTTGTGTCGTTATTTGTTAATAATAAAAAAAAAATTAACTGTTTGTGGAAAAAAATTATTCTAAAATCTTTATTTTATTTATTAATTATTGTGTTTAAATTATTTAATTCTTTATATAATAGGAAATAATTTTATTCAATTATTTTTTTAAAAAAAGTTAAATATTAATTGGAATTTGTAAAATTTATTTCGTAATTTCAAATTAAATGGCATGAGTTTGATTTACGAGAAGGAATATATCATATCGAATGTAAAACTGTAATTTTCTAAAGTGTCAAATCATTAATGTCATTCAACGATTTTACATCCTTTTATAATAATTTTGTCATATATACCGTTTTTTCCTTTTTTAACTCTTAATTTTTTTTCTGTTAAATATCACTTAAATTTCTATAAAACAATTAAAATTTTACTTCGCTTTTTTATTATTAATAAATAATAATTATCAATAAATAATAATTAGAAATAGATAAAAATTAGTAATAAATAATAATTTATTACTCTTTCTAAATTTTTTTTATCGTGTTACTTTAAAAGCAATAAACAATTGTTAATTGTCTGTAAAATTACAGTTTTATCTTTTAAATTCTACTTTTTCTTGATTGAAAAACAGTAAAAATTTTAAATAAAAATTTGCATTTTAAATTGTTATTAAAATCGCTTTGGGAATTTTTTATTAAACTTAACGGTTGACTTACTTTAAAATTTTTTTGCGTGACTTCCGGATTACAAATGTGTTATTTTAAAAATTACGAAAGAATAGAAAAAAAAGGTATACGTTTATTGAAAATTACCTGCTCGATTGGAGCAAGACGTATCGTTTCGACCCTTTGAATTCTGTCTTTATTGAACGAAAATCCATTTCTCAAGGATAATCTTCTCATAAGTTCCATAAATGTTTGAGATCCTACTTTTGGCACACGATTAAAAAACAATACATTCTTTTTTGCTCTTTTTGTATTGTTTAGTGCGGTAATATCCAAATATTCATTTCTTCTTATCTGTAAAAATAAAAAAATATTTATAAAATTTCATCATAGATTATTGAATGAATTTCTTATTTCGAAACATATAGTGACAATTATCTAAGTTTTACAATGTATTGAATTTAAAATATTCCTTTTGTTTGAGGATTTTTAAAAATTTGCAAATTGTATGTATTTTTTTTTATCTGCTCTTAATCTTTAAAAAATATTGATACAATCTCTTTGTCTTGGTAAAAGTGTAATCTTTTTAAAATTTTGAACCATGACATGATTAACGTAAATATGAAAATACAACGGTTTTTTTTTTTTTTTTTTTTTTTTTTTTTTTTTGAAGAGTTGTAAAAGAGTGGTTTGACCACTTTAAACGTGACACAGTGCACCATGTAAGGATGCATGATAAGAATCTTCAAGTGACATGTTCACCTAGAGTTCATGGACGCGAAACGTTATTAGAATTTTAATTTTAAATAATTTACTAAATAAATTAAATTTAAATTTCTCTCGATCTAACTTGGCAATAGAATTCCATATAAATTTCTTAATGTATGATTAAACAAACAAATTTTTAAGAGATATTTTTTTTTATTTGATTTATTACAGATTTATATTTTATTCCATTTGTACAAATATTTAATACAGTCGTGTTTGTAATATTTTTTTTCGAATAACAAATATTCAATAAGCGCAGATAAAAAAAAGTGGATTACAATTTTAATAAATTAAAAAAAAATGTTATAATAAATTTAAATAAATTGTTATAATAACTTTTTTTTTAATTTTGACAGAATGTGTTATTACCATGAAGATAATGAAGTCGTAAATTTTTAAAATTAGAAAATGTATTATTTGTTACATTTGTGATATTATTACATTGTAGATATAAATTTTTTAATTTTGAAAATGCTTGTAAATCATTTTGATTCAATGTTTTAATATTATTGTCCATTAATTTTAAATTTTCTAAATTAGATACATTTTTCACTTTTGGAAATGCTTCTAATTTATTATTATTGAGATTAATAGTTTTTAGATATTGATTATTTTCAATAATTTCTCCATCAAATTGTGTGATTTCATTGTTTGCCAAATTTAAATATTCAAGTTGTGTTAGTAAACGAAATGAAGAATAGAATATTGTTTTTAAATTATTTCCTTGAAGATGAAGATTCTTTAAATTTATGATATTATTGAAACAATTGAAATTTAAATTCTTTATTTTATTGAATGAAAGACTCAATGTTTTTAAATTGAATAAATTTGGAAAATTCTCCATTTTCACAGTTTCAATTTTATTATAATTAATTGAGAGAAATTTTAAATTTTCTCCATTTTTCATTGTTGGAATTTCAGTTAAATTATTGTTGTCTAAATTGAGAACTTTAAGAGTTTCGCCGTTAGTGAGTTGAAATTTATCTATACTGTTGTTTCCTAATAATAATACTTCAAGTTTTGGTGAAGAAATATTTGCAATAAATTCATTATTGTTTTCATCTTTTTTGTAGGCATTTTCCAGTATGAGGATTTTCAATTGTTTTAATTGTGATGCAAAATTTATATTTCTTTCTATTAACTCGTTATTTTGAAGATTTAACAATGTTAGATTAGGAATATTATCAAAGGCAGAATTTACAATGCTTTTAATTTGCTTATTTTTTATGGTTAAACATTTTATTTCTGAAATATTTGTCACATTTGTTTCAATTGGTTTTAGAATATTTTTCGGAAATTCATCAGTTTCGAAAATAGTTAACGCTGTTGGACAAAATTCGAAATACAAACTTTTTATTAATAGATTTCTTTCATTGATCATAATACTATTAATTTCTGGTAGTAAAATGAAAAAATTTACAAAAAATCCAAAATATAAGTAGTTCATTTTTGTTTTGGCAATCCTGGAAAAAATTAATGATATTTTATATTTATAAATATATATTTTATTAATAATAATAAATAAATAATAAATAAATAGATAAATATTTATAGTGGATAATTATTATTAATATTATTAATTTTTTCTTTTCTAATACCAAAATTAATGAAAGAAAATTTTATTATTTAATTACTTTTATTTATTTACTATAAATTAATAAAAATATAAATTGTGTAGTAAAAATGTAATATAAATCAAAAAGAAAGTTTTATTTTAAGATATACGTTTTAAATTAAGAGTTCTTTTTATAACAATCAGTATAGTATAACTTGCCTCAAAATTTTGCGATAAATTTTTTTTTTATTTACAAAAAAGAAAATAAACTTGTAGAATTAAAAGTTAATGAAAATAAGTTGTTTCTACCCTTTGTCCTGAAGACATACTAATAAATTTCGATTAAGTTCTGGTTTATATTTACTTTCATAAAATATGTAAAAAATTCCTTCGGAGAATGATGACAATGTATGTTTATCTTTTGTTACTGTAGTAAAATTGTGAAATTGTATTTAAATCTTTTTATTGTGTATATTTATATGTACACAGTATTATCATTAATTTTTACATTTTTTTTATTGCCATAGATAGCTTATCTAGTACATTAATTTTTATTCGTGAATTAAGTTTCTTTATTTTTCAATTTTTTTTGTGTTTAGAAAATTGAATTAAAAATATTTTAAGAAATATCGTGCATTGAAAAAAATTATTTGATTCAAATATTCAGTTTGATATCAAATGAATATTTACTTGAACCAAATAATTTTTGAGTCAATTAAATTGTATTTGTTTCGAATAGAGAAATTGTTGGTCCAAAATTTATTTAATTCGAATAAAAATTATTTGGTTGAAATAAATATTTGGGTATCCAAGTATATTTATTTAATGATCAAGTAATCGATTATTTGAATGAAATAAATTATTTTTTCAGTGTGAACATTTTTTTTTGTTCTTCATTCTCTTTGTATCATAATAATCTTCAGTATGTGTTTTGTATCATTCCTTTAGAAGTAATAACTCTTTGCAATAGATATGTATATAAAGTCTTGGGCACGATTCTTCTCAAATAGAATATAAAATCTAAATAATGTTTTCAATTTTGCAAATTACGTTGAGGAAGTAACGATAATGGTTTTAAAATGTGATTACACTACGCGGTAATAGGTTTTATTTTCCTCTGCGTCAGATGCGTGTTGAAGAGATGCGCCTAAACTTGCATATATAAACATTCCTTGCTCACTTATTGAGAATTGTTCTTTTAATCTGAAGTTTCACTTTATGTTGACGATTTTGTCTTTATTCAAAAAAAAAATTTTTTCTTTTAGAATTTTTTTTCTCTAATAAAATTTTTTTTAAAGGAAAAAAAAAATAGTAAATAAAAATAAAAAAGAGATCGCGAAGGAGGGAATTCAGATAACCGTGTTTGAGCACGAAGCGACTAGTTCTCATGGAGAAAAGATGGAGGGTGATTCTGACATTGTTGGCCGGCGCTTGTTACCGTGGAAGATGAACTTCCTGAAGAGCTTGAGGCACCTGCCTTCTGAGATCGGTCAACGTACTCTTCGACATTCGTCGATGCGTGCGTGCCAGAGACCAATATTCTCTCTCTATATCGTATATATATATATATATATATAAGCTGAGGAGTCGTGATTTACGTCCTTCTTCAACATTCTTCATTATTTGTTTCAAAGAAAACATTTGCTCAGTAAAGTGATACTTGTATCCTTTATGGGAGTTTGATGCATTAGTTTGCCTTTAAGTTTCGCGCAGAATATAAAAGCGCGCGCGCAGCAGTAAAGATTATCTCAAACGTCAGTCTCTTCAATATGGCCAATTACTTAGAATTGTTCTAAGGCAAATAAATAAAGACATTGTTTCCAATTGAACATCTTAGGGCGGCGTTCAACAACAGAGGGTGTAAATCCCATGAAATTCTTGAAACATTCTTTTAATATTCTTTTAGAAATATATAATTGAGTGCTGGAAATTTATTTTCACATTGTAACGCGCGCAATGATGGTTCAATTATTTATAATATTATGTTTTTTTTTTTTCATTTATGAATGGCTCTTTCAAAAGTGTTAGAATAATGGTTTCATTGAGTACTTGTTTTTATAGTTACGCGTGTGTTTCTATTATATTCTTTGAAATTTTTATTTCGTCAAAATGATCCATAAAATGAAGAAAATTTTCTTGTGTTATAGAAATATCACTTTCTTTGTTCTTTGCTTCAATTTTTCTTTCGTTTTGAAATTTTTATCTAAACTTAAGAGAAATAATTTTTTTTCTATTTTTTTTTATTAGTGGGTTTATGATATATTTTTTTATTTATCATGAAATTATTTTTATTTTTATAATTAGAAAAAATTTATTTTTTCAAAGATTCAAAGTTGTTTAAGTTTGCTACGGGTCAGAAAATAAAAAGTACTGGAAAAATATTAAAAATTTCTAAAAATGCTACACTGGAAAAAAATAGTATTGAATCAAGAAAACCTATATTTACTTGTCCGTATTTGATTCAAAATTTTTTTGATACAAGAAAAGTTTAAGTAAATTTTCTTGAATTAAGAAAATTAATTGTATCAAATATGAGTAAATAATTTTCGATACTTTTTTTTTCAATGTACATGATAATTTTTAAAATTTCTTTTGCCTCAAAAAATTGTCTTAATTTTTTAAAATTGAAAACCTAAATATTTTCATTAAGGTCAGGGAAAAAAATTAAATTGTAACTTGAAATCATAAAATTTTGTGGCAACCCTATTTAGACAATGAATAAATAAAAAAAAATCATTCCCACAGATAAAGAAATTCCTTTAGTGAAATTTGAGAGAATTTTTTTTCAAGTGTCAATTATATGCAAACAGAGAAAATAAATTATTGTAGAAAATTGTGGTATTGCCATGACCCTTTGTGCAAAAGTTCAGGTTGAAATCTCGCCTACGCTTGGCAAAATGTACAAAATTATCTTCATCTTAATTCGAGAGGGACGTGGCTTGTTGAATTCAAAGAGTCTTCACGAGATACAGATATCAGGTGAAATTATGTACAAGTTCAATTCGCGATTGACTAGTATTATTTGCATAGGAAAAATATTTATATATATATATACATTCAAGAGTATTCTATTTCAAATACATACATGTAATAGGATTCTTTAATTTTTATCGAGAGTGCATTTTGACGTTTCATAAATGTGCAACACACATCATTTTTCTTGAAGCAGTTCATATTTACATACAATTGATGGAATTTTTTATTTTTAATATACAAATTTTATTGGTATATCTCAATTCAATGGAGTTTTTAATAAAAACTATTTTTTATTTTTTATAAAAACTTTCAACTTTATTGAAATTAATATATTAATTTAAAAAAATATAAAGATTGAAAAAAATAATTAAGAAAAAATATTCTCTTCCTTTAAAATAGAAATTTATTTATAAATTCGAGCATTAGAATTTACCACATACATAGAAAAAAGTTGCATAAACTATAAACCCATTTACATAAATAAATATGTATAAAATAAATTTGCAATGTTATATTACTCTCATTATAGATTTGAATAAATTCGAATTATCTTCTAAATTAGTTAAATGGGACTATATATTTTTATACACTATACTAGAGACTTTTAGAAATGCGAAATGGGTCGATTTGTAAATTTTTATTCGTCAACTTTTATCACACATGAATTATTCTTATCTTATTTGAATAAACTGTTTTTCTCACATTCCATTCGATCATTTAAATGTTTAACACCAGTGAATATAACTGGATTGTTACATTAAATGTAACATTAAACTCATGGTAAAATCTTGTTTAGTTTTAAATTTACCCCCCGCAGTAGGGATAATAATCTTGAAGAATATTTATTTATGTTAAATATCCATTCAAGTTAACGGATAGAATCACTTCTTTCTATTTTTAGGTTATAATAAAGTTGTGATTTACAGAAAAGGTGTTAAAAGGTCAATTATGGAAATTTATTGACTTTAAAATAATGAATTCCAATATACTCAATCCTGATTAAAGGATTGGAAACTTCTTCATTTAAATTGTAAACATTGCGTTTAAGGAAGACACAATTAATTTATCTCTCGTTATATAAATCGTAAGAGTATAAAAAAAATTACATAAGAGAGTTTTCTTTGAAACGTATATTAACATTTGTTCTATTTATTATGTGATTTAAAGATTGAAAGTATTTCGAAAGTTTCATGTGCAAAAAAAATAGATTTTAATTGCGCTTTCTTTTGAGGTTTTTTTTTCATTTGGGATTTACTGTAAAATAGAATGTTTCTATGATAATAATAATTTATATTTTATTGACACTCAGTTTTTATTGAAAATTAATTAATTTAAATACGAGATAAAAATAATAAACAAAAATAAGGAAATGATTCAATATTTCTTTTTATTGGCTAATTTTGCTATTGAAATTTTATTTACTAATATTTTAATAAGAGTAAAAGTGATTTTGATTTGCACTAATTTTAATTTCCTCTACTAAATTTGCTATTGTATAAAAATTCAAGGTTGTTTTCCTTTACGATGTGAATATTTATTCGTGTTATCATTCAATTTCTGAAGTGCTTATAAGAAACTGAAATTACTTAATTAGGATGTGATTAATGTAGTTCATGGGAAGGGAGTCCTACATACATATCGTTATCTTTATTTCCTGTAAAGGAGTAGTTTCCCATCTTTGTGAGAAAATTGTTTTATTTCTTATGTTCATCATCATGTAAAGAATATAACTTGCAATGTCTCTGCAAGTGATGAATTTCAGTTAAGTCTTTAAAAGTAGGAAACACACTCAAGGGGGATCCAAGCTTGAAGGACCTTGTAGCGAGTTAAACCGTTAAGTACTCACGCATTCGGTGTTATGCTCATCAAGAACACGGAATTATTTATGCGACGATTACATAATTAATATAAAGAATTACCTTTACACAAAAGTTGCGATTTCATCTTCTTTTCATTCTTTCTTTTACTTTTCGTTCATTAGAAGAGGTTCTTAAAAGCGTATATGGTGTCACGCTATATGCAAATTAGAATCTGTTTATTTGTTATATAGTTTAGATTAGGAGGTACGAAATAAAATTTTAACCCTAACAGGATTCGAACACATGACCCATTTGAATCAATCACAAACGCCTTAACGATTGTCGCTAACGCGGACTATAAAAAAAATTTTTTTCTTCAGTTCCGAATAGTAAAATTATTTTTATTTAAACAATCGAAATAAAATATTTAAGGCTAATCTTATTTCAATTTTAGTTTCAAAATAAGAATTTCTTTTAATTTTAATGAAATTTTTAATCTGTTTTATCTGAAGTATATATTTAGAAAAATATTTTTAAAAATTTTGGTAACTAATCCGATGCTTAGCTTACTGTATATGACAGTTTGAGTGAAAGGGTTAAAACTCGGAATTCTTATCTCCGCGAAGAGATCAATTCGCATGATGCAAAAGTAGGATAATCGCAGGATCAGGTACATGAGAAAAGTGCTCGACAAACTGGATTTAATAGTGGGATGAGGAAGAGGAATCCGCGTAAATAATTTTTTTTTTTAATATTGTAAATTTTCAATATTAGATATTTAAATTGCTTTGATATAATTATATTTTTCTGGTTTGTGAATTGAGTTGTTATATGAGATTGCAGAATTATTGCCCGAATATGGTGAAACAATTTCTATAAACATGATTTGTGATAAAAGAGTAGTTTAGATGTTATTTTGAGTTTTATTTTTCTCACCACTTCTGTGCTGGTTTGTTGTACGTTCGTGTAATGAACGATTCCACTTGGTCCAGAACCAACTTGAACTCCTTCTGTAAAATAAAAAATATGAAAATTGCATTATTATTGTATATATATTATAAATTAGTTTTAATACAAAATATAAAATTATTCTACAAGTTATATTTTCAAGATTTTTGTGTTATTCGATTACTTTAGGTTTAGTCTTGATGCCACACTTATTTTTGTCAAATTTGGAAATGGAATTTTTTATAGCTTTCTATATTAACGACCGGTTAAAGATTTAACTACATGTGACGCGCTCCGAGGAAAGGTACCTAAGAAGCAAATCATTTTAAGGTTATGTTTGTCGTAATTTTTCCTTAATTAAAAGTTTATTTTTTTTTATTATGTAAAGTAAAATCAGTTTTTATTGAATATTTTCAATGTTATGAAGATTTAAACACCAATAATTTATATTGAGAGTTGATTCCCTTTGTGTATTTTTACTTTAAAAATCACAAACATAACCTACAATTTTTTGCTTCTTAGGTACCTTTCCTCGGAGCGCGTCACACATTCTAATTTTTCTTTTTGCAGATTCTATCCTCGATGGCTTATGGTGTCAAGTGCTTCAAAGATAAGGGCAAAAAAGGGTATCTTATCTCGAAGGACCCAGAATTTTCCATATTCTCCAGTTGCAGACTTTTTAGAACTCGGTCTATTTTTACGGTTATTTTTCACATTTTCTGAATGGAAATTTAACTTGAAAGTAGGGATCTCCGAGGGCTATTTAGTTTGAAAGAATCTCTTTGAAGCTGAAAATTCTTTATTGAGGTAAATATTTTAATTTATTGGAAAAATTTTATTACAAAAAATTTAGTTGTATTTTTGACGTGATTACTTTAGGTTTAATCTCGATGCCACACTTATTTTTGTCAAATTTGGAAATGAAATTTCGTATAGCTTTCTACATTACCGACCGGTTAAAAATTTAACATGTTAGTACAGCGCTGACTGCTGACAGTGTCGTTATGCGAAGAAAAAAATGTGTAGCGATCGTGTAGTGTAGAGTGTAGGCCTGTGTACGTAGTACAATTTTGAACATGTTTAAATTTAATTGTTTGGAAATTATTGTTAGTTCATTCTAATTTTATGCACTGAAAAAAAATTTACTTGATTCAAATAATCGGTTACTTGATTATTATCAAATAAATATTTATTTCTATCAAATAATTATTATTTGAGTCACTTAAATAATGTTTGTTACAAATATAAAAAATATTAATTCAAATACAATTTATTTAATTCAAATAAAAATTATTTGGTTCAAATAAATATTTACTTGATAATAGTCAAGTAATCAAGTATTTGAATAAAATAAATTTCTTTTTAGTGTGTGTCCGTGTAATGAATAGGGACCTCGCTTTAATTTTGATAAATTAATTAGTTTTAATTAATTTATCTAAAAATTGAAAGTGAAAATAATTTTCATTAGATTAAACAATTTTGAATTGATTTTAATTAATTAAAATTTCAAATGTTATTCTATATACACGCGAAGCAGTTATTATAGAAAATTTCGATTTAGTTGATCATTAAATTTGAATAAATGACATTTTCCCTGATCCGTGTTTTTCGAGATGAGAATAGAGAAATGTAGAATCAACATTTTCGATTTGGACAATATAAACGGTTTTGTTAATTAGAACTGAGACGTATAATTGGTTTTCTGGATTTGATGAGTTTTCTCCTAACTCCATTTCATTTAGACAAGTGATAAATTCAATCCTTTGTTCTCTTCTTGACATTTTTATAGTGTCCTATATTTATATGTATGAATGTTGACTAGCTGGCAGTCACAAATTTTGCGGTGACGTTTCTCCATAGTAAATATCTTATGGTATTTTTCTGCGGTCAAAATAACAGCGTGTTTTCAATAAAAAGTACAACATATTATGCACGATATACTAAATAATATTCATATGTCGACTATATTTATATCTCTCTGAAATGTGGTATATTTTATTTTTAATTTAACGCTTAAAAAAAAATCTTTTGCTATAAACTGGCAATTAAATATAACGAATAAAAAAAAATGTAAAATCTTTTTACGAAATAAATTCAACATGATGTCTGGGATAATAAAAGTTTTGAGTTGGCAAAAAAAAACACATATAATTTTATTCCGAAAGATATAAATTTTGAAAAACTTTCACAAAAAAAAAATAATGAAAAAATATTGTTCGAAATATAATTATTTTGTAACAATTGCTTTCTTGTTATTTGTTTAAAATTATTATTAATTATTATTATTAATAATATTAAATCATAAATTATTCGAAACGTAGATTATAATTATTATACAATTACTGTTAATTAATAATAACGTTTTCTATTTTTAATTCAATTACTTAAATTGACATTTAATTCAATCCTCTCGATTCTTGCTAAATAAGTCGTATATGTATTTAATCAAAATTGATTGCCGGACAAATTAGTAGCCGGATATTCAAGTAAATGACCTACAAATTACAAGAAATATATATAAATTGAAACTAAAGAAATCTCTAGATCAAAACTGGTAAATTAGTTATTATATATCTTATTAATTTATTCAAATTGAAATTCCCACGATGCAAAAGGAAAATAATGATCGATCTTTAGCTAAACAACATTATATATATTACATTTAGACATATTTGCGAAAGTTACATATAAATTGCGAAGAATTAAACAATTAATCGTTTTATATCAATATATTGTGTTCAATTCAATCTAATGTGAAAGTAATGTAAACAAATTTGTCTTCCGTGATTATATGTAATATATATCGTATATGTCATATATATATATGCGAAGATATATAAATACGCTCTAAAAATGCTTTTGAAATTTTTCATATATAGCATATTATGACCAGAAGTGCTGCGATCGTATAATTCCGTGTTCTCTTCCTCTTCTTTTCTGCGTCTTTTTTTTTTTTTATTTTTAAACTGACTTTTATGGCGTGCGTGGGGATCGCCAACTTTCTACTTGACCAGAGATCGTTCCCACATGAAAGATCGTTGATCTTGGCCGAGATTCGCACGCGAACTCGTCATTGTTTGCTCCAATTATCGATCATTCAAACATTTGTCTTCCTTTCTAATTATTGTCAATGGAATATCTTTTGTGCTGTTTATAAATCCTTGCAACATTTTTATTTATCCATGTTTTTAGTAGTAGTTTTTACTTTTTTATATAGTTACACTTGAAGAAAATTTAATTGATTCAAATAATATCGACTATTATCAAATAAATATTTACTTGAACCAAATAATTATTATTTAAGTTAATTGTTGTTTCAAATACAGAATTTATTGGTTATATTTAAATACAGTTTATTAAATCAATTATTTGGTTTCAAAAATTATTTGGTAAATATTTATTTGATAATAGTCAAGTAACTTTTTATTTGAATCAAATATAATTTTGTTCAGTGTATAAAAATTATTTAATAAAATAATTTTAGTAAAATATTGTTTTGATGAAAAAACTTCCAAGGCCTCCCAGATAGTGTGTAAGTGTGCTGTAAGCTTGCGGCAAACTTGCCGCGCAATATTGACAACCTTGCACGGCAAACTTGCCGCAAGGTTTCTATAAAACTTCAAATGTTCTAGCTGACTGAAAGCTTACATGGTAAGCTTACTGAAAGATTGCAGTGTAAGGTTACTGCAAGATTGCATAATAAGATTATCGCAAGATTGTTCAGTAAGCTTGTACCAAGATTGGTGCAAGGTTGCCAAATAACCTTGATTTGAACCTAAATTTTTTTTTTATTTTTCGTCTAGATTTTATGTAATTTTATTCTATAAATTTTGTTATATAAATTAGACGAAACATTTTAAAAAAAGTTTTTAGGTTTAACCAAACTTGCTACAAGCTTACCGTGCAAGCTTACTGAGCAATCTTGGGATAATCTTATTGTGCAATCTTGTAGTAATCTTACACTGCAATATTTCGGTAAGCTTACCATGCCAGCTTTCGGTAAGGTGGAACATTTGAAGCTTGTCGTAAGGTTGCTACAAGCTTACGTGTTATCCGGGCTATAGGATCATATTTTTATTAGTTTATAATAAAATAAAATAATTTTCAAATTGGTGGTTAACCGTAATTTTTTTAGGTTATAATAATAAGTTTGAGGAATTAAAGTGTAAATTAAATGGAAATCTACATTATAAGAGGAATTTTTTTTTTTAAAGTTTGTGGAGTGTTTGTTTTTTTTATTTTTTTCATTAATACTAAACACGGTTCTAAAGACTCTAACAAATTGTTTTGTTTGGATTTATAAATTATAGAAAAAAATATTTTAATTCAATATTTATAAAAATTTTGAAATTAATTTATATGTTATAAAAATAATTCTCATTAATATGGTGACTTGCATGCGCATAAATTGAGAGTAAATTCTAAGCTAAAACCCCTCTCTTGTTGGGAACGATAACAGTATTATATTTGTATATTATTTATAAGGGCTAATTGTCTGATGTGTTGGCGATCTTATCAGATTATTTAAATGTTTTTGCTTGTAAAAAGCCATGTATATATTGTGATAGAATTATGATGGAACAACTCTTCTTGTCGATTAATAATAGATAAAACACAGGAGGCTTAAAAGTAATATAACTGCGATAACGTCGATAAAACGTGCACTACAACCTCCGGGTAAACTTTAATAGAGATAATCATGAAAGCCGCGAGTCAATTGACCACTACATAGAATGCATCATTTATTTTTCATGGTCTAATTAAAAGCGATATTTGTATTGACTTTATAGAATCTGTTATATTTCATTAATGAACATTCAGAATGAACGCATAGAGTTTGTTGAACGTAAAAAAAGGAGAGAACTTCCTTTTCAACAACTTTTCACAAAAAAATTAATATCTAATAAACAAAAATTTCTACAAAACATTGAAAATTTAATTGTGAAACCTTAAACAAAAAAAAAGAATAAAGTTTGTTTAAAGTCAATGGAGCGAAATTAAGTGCAACTTTTCCGGTTGGATGAAAGTTGCCAAGTCCACAGACAAATCCGCATGATTTTTACCGTAAGAAATTGACCGCACCAATCATAGTGAAGGAAACAAGAAACTGTTCTTCACACTGTTAAACTTTAGTAATCGGGATGGGTTATAAAAAAAAATACGGTGGGAAATAAAAAATTATCTTTCTCTCTCTCTCTCTTGACAATTATCATTTTGTTTTACGTTTTCCTTTTCTGTCCAAAAATGATGACCGCACAGAAACAATAATCGCCAAATATAGATATGAACTCTTCAAAGACATTAGCGTCTTTGCCCCGCTCTCCCCTACAAGAAATGAGGATACGAGAGCGTGTGTAAAATTTCCTGTGGATATAAGAACAATGCCCGAGATGGAAAATTAGTTCGAAAAATTAATGGGAGAAGCACTTTGAACCAGATGAGATAATTACCTATATATAAAAAAATTTCTTTGTTCAAGTTCTAGAAAAAGTATTTTTAGAAAATAGAAAAGTTCACTGTAAAAAGAAAGGTATTAATTTAATACCGATTTCAGGTACTAAATTGTCATTTGGTTCTATTTTGATACCTAAAATCGGTACTGTTTTAGTACTATTCAGGTACTGTATTATTACTTTCTTTTTACGGTGTTACAACTTTTTAATTTTAATTAATTTTTTTAATAATAAAATTTGGAAAAAAAATACGGAAGAGAATCTTCTTTATTTTTTGCTTCCAAGTGGGGGGAATAATTAAAGGAAATGTTGCGTGTGTTTCGATACGTTACCGTAATCATATTACAGCAGAAAAAAAATTCATATGCGGATGAAGAAAAAAAAAGTTAACATTTTGGGATCAATGACTTGGGACCAAAGCTTGATTGAACTCGAGAATGGATTTACGATCTTTTTTTTTTCTTTTTCTTTTTCTTTTTCTTTTGGCATACCGGATTGCAAGACCTGTTGACCCAGAACTTAAGAAAGCGGCCAGGAGGAACTGGTCGAAGGAACAAGGCTATTACATTGCAGAAGTCGATCTTCCTCGCCGAGTGTCGATCTTGCAGTCTAATTGCTTGGAACGTGGAGAAAACTTTCATCTTTCTCATAGCGTTCAAAGACGCGGTTCTCGCAAAAGTTCCTCCCGGAAAAACGTCTATACATTCAAAGTATACACCAAGAATGACTTCCTGACACTTGTTTATTATTTATATACAACACTTCAAAAAGATGAAAATCAACTCTCTCATATAATTGGAGATTATAGTTGAAAATAATACTTGGAAAAGTATATTATTTTTAATTACTTAATTTGAAAATAAGGATAATTGATACTTAAAATAGTCGATGAAAATTAAAAATTATACAATTCAAATAATCTACTTGACTATTATCAAATAAATATTTACTTGAACCAAATAATTTTTGAAACAAAATAATTGAATTAAATAAACTATTGTCAATAATTTCTATTGAAAACAAATACAATTCAATTAAATGAAATAATAATTATTTAATATAAATAAATATTTAATTGGATATTTTTTTATACAAATAAAAATTATTTTGTTCAAGTAAATATTTATTTAAATTCGATTCTGTACAATTGTTTTAAGTCTCGTGAAACTTTCACTCCTAATGCGGGAGTCAATGAAGAGATGAGTTTGACGTTTTTTTTTTTAGAATGGATGAGAGTAATTAGTGGATGCTAAAGGTGTAATCTCCATGAAAGGACATGTGTGTTAACATAATGTGACATTACGTAAACTTAACTGAGATAATATTATAAAATAAATTAGCGAGTTAACTTTATACACCATATTACATATAAAGAGAGATTCATTCAATTGAATTATCCATTATGTTAATTATTTCAACGGAATTAAATCAAATTTTATATTTATATTAATTATTTATTTAATTTAATTTATATTTAATTTCTATTTAATTAGTGCATAATTATTAATAATAATAATAATGTTTCAAGTTTCATAAATTAAAAATTTAGACGTTTCGTTTTTCATTCTGGACCATTAAGTAATTTAAATTCCAAAATGCCTGTTAAAGAAAATAAAAAAAAATATCTTATACTCTTCGCGAGGATATGTAAACTTTCGCGCAAATATTTTATTAGACAATAAAGTGAGAACATCGTTTTAAAATAATATTTGCCGGTTGCATTTGAATCTATATATATATGAGAATCTTGGTTAGTGTTCGCGGTATTTGAATGGGTTCGTCGACTTTCATTTTCTTTTCATGATAGTCTGCTCTAAAAGCTCTGACGTTTTATGAACACTAATGCAATAAATTCGGCGATATATCTTCTTGAACTATGTATAATTTGTAAAATAAATTTACATAGAATGCAGACTTTCAAATTGGTTGTCTTTCTCACACAATTTAGATTTAAAAAAAAAGATAATAATGTATAACATCCTTAACAGTTTCTATATTCATGTATAGAAAAAAAAGTCTGAAATAGAAATTGCCCTTTAGTTGTTCTAAATAATAGATATTGAAGTTTTAAATTGTTAAAAATTGATACCTATTAATATTTTTATGATTTTTTAACCTCAACTGAAATCTAAATATTATTATTAAAATATTGTTCTAAAAATTTTTATGTAAAATAAATTTTTTTTTTCAATTTTCAGGTGTTTCTTTAAAGGAAAGGTGTTTGTTGCGGAGCTGCTCCTGGAGGAGATCGGGTATTGCTGAGCGCAGTTCAATGTAAGTTGATTAACTTTTTTTTTAATGAATTTTCGTATTTTAAGAATTTTATTTTATTGATGTAATTAAGAGCGTTTAGAAAAATTAATCCATAACTTTAGAAATAATTTGTATTTAAAATATAGAATTTTCTTTAATTTTCAGTCTATTGTAGCAGAGGAGGGAAAAATCGTCTATTTAAAGAAAATGTATGCTGTCATCGTATTTTTAACATGTTGCGCGGAAAATTGCAAATAGTAAGTCTTTTTTCAATGATTAATTTTGAAGAAAATAAAATTAATTTAGAAATAATGATAAATAGGGTAAATGCCCAAATTGCGGCGCGATTCGAGTCAAAACACCTTTGAAGTAGAAAATTCGACATTTCTATTGTATAAAGTCAATTTAAGACTTATTAAACTAAAAGGTTATGTTATTTAGATGTTAAAAAAAAGGCTGTTTCTATTTCGCCCGCTCGGGCGAACTAATTCATTTCTGTTATTTCGCCCGTCGCGGGCGAAATAGATACGACTGTGTGAACTGGCTATTTCGCCCGTCGAAATGAATGTGTTTTAGAAGACGGGCAAAATAAGAAAAATAGATTATTTCGCCCGTTCAAGATAAAATCGAGTATCTGGAAGACGGGCGAGTATATTATTTCGTCCGTGAAATGTTTAAACAAAAACGGGCGAAATAATCAAAATACAATATTTAGACCGCTAGGTATAAACAGCTGTTGTATATTTCAATTTACAAACTAAAATTATTGTAACTTTTATTTTGCAATTTATGTTAAATATCATATATTTGATAAACAAATTTGATGGTCTCATTAATTTTTTGTGTTTCGATAAAAAAAAGGGTTTTTCTGATTTCTTTCTCAGCAGAATCATGGTTTTATATATCAATGTGAGATTATACTCCGTATAGTATATTCTTTAAATATTGAAAACGACGGTGCGTTGTTTGAAAATCTATTTGGTATCGAAAGTAGTTCATATGACATTCTTTATTTTGATTGTGTTCAATTTTATTTACTCGTTGAATTTAGAGATGCAAATATACAAAAATTTCAGAAATAGTCGATTTTTGAATTCTTATTTAAATTACAAAATTAAAATCCACAATTTTTATTACCAAAGTTTAATAAACAAAATTTAAGAAAATTTTTTTTTCATTTTTCATGAAAAAAATTTTTTAAAATGATTTTTTCAATTTTTAAGAAAAAATTTTTTGCAATTTTTTCGTCAACAATTTTTAAAAGAAAAATTTATAAAAAATATTAAAAAATATTATTAATTATTTGAAAAAATATTAATATTTTTAAATCGATGACGATCAATTTTAATTGTTTTCGACTTCAACATCGTAATTTTAATTAGTTAAATTTAATAATTATAATTTATAATTTTAATATTAGATTAATTTTTTTATAATTTTAATTATATTTATTTAGGGTCAACCGGGGTAAATCCGAACGCTTTTAGTAAGTTTCAACAATAACATAAGTTTTTTCTTTAAAAAAAAAATACTTCCGGTATTCTGGTGCATGAAGTTGTTACTTTACTTCCATAGAACAATTTTATGGGGTAGAAAAATTTTTTGATAAATTACAATCGCAGGAAACTTAGCGTTCGTATTTACCTCGATACTTTGCAACTTTCCTAAAATATGGGGGTAAATACGAACGCCACTGTATTTCAGAAAAATCTTAGGGAAAATAAATTTAAAGTATTGCAATTGTTAAACTTATATAAAAACTCAAAAAAAATACGATAATAAACCTATTATGTAATAATGCATCATATATAAATACAAAAATCAAACAGGTTAAAAATTAAAATGCATTACACAATTAAAACCTTTAATAACTTTATCAAATCATAACGGATTTTTGCAAAACTTGGTACAGAAAGTATTTTAGAGTGATTGAATGTAAATACAAAAATAAAAGTCAAATTTTTTAAATTCAAAATGGCGTACTTTCCTAAAACTTATTTTTAAAAATGATCAAATTTGCTAACCCTGAAACCCCCCGAGTAACAATTTTCGAGCGAATCCAATGAATTTTTTAATTCTCGTCCGCCATTTTGAATTTTGAAAAACTGACTTCAAATTGGTAATTAGCGACCCCAAAAACCGTAGAATACCAAATTTTATTAAGATCCTGAAAAACTTTTTTCAACAAACCATTTGGCAAAAAAATTGAAACACTCCTTCGAGAGAACAGAGATTAAGTTTCTGCTTATTAATTACTAACGAAGATACGTATAGAAAGAAAAACTTTTTTCTATGTACTTTTATAATGTTAAAATAATAGTGTAATCAAATAAAAACAATTTTGTGTGGCTTTGATGTAAAAAAAAATTATTAAAAATACCGTTCGGATTTACCCCAGTTTTCCAATTTTCTTGGGTAAATACGAACGGTCTGATATTATTAATAAAATTTTACAGAAGGCTAAAATCAAATATAGTTTCTGTTCTAGTATTCATAACAAAAAATTATAAATAATAAAATGAATTTTTAGCTTCTTTTTCTTCAAATACGAGACAAAATACTAAAAGAGTGTCATCTTTGATTTTCAATCTTTTTTGCAATACTTGTTATCTTTGTTTATGCTGTTGCTAATTAACAAACAAAAAATGGGATAATAATTAGAATCTCTTCAAGAGGATCTGAGGTAAAAATTCTCATATCGAACTTATTTTTTAAAATTTTAATTAAGCTGAAATAATTAGCGTTCGGATTTACCCCCCGTTCGGATTTACCCCGACTGACCCTACCATTACTATAAAATATTAAATTTTTTAAATTATTTAATAAGAGTAATTAATACCTTTATAAATATATTAATTTTTTTTCCAATACAATTTCTTAGATAAAATAATTATTATTCTTTAAAGTCACGTCTCAAAAACGTGTAAAATAAATATTTGAAAAATCTTCAAGTTAATAATTACAAACAAATTTTATGTTACAAATATTCTCAAAACTTTAATTAATAAAATTTTTTGAAAAAAAATAGAAAATAATTAAGTATTAATTTTAAGAATTTAAAGAATTTTTAAGAACTTTTTTTTTCTTTAAATTTCTTCTATTTTATTAAACCAAATACTCCAAAAGATATAAATAAATAATATTAGACCTATGCTCAGACGTCTTTTTTCTATCCATCTTATTTGTTATATTTAAAAAAAAGTAAAATTATTTTTTCTCATTATCTAAAAAACAGCTGTCTATACTTAACGGACGAAATAATATACTCGCCCGTCTTCCAGATACTCGATTTTATCTTGAACGGGCGAAATAATCTATTTTTCTTATTTTGGCCGTCTTCTAAAACACATTCATTTCGACGGGCGAAATAGCCAGTTCACACAGTCGTATCTATTTCGCCCGCGACGGGCGAAATAACAGAAATGAATTAGTTTGCCCGCGACGGGCGAAATAGCCACTCCGTAAAAAAAATGTTTAACTCTATAAAAATCGATTATTTATAGAAATATGAGAAATTAAAACTAATACCGTAATTTTCAATTGCGGAGCGTTTGTATCAGTTTCGGTGACCAAAATTACGTGTATTTTGAAGATACTTTGCCCGCCGAAATTGGAGCCAATGAAAATCTTAAAAATGTTTCAATTGCGGCGCGGAAAAAAATTTGATCTCAAATAATTAAATTAATAATTGTTTAAATCTGCATCTTTATAAGTAATTGTATCAAAAAAAATTAAAATAATTTTTTTAATCATTTTGCAACAGTTATATTAAATATAATAGTAATTTTTTTTGAATGCGCCGTAATTGATGCACTTACCCTAGGTACTATTGAAAATATACTTGTTATTAAATAATATTCACTACCAGTAAAAAATAGTTTTCAAAAAATCTTTTTAGAAATATCAATAGTGACAAAAAGAAACAGAATTAATTAATTATTAATTTTATTTATTATTTTTAAAATATAATTTTGTATCCAATTATAATAATTTTTTTTTCAATTTTCAGTCTATTCCAGGGAGGAAACTTTCGTCTTTTTAAAAAGTGAGAGTATGCTGTCATCGTATATTTAACACGACGAAGAAATTCGCAATAGGTAAGTTTTATTTTTATTTTATTTTTAAAAAGAAAGAAGTTAGAAATGTTTAGAAAAAAAAAATAAATATTTAGTAGGATTTTATAAAATAGTTGTAAATTATTTAAATTTTAATAAATTTTTATTTTTTCAGTGTTTTTTCAGTCCATGTCCAATAAACAATCTGAAGGACAGGAAGGATGTGGAAGAAGAAAAGTGGCCCCTGCATATTTTTTTTTTATTAAAATTTTTTGTTTTCTTTTTCATTTTTTTTTGTAATAAAATTTTTTTTAACGCTCCTGGCCTCGCGCAGAAGTGCGAGCAAGAAAGAGGGATCCTCTGGAGCTGGCCTGAAGCGCTCGAGAAGTGGCGATGTAACTTTTGCCCCGACGTGGGATTCGCCGATCGGTGAGTCGTTTTTTAATTAACCCCTTCCCTGTTTTGAAACAGTTTATTCGATTTCAAATATTTAAAATCAATTATACAGTAAATTTAATTCAGAGATGGAAAATTAATTTTTAGATATTTTTATTTTATGAATTTTTATAATTTTAATTTTTTTTTGTAATAATTATAATTTTAATTTTTTTTAGTGGAAAAAAGGATACGTCCGTTTGATTTAACTATGACGTGTCCTTTTTTTCCACTAACCTAGCGAATTGATCAAATATAGAAATGTTAAAAGTTTTTAAAAACAGGGAAGGAAACCCAGCAACATAGTGACGTCATTGACAAAATATGTAATAATAATATTAACTATAATAATATAATGTAATTAATTTTTGTTATAATGTATAATATTACAATTTTTGTCAATGTTTTTTATTGTTTATATTATTATGTATGTCATTTTTATTGTATATTTTTTTCAAAGTTTAATGTTTTATAATTTAAAGTAATTTTCTTTTTAAAAAAGTAATTGAAAGTAAAAAACAAAATCTGATAATAATTTTTAAGTTTTTCATACTTTTCTAGTTTTTTATACTACTTAAATTTTATACTAAATTATGCAATTTAGAGTTAATGCATGTGAAATTTCAAATGTAAATTTTTTTGGATAAATTCATTTAATGACTAATTAATTTTTTTTTCTTTCAGAAACCAGATT